GTTGGGAATCTTGAAATCGAGGCTCGTCGAAGCGAAGCGGTGTTCCAGCATTGAGGAGCTCACGGCCCATGCCAAGTCAGTCTGGGCTAACTTCAAGCCTGCTATGCTGCCAAACATGCCGGTTGGCATGTCGCAGCATGTATTCATGTGTTTGCCTATGAAATGGGGAGCACATTGAGGGATTATAAACATATCAAAACGCAATGTACTCTGTTTTACATGCAAATATAAGGTGAGAACGAACTTATGGGACACCCTGTACGTAATGTACACGAGGTCAAGGATGCGGATTGTGGATGGGCTAGTCCTACCACCTAATGAAAGCGATGACGGAAAACTCGCTAGCCCAGTTGGAGCTTTTTTAAGAGCTCGGCCGATCGCTGACAGTTGGTGCCATTCCGCAAGCTATTTAAAAAGCGTTTCATGTTTAGCTCTCCTTAGACCATAGCCCCGCGGTTCAAATTGTTATCTGTCATAGTGAAAATTCTCGATAATTCCCAACTACTGGTACTGCCCTAAGCTGTGATGATGGTTTGAGTTTTAGGACCCACAGCCAGCAGCCTGAAAAGTGCAGTAAACCGGCGACCAGTTGTCGGGATAAAATAGAAAGCAAATCAAATAAATAACTCAAACAAAATTACTGGTATCAAACTTAGAGAAGATATTGAAGTACGATTGGCTTAATATGCAGACGACACTGTACTCTTTCTTAAGGATTCTACCGAATGTTTGAGAGGCGCACTGCACGAACTCAAAACATTTTCAAAAATATCCGGTCTTCAGCTTAACGTAGAAAAAACGTCATGTCTCCAAATTGGTAAGATGAGACAGCGCGTTACCGATGATTTGGGTATCAAATGGGTAGAACAGATCAAGGTGTTGGGAGTAATTTTCACAAACAACATAAAAAACATTACTGAACTCAACTTCAAACCAAAAGTTGAGCACATCGAAAGAGAAATAACGCAATGGAAAAGAAGATACTTGACCCCTATGGGGAAAATAACAGTAATTAAGTCGCTACTGTTATCTAAGCTGGTTCACTTATTTACATCGTTGCCGAATCCCTCTCAACAGTATTTAAAATCCATTGAACGTTTACTTTTCTCATTTCTCTGGGGAGGAAAACGGGATCCCGTAAAAAGAGCAAAAGTAATACAAAATTACGAGAGTGGCGGACTCCGCATGGTTGATATAAATTCATTTGTGAACAGTATGAAATTGACGTGGCTCAAGAGACTAATCACTTCAAACGCTGCATGGAAACAGTGCTTAAAAGTCCACTTACCACATTTTGAAAGCATTCCTTTATATGGAGCAAAAAAACTTAAAAAAGTTGCCAGTCAAATAGATAACCGTTTTTGGAAAGACGTTCTCGAAGCATTTAGCTCATTCAATGCAGTGTATAAGCCAGAAACGCCTACAATTCTTTTGGAGAGTCTTTGGTTTTCAGATTATGCAAAATTTAAGGGATCAATTATCAGAGACTGGGACCGTATGGGGATCAGATTTCTCTTGGATCTTTTCGACGAAACCACTGGAAATTGGTACACGAAGGATATGCTAGAAACCACTTATGACATCAAAATGACATTTCTTTGTTATACAAGTTTGATAAGAAGCTTACCCAACGTATCGGACACTGAGTTACACGTCGGTACTTGTCGCCCCATCATACCATTAAAAATGAATCTTATATTAAATCATCCAAATTTCCCTCGCATGGCTTATCGCACATATGTAGAAAGCAGGAAATGCGAAATAGTGAACACACTGAATAGACAAAAAGAGAAATGGTTGCGCGATGTCGGACACTTTGAAAATAACAGTGTCATAAAAGTATTAGAAGCAACAAACTCAACCCGAATGCAAACATTTCACTACAAGCTAACAAATCGTATTATAACAACAAATAGATATTTAAAAATAATATCGATTAAAGACGATGACACATGTACATTTTGTAGACAAGAAAGCGAAACCATATTGCATATGTACTGGCAATGCCCGATAACTCAGTCGTATGTGTCATCCATTAAAACAGCTTTTGGTAGGCCATTAGCAATAAATCTGGGAAACCTAGCGTCATGGTTTTTCCTTGAAAACCTTAGCGATATAGAAATAATAATCATAACTCTAGCAAAAATGGTAATATACGAAGCAGGTTATAACGAGACACACCCTAGCATAGCTTCTCTAAAAAACAAACTTCGATGGGAGGCTGAAATTGAATTATACACAGCTAGGTTATCCAACACAACACACAAATTCAATAAGAAATGGGGAAACGTACAGCATTTAGTAAACAATTAAAGTTACCAAGTACTAGGCAAATACACACCAGCATTTCTTCAATCACAATATCAAACTAAGAACATAGACAATTCACGAACAAAAAGAGATTACGATCATCCTTATCCTTCTCCCAGCCTCATCATTCAGTCCCATCCTGTGTCACCGCGATGCTGCGAGCCGGTCCGCTGCGGAGGCGCGCCCGCGTGCCCCGGCGCCGGTGCGGGGGCGGGTAGCGGTCAGCGAGCGCTGGTGCACTGCTGTGGCCGGCCGCCGCCGTCTCGCCGCCGGGGTTTCCCTCGTTGCGGCGGCGGCCGCCGTCTGCGCCGCTGACGCACCAGACGAGTCCCTCTTTCTTTCTTTTTCGTTTTTTTTGTGTTGATTAGTTTGTTTAAAAAATAAAAAAATCAGCCACCGCTCCCAAGACCCATCCGGGCCAGCCCGGGACCGGCCTCTTTGACTGGGGCCGGTCGGCCGGCCGGGCGTGCGGGGCGCCGGCCCTACAAGTCGACGGCTCGCACGTCCGGCCGGTGGATAGGGGGCGCCGCCCGCGATACCCCTTCGCCGGGCGGCGCGGGCGGTGGCTGATGGCCCGCCGCGTTTCTTTAGTCCATGAAAGGACACCGGGGCGGCTTGGCCAGGCGGGCCACACCACATCACGTGGTGGTGGCGAGCTATATTTTTATAATTCGGCCGCCGCCCAGTCAAAATGCAGTTGAAATGTGGCGTCCGATTTGTGTATATTGCCAACACTGTATCCCAGCGTGTACGCTCGCCAAATATTACTCGCACGTTGTGGGGGTTTTGAAAGCCCTATTGTGTCGGTGTATATCATGTATATCAGGTGTTTGCGGGTTTAAACGTCTCAACCTGGAGCGCTCGTAAGCATAGACGGGAAACCGGCTGTTTCGTGTCAGAAGCCATGACAGAGACTGTCCTTGTTGGGCGTGAGAGCCCTCGATTATTATTTACTTGTGTCATATTTGTATGGTTTGTCAATAAATGTTTGAAAAAAAAATAGAAAGCTCGGAGCGGTCTCGAAAAGTCGAAACGGACTTCCACCAACTACCTCCGTTCGGTTGGCTTGGTGCAGCAGCCGGACACTTCCTTCGCAGATAACTGGTTAACCGGGAGGACTGACAAATCCAATGGACCGTATAGCACCGCTGCGCTGACCGGCTTTCGTTTTCGATTGGTCATCGGTTGTCTTATCAGCCAAATTATTTCCCCCTTTGGTGTGGGTCTTACAACATATATCAAGAATTGTTGAAATACACGGTGTAGTGTATCGAGTACCTAGTGCATCGGGTGTCCGAGGCTCGGCATCGGGCCCCGGTAATACGAGTGTGAGGCGGCCGCACCCTGCTCGGCTCCAGTCAGAGCCAGCAGTCGAGAGGCTCCGCCCGGCCGCACAGCACGGCAGTGCCTTAGTGTTTTGCACCGCGAGTTTGTGAGAATACATCGGAATCCGGAGACGGCGGTGGACACTACATCTGGCGACGAGGATGAGATCCTGAATACTACCGACGATGAACGTCGAGGGGGTGTCGCCGCCAACTCCGTTCCTGGCGAGACCAGGAAAACCAGCACTGCCCTGGAGTGACTGGATTTTCAGTTTCCACAACTACCTGACTGCCCTGGGAGGTGAGGCCTACAGCACGGAGAGGAAGACGGCTCTCCTTCTGCACTGTGTCGGCGCCGAGGCGCAACGGGTGTACCGTACCCTACCGGTCCAGCCGAGGAGAGAAGACGAAGACGAGTTCCATGCGGCTGAGCGGCAGCTCGCCGAGTTTTATGAACCTCAGGTCAACGTGATCGCGGAGCGGTTCTTCTTCCGGCAGCGACGGCAAGAGTCGCACGAGCCGACGGCCGACTACGTGGCGGCGCTGCGCCGCCTGGCAGTAAACTGCTCGTTTGGACAAATGACAGACGCAATGATACGTGACCAAGTCGTGGAAGCAACAGTGCATCCGATTCTCCGCGAGCGTTTTCTGCAGGATAAGGGCCTGACCCTGGACCGCGTTCTGGAGATCGCCGAGGCATTCGAGCGATCCCGACGCGAGGCGACCGCCATGGCCGGGCCGGCGCGGCCCGCCGCCGACGGAGCGCAGTCACTGCATCAGATATCTGACGCTCGTCAGCGCCGCGGGCGCCGGCCCTGGCGACCCGCCCGGCGGCAAGACGACCGCCGCCCCGCCCCTGCCCAGTTGCAAGCTGACCGTCGCCCTGGACCTGCCCAGCTGCAACCGGACACGTGCCCCAGCTGCGGTCGGCGCCAGCACAATGAGCGCGGTCGGTGTCCCGCTACCGGGGCCAGGTGCAGGCAGTGTGGGCGGACGGGTCACTTTGCCGTGGTCTGCTGGTCTGGTGAACGGAACGACGACAGAAGGTGTCACGAGCTGACTGTTCTCTGCTGCGCCGTACCAAATACCGATAAGATGATGTGCGAAGTACAGATGGAGGTACCAGGTATCACGCAGACCGTGAATCTGCAAGTTGACACGGGTGCCACGGTGTCCGCTTTAGGACTCGGCATCGCCAGACGTCTCTTCAAAGGCAGTCGTCTCAATAGAACGTCTGCTCGTCTGTTCGGTTTTGGTCGACACCAGCTTCAAGTGCTTGGCACGCTGCCAGCGCTGGTGACCTACCGTGGACGGCGAGCCAACACAGAGTTCTTCATCATAGATTCCGACGGTGAAGAAGCCGTCATGGGACTGGACCTGCTGAAGCAGTTGGACGTAAACCTGCACCCCGCGAGTGGGGCAATCGATCAGCTGGCGGTCACTGGGAGCGCAGAAGTCCCGGAACCGCCACCGTCTCAGCCCGACCCTGGCGAGATATGCTCACTGACGACAGTCCGTGGCTACCAGCACAGGATTGTTCTCCGTCCTGATGCTGTACCGGTGCGTCACAAGCTCCGCCGACTCCCGTATGCTGTTCGTGAAGAGGTCAGCCGCGAGCTGGACCGACTCCAGGAGGAAGGAGTCATCGAACCGGTCGAAGTCAGCGACTGGGTTCACCCGATGGTCGTCAGCAGGAAAAGGAACGGGAAGCTGCGCATCTGCGTGGATCTCAGGGACCTGAATCGACAGGTCATCGCCGAAGTTCACCCCCTGCCGACGGCAGAGGAGCTCCAAGACCAGCTGAAGGGCAACATCTTCACAGTTATCGACCTGCAGAGCGCATACCATCAGCTGGAGCTGGAGCCTGCTTCCCGTCAGCTCACCACGTTCCTGACTCACCGAGGCCTACGACGGTTCACGAGGGTTCCGTTTGGTCTGGTCTCGGCAGGATCTGCGTTCCAGAGATTGCTGGACAACCTGCTGGACGGCATCCCGGGATGTGTTCACTACATGGACGACGTCGCGGTCGTGGGAGTGTCACAGGAAGAACACGACGACCGTCTTCGGCGCGTCATGGCCCGACTGAAGGAGGCCAACTTGACAGTCAACAGAGAGAAGTCTGTGTTCAGCAAAGCAGCTGTCGACTTCTGTGGCTTCACGCTGTCTGCGTCGGGAGTCACACCACTGCAGTCACAGATCAAGGCCGTGACTGACGCACCACCGCCGGAGAACGCCAAGGAGCTGAAGTCGTTCCTGGGGATGTGTGGATGGTTTCTCAGGTTCGTCCCTGGGTACGCCGAGACCGTCCATCCACTGTACCGGCTGCTGAAGAAGGGCACCAAGTTCGTCTGGGACGACACAGCGAACCGAGCTTTCAACGAGGTCAAGCTGAAGATAGCTGCAAGCCCGACGCTGAAGCCGTTCGACCAGAGCCTGCCTACATTCGTCACGTCCGACGGCAGCGGCAAGGGCGCTGGAGCTGTACTCACGCAGCTGAGCGCCGATGGAGAAGAAAACGCCGTAGCGTTCTGGTCTCGGGCGTTCACCCCTACCGAGCAGCGCTACTCAGTGTCTGAGCTGGAAGCACTGAGCGCTGTTCTCGCCGTGGAACACTGGAAACTGTATCTGTGGGGACGTCCGTTCACTCTCCGCACAGATCATTCGGCGCTGCAGACACTGCTCTCGCCCAGCTTCTCGGGGAGAGCGGGCGCGAGGATCGCGCGCTGGCAGGCACGCCTGCTGCCGTATGCGTACACAGTCCAGTACGTGCCTGGCCGGAACCTAACTCCTGCAGCAGACGCCCTCTCCAGGATGCCAGTTCCTGCCGAAGAAGCGGACCTGCATGAAGACAGCTCCGCTGAAGAAGAGGTGATCGCTCTTCTGACAGATGAAGAGAGCGTGCTGACCGAGCAAGACGTCCGCACCGCGTCAGCTGCTGATCCTGAGCTGCAGCAGCTGCGTCATCAGATCAAGCGCGGCTGGCCGAGCAGCGCCAAGGCCTGCCCGGTTGAAGTCCAGCCGTACTTCAAGATGAGACACGAGTTGTGGGTGCGCAACGACGACGTCATCCTGAGAGGAGCCCAACAAGTTGTTGTGCCCGTTCAGCTCCGCCGCAGATACCTGGAGCTGGCGCACAGCGCGCACGACGGAATCGTCCGCATGAAACAGGCGCTGCGGAATCTGGCGTGGTGGCCCGGCATCAACCGTGAGGTGGAGGAGCTGTGCCGAAGTTGCGAGCGCTGCCAGCACAGCGACGCAGTCCTCTCCCAGCGCGCACGCCCTGCGCCCATGCAGCCAGTCGACCTGCCGGACCGCGCCTGGTCGAAACTGGGAATGGATATCGTTGGTCCAATCAACGGAGCACCAGCGACTGCCCGTTACGCCATCACTCTGATTGACTACAGAAGGAAATGGGCGGAAGTCTGCCTGACGTCATCGACTGAGACTGAAGACGTCATCAAGTTCTTGTCAACTGTGTGGGCCAAAGAGGGCTATCCCGACGAGATCGTGACGGACAATGGGCCCCAGTTCACGAGCAGGGAGTTCACTGCGTATCTGGCCGCCCGAGGGGTGAAGCACACCAAATCGTCCGTCTACTGGCCTAGAGGCAACTCCGCCGTAGAGCGCTTCAACAAAACGTTCAAGTCGTGGATCACAGACTGTCCACCAGCAGCGTTCATTGACGAGGTGCGCAAGAGCCTGGCGGTGTATCGAGCCACCCCACACACGACAACTGGGAAGTCACCGTCAGAGCTCCTGCATGGACGACAGATGAGGCTGAACCTGCCTGTCATTCAGCCGTCAACACCAGGAGCCGACAGTGTGGCGTCTCGAGTTCGACGCCGACAGCAGTCCAACAAGAGGTCCTACGACCGCCGCCGTGGCGTGACGACGCCGCGCATCACTGAGGGCGACTACGTCTGCGTGAGACGGCAGGGACACCGCTCGAAGACGTCCTGTCGGTTCACGTCTCCGGTGCGAGTCACTGGGCGCGTCGGTCCCGCAACGTACCGTCTGGCTGACGGCCGGACCTGGAACGCCGCCCATCTGGCCCGTCTCCCATACGCGCCGGCGTCTCCCTCCGCATCTCCCCCCGCTGGGCCCGGCGAGACCACGTCGACCGCCACGACTTCCGAGGCCGACACGCTGGCACGCTGACCTCGCTCGCCGCTGCTTCTCGCCCGTCGACCGAGACAGCTTGCGAGCCGTCGCCGGACGCCGCCGATGTGAGCGTGCAGCGTCCCAGGCGAAGCGACCGTGTCTGTAGACGTCCGGACTACTACGTGTCGCAGTGCTGCTGTTCCTTTTTTTTGCGAGAGGGGGGAATGTGTAGTGTATCGAGTACCTAGTGCATCGGGTGTCCGAGGCTCGGCATCGGGCCCCGGTAATACGAGTGTGAGGCGGCCGCACCCTGCTCGGCTCCAGTCAGAGCCAGCAGTCGAGAGGCTCCGCCCGGCCGCACAGCACGGCAGTGCCTTAGTGTTTTGCACCGCGAGTTTGTGAGAATACATCGGAATCCGGAGACGGCGGTGGACACTACACACGGCTTGCTTCTTTTTCCAGCCACGCCCTATGTTAGTCCTGGCGCAGGGCATCAATTTCTCAATTTCGGAAACGGGCGTTGGGAAACTAATGATTGACCTTTGCAAGGGGCCTGCAATATCCGGCCGCGCCGCGCCACTGATGAACAATCTCCGGTTGCCACGGTCACCGGTCACGTGGTTTCAATATTTACTCTGACCCTCGGTCAGGCATCTGCGGTTGCCACGGCTGTCGGTCACGTGATCACCGCCCCGGGCCGGTGTTTACTTAGTAAGCGGACGGCGGTATCGCAGAGGTGCGCCGTACACGTGGGCGACTGATCACGTGACGTTGCCCCCGGGCGAGATGGCCGCTGTCGCCGGAGGGGTGCGGTGAAGTCGGGTTCAGGGTTGGCCCCCCAGGGCCGGCCCGGTCACGTCGGTAACTGCTGGCTCGGGGCGCCGCGTGATGTAATAAACAAGCTGGAATGCATCTCTCGCGTCGCGTCGGAGTTGCAGCGATTCCAAAACGAGCTTTGACTTTTGAATAAGGTACCTTTTTAGAATAGGGTAACACCAGACAAATGCGTTCTTTTATATTTGAACTCGTAACGTCGCATAGATTAACGTCTGTTCCATGATCAATGGTCATGCACGAATGTCAGTCACGAATGTTGGTATAAGAATGCCCTTTAAATGGATGCGGTTTTATTACGAGCGAGCGAGCGCAGCGAGCGAAGTGAGTCTTTTCAATATAAGGGAAAAATCTCAGTATGAGCGGCCCGGCCCGGCCCGGCCCGGCCCGGCCTGTAACGCTTTTGAGAGGCTTATATCTCAGCAACCGCTGGACCGATTGGCCTGCGGTCTTTTTTGTTGGGTAGCCCCATCCCTTCTACCCCGTAATTGACTACTTTGGATACATCTCAGTGACCGTCGTGGCACGTGCCACGTGAAAAGCCAAGGGTGTTCAAGCTGTTTTGCAAAAGTAGTGATTTTGAGAGGCTCATATCTCAGCAGCCGCTTGGGCGATTGTCTTGCGGTAATTTTTGTAGGGTAGCTGCATCCCTTCTACCAAAGGTCGGATACTCTTGATCTATGTGAGTGACCCCCACTGCACGTGCAAAATGCAAAAAGAAGAGGTGCCAAATTTGTTCCCATTTCAATAACTCGGTAATTACTGGGGCGATTTCGTTGAAACTTGGCATACAGGTAGGCACCCACCAGGCAATGCATTTCCATGTGTTGCGGTTGGGGTGCTACTGCACGTGCGCACGTGCAGGGGGCGTTTCCAGATCTCGAGAACGGCTGGGCCGATTGCGCTCAAATTTGGCACACGGTTGGGGACCGGTTAGTAGGGTGCCGTGCGGAAGTCAGTTTGGACCCCGTTTGCACGTGCGCACGTGCAAAATTCCGTTTCCAGATCTCAGGAACGGCTGGGCCGATTGCGTTCAAATTTGGCACACTGCTAGCGACCGGTTAAAAGGGTGCTTTGCACAAGTCCGTTGGAAGTACCCTCTCGCTCTTCCGCACGTGCAGGGCTCACTATCTCGCTCGCTCGTTCTTCGCCCAAAAGGCGTTTTACTGGTGTTATGAATACGGGATTGACGAAGCCCAAAGTCACATTTATCTGAGCATGTCGGGCTGGCCCAGAGCTCCACAGTTCAATAGGGACTCCGGGTTGCCGGTTGTCTCATCTTTTCTTCATAAAAAGCCGAGAAGGATACCAAATCCACATTATCCCAGTTTGTGATAAAGCCAATCATTCACATCACGGAGACTTCCGTTCAAAACACGTCTTCACGAGCTAATTTATTCCGAGCCAATAACATGTCAAAGCCGTTTTCTCAGTCACTTAAATAACCCCGTGGGCAAGCGCACATGGACAAACCAAGAGTGAAACGGCACCGTGAAACCGAAACAGCGACCAATGGACACACACGCACTTAATTAGGCTCATCCATAAAACGGGGCGCGAAACAAGGATGGAATATGGACCTCTGGTCCCCGTGCACCCCATAGACCACGGCCCGTGTCTTCCAAACGCAAAACAATCACGGTGAAACATAATCAGTAACAACGATAAGACTCATTGTGCCCTAGCCTGTGCCAGTCGGGCTTCCCATTTCACCCGACGAGCCTCACACACACGTCGGACGCAAACCTTAGAGGATATAAACGATTACGATTTAGTTGCGCGGACACACGCCAGAAAAGGTCGCCGTTCTCTCGCTCACATCTCCGTGGCATTAGGCCACAGTACGTCTCCCGTGGCACTCTGTGATCACGCCGCACGCCCCACCCGTCACCACAGTCGGTTATAACGCGTCTCTAGCCTCGCTGGCTTCCCGATAGGACAGCTAGCGCCATCTGCACGGGAGGAGCGGCTGCCACCCCATCTCGGCCGGTCGCCGCCGCATTAACCCCGCTCCGGTTCGGCTCGACTGCATGCCATCGCTGGCACGGGCGCCGGCCGATGACGCACGCCGTCACGATGACTCAAAACGTCACGGTGTTGGTGACGTGGGACCGTAGGTCTCGGTGGTGACAGACCGGCTCAGACCCGATCGGTCACTCGGCCGGGTCGTGACCGCCTGGCGGACCCACCGAGGTCGGGGTTAGTCGGCCATCCCCAGCGCGGGGCCGGAGCCAAATCCATCTCAGGGAGATAGAATCGCTCCTTAGCAACGGCCGTGCAGCCTCTGAGCGCGAGGCGATGCACGTGACAGTTCGTCCATGGGAGCCACAATACACTCACGTTTTGAGACACACCAAGACACGGGCCTTCACACCATCCGCAGCCCTCGACATGTGCAGACATTCTCATTCCTCTGCCTTTCTTTCAGTGCAGCTCAAGTTCTCAGTAGCTTCAGTGAGCTCAGGTAGGTCTGAGCCCGCTACTGGTTCTGTCAATGCCTGCTCTGACGTTTCAGAGGGCCAGTAAAGCCACTACTCGGCGCACTTAGTCGATCTTGACGGCGCCGTAGATCTTCTTGATGAACGTGTAGGCGGCCCAGAATCCGATAGTGCCCGTCAGCAGCCAGAACGTGATCACAATGATCGCCGTGTAGCTGAAGGAAAGGGAAATAAGGTCAGCGTCTACATTCCACAACATTTAGCAGCATTTGAAAACTGCATTTAAGCAAACACGTTTTTAGGAACAAATTCCTGCAAAAAAGTATGTTGTCCAATGCTGTCGTGCACGAAAAGCAGCAAAAGTTAGTCAATAACTTCAGCACTACGCAAGCGGATGTACAACGTAGTTGGATATTTCCAACAAAGTGAAACACAACCCAACCGGACACACCTCTAATGGAGCCCAACTTTGCACATGGCATATTTATTTCTCCTGGCATAAAGTAACATGCGACACACGTTGTGCAATAGGAACCCACAAGCCTTTGCATACCGATAAATACCACCTTTGCAAACCGATAAATACAGGTGCATTGGGTAGCATAAAAAAGGCTATATAACCTAATAATAAAATAGGGACAGGGATAGGCCAACTCACCTCAGACTAGTAGACGACCCATGCTGGCAAACGCCCTTCGCGGTAGCGTTAAATGCCGAAACTTGCACCAAATATAGGAACAAAAGCAGAAAGCAACACAATACCCAAGCTCCTCCTCCGCCAAAACGTGCAAAGCAAATACAAAATCGCCATAAAATAAACAAGAGGGAACTTAATAAAACACAGAAGTAAACCATTACCATGGATGAGATAACACTCATCTCATCCATGCCATTACCAAGCAGAAGGATACTTATGGCATACTTCTTTTGTGCATGATATGTTAGATATGTGCTTCGGTTAGGTTAGGTGATAGGTCACGGGTCACTTCCACCACCGAAGCGTGCAAACCACCAAATCAAATCAGCACAAAATCAACGAGCAGGGATTAACAAAACATCGAAACAAGCCAACATCAAGCGGAACATCTAGGCCGTTTAGTTCTTTGCGCATGATTGGTAGACGTATGTTGGGGTGGAGGTTTCATTTTACTTCCACCATAAGCCGCTTTCATGCCATCCCGCCTCTCACAGCACACACAGACTGTCGCCGAGGTACTCACCCAAAGTAGAGCAGTGTGGGCACAAACTCGTCGATTTCCAGCTTGGTGAAGAAGTAGAAGAACGAGTAGGCGCCGACGTAGATGGCCGAGCCGCCCGAGACGACGAAGCTGCGCCACCACCAGTGGTAGTCCTGGTACCGGGGGAGAACATCGTAGAGGTCAGGCACATCGCTCCGCACACCCCGATCAGAAAATAATGTCGGGAAATAGAGCATGCGTGCAGATGGCAGTGGCCAGACGGCGACAAAATCGCTTCACCGATAAGGCAATCAGAAACTTTAGCAAAGCCAGCTAAATCTAAGACCTGCTTAAGGCAAAACAGCAAACGCGATACTATTCTATTCATTCTTGTCCCAGTGAAGTACAGAAACGATATTATGTGTGACACTTCCCAATTTGAGCTTTAAAGTGTCTTTCTGCAACCACGAAAATAAAACCAGATCACAATTAACAGATGTCACTACCGCCGAACTTAGGAGTACCAGTTACTGTCACAATAACGTAACCAAAACCCCGTCATCCTGGTAGGGCAATTCAGCTTCAAACGCGTCCCATCAGCGCCGCCCACCCATCCTGCCCGCCACACACCTCTCCGCAGAGCTGGAAGTAGGCGAGCACGATACTGATCTGACTGCAGCTGATGGTCAGGATGATGTAGACCAGGAACAGGAAGCCGAACATGTAGTAGAACTGGTTCTCCCAGATGGCGGAGAAGATGAAGAAGAGCTCGATGAACATGGCTCCGAACGGCAGCACACCCGCCAGCAGCGAGCTGTGGGGGAACACGGGGGGAGCGCGGTCAGCTGCTGACGGACAGAAATCAGTCTGATAGATATTGGACGCATCTGAACTGAACCTAAGTAGTCCGGAATGCTCTTTTTGTGCACCAAGCATCGCACAGGAGCATATTTATGCATCTACAGCTATAACTATGCATCAGCTTCGGTCACCCAGTACCGTAGCACCTGTTACAACGCGCCATTTCGCTCCCAGAAGAAGGCACACGAGCAGCCATGTGGTTTATCTGCGGTAGATCTCGTACAGGTCATGGTGATACGACATCGACATTAGGATGCCCTTCTCAGACTCATGACTACACCGACATCCACCAAACCCACGCATCCCCGACAGCCCGCGCCAATCTAACTGACGTCTGCCTGACACAGTCCTAGGCCGTCGGCGCGGTAAGACGGCGGGATAGTCACAGACTGAGAAGCACGGGTGTTTTATATAGCCGGCCCGGCGTCGTCACTCACCAGAAGATGGGGTGCAGGTACCAGGCCTGTTCGGGCACCTGGCGAGGAATCTGGTTGGTGCGCACCGGATGCTCGTACGGCGGCTTACGGAAGCCCACGTACGAACTGGAAACGGACAGACACAAGCGGCGTGGTAAGAAACTAACGAAGTTCACGACATTCAGTGCAGTATCAGAATGTCGCGTAGCTGTAACAGTAAAGGCCGCCGTTCACTGTGCGGAATGCTTGCGGTCCGTACGGAATTTAACACAGAACCCTATGAACGCATCCGGTCCGTACGGAAATCGTGTGCGGACCGACACAGAATATGTAGAGAAACAGAAGCCACAGGAAAGGAATAGGGAGATGGACGTCCGCAACACAAAAAGATCATCATTTCCGTTTCAGTTTTTACATTCCGACCGATAACAAATCACCAAATAGCAAATCACCTACTTTTTATCGATTCATAAAATACAAATAAATAAATAAATTAAATCGCTCATATTTAACAACCCATTTTAAATAGCCTTGCTCACTCAGCTCAGTACACGACCCATCCCACCCTGGAATTCCTCTGCCCCTTTACTCTCGTCGACGACCCCGACTCACCCGAGCAGGACAAGCGGCACCGAGATGCCGAACCACATGGCCAGGACAGAGAGCATCGATGTAAACGGGATGGCGCCCGACGACCGCTTCCCCCACACGAAGAAGTTGAGGAAGACCACGATGGACGAGACCACCAGCGGGTACAGCACCCCGGTCCACAGCGCCGTCGACTTCCACATCTTGCCCTTCATCGTCTTGTACAGCCTGCCGGAGAAGTAGCCGCCCAGCACGCCCATGAAGTTGTACAGCGTGATGGCAGCCGTCATCAGAGACCCACGCGATGACGGCGAGAGCATGCCGAGCGTAGCGAAGAAGATGGTGACCAGAGCCATAAGGTAGATTTGTACGCCGCTGCCGACCAGCGCGCAGAACAGTTTGGCACGCTGCGGGGGCCGGAAGACGTCTCCGTGCACCAGCTTCCAGCCGGTCTCCTCCATGGCTTCCTCCAGACTGTCGTCCTGGTTGTACTTGGCGATGTCGCGACGCAGCGTTCGGATGATGATCATCGTGAGGATACCTGAGAGAAGAGAGGTACCTATGTAAACTGTAAGGCATCAACAACTACGTAACGAGCTTTTGTAGGCTTTTACTGGCGTTTCACTGTTATATCTTGATTTCGTTTCCATCGTGCATGATTGATCATAATGATCATTGTTACGGAGATTACAAACATTTTGAGGAAAATGGAAAAGAAAGTAAAAACTAAAAAGATCAATCAAACACCTTAAATCTGACCAGTATCACTACTATCACTGATAGACTGGCCTGCCCAGTACCCACCCTTCCCTACAAAAGCACCACTGAGCCCCACCCCTCGTGACTCACCAGAGAGGAACAGGACGACCACCACTGAGTTGACGATGCTGAACCAGTGGATCTGCACGTCCGACATGGCCAGGTAGACGTCCCAGCGAGACGCCCAGCGCACAGAGGACTGCCGCCACTCCACGCTGTACGTAAACAGCAGCCTCGTCTCCGTCTGCGGACACAGGGGCGCACAGTGGGACAGTCAGAGCAAGTGTGGTCAATTACGGAATGGGGGAGTAAATTACGGCAAAGTGGTGACGATATCAGCTAACACGGTCAAAAGACAGTAGCTCAGTAAGAATTCAGAACATTGAAAATCAGAGTTATGTAATCTAATTGATATTCTCTTTTCAAATGAGTTGATATCCATGATTGATACTGCAAAGTGCAAACCCTTTACATCGGCATAATATCTCAATTACATTGACAAGCATTAGAAAGTTGACAAGATTAGCAAGGCTCCGTGGTAAAACGTGAACCCAACGTTGCCAATACGTACGTCCTTAATGAGCTGTTTCTTCTTGGCCTCCTTGGGGATGGAGCAGCCGCCGGGAGTCTGTTCGGCCTGGTCTACCGAGCGGGTCTCCACTTCGAACCGAACCACGCGGAACGAGAGACTGTGGAGGGGCAGACAGTGAGCCAAATAGTTACGATCGAAAGTAGTGGAAACTGAAATGGAACGACATGGAACGGTGGGGCTGGGGACTATCAGAGAATCGGGCGGGACGTGTAGTCGACAAGAGTGGCAAGCTTTAAATGAGAGGAACCTAATGGAAGGCGAGACTGGAACAAAATAGGGTAGGGTGCAATTGGCCGAGATGAGCCTAAACAAAGCCCTGTAAAGCGTGAGCCTGGGGACAAAGGTGTAGTGGGCTCGGGAAATTAAAGGAGAGGCAGCATCACGAACTAGCAATGGGTCTCACTAAGGGGAGCTGAAGAGGTGAGATACGATAACGAGAGAGCCAGTCCCAAGTTATCGATCTCCACACATCACGCCGGTCGCGGATGAATCACCGATTCCCCGCTGGATGAATCATAGAATTTCTCAAAACGAGCTAGTCTCACCGCACTCTCGCATTGCCACGATAACCCAACAGCAGTCTAAAAAATCAGCACATCGAAAAATGGCGGGCCACTATTCAGTTCACTTGTTCATTTCCGTATCCCATCATCCCATCATCAAAATGAGAAACTAACTATCGTACTGGAGATCGCTAGCTGCACAAGACCATAGTTTCTCATCATATACTCACAGAAGAATGTGTGGCAAATACCGCCTCCTTTTTTTTTTTTGTCATGCATCCGATAGCTCAATAACAGTTCACAGCTCACTCAGGAACATTGCTAGAAACCCTTCCCCAGCGGTCCACTCACTTATCCTCTGTATGGTAGTAGAGCACCAGGCGCAGGTGGTTGTTGATGTAGGTCTCGTCGCCGTTCTCGCTGGTCGAGCCCAGTCGGTAGCCGCGATCCAGCTGCTCGTCATCAGAGTCCACCAGCTGGAAACGCGTCGCGCACGGCAGGTTGTCCACCAGCCTGGAAGGGAGTAGAGTGGGCAGGGGTCAGTGGTGGCGTTTGAGCAACGAGAGATGTCAGTTGCCAGAACATGGGTAGCAAACAGATAGTAGAGGACCTGGCAGCGGTAATGAAAGGTAACTCAGAACAATGCAGTACAGATGTCCTCTGAATAAAATCTTATGAACTCTGCTAAAGCCATTTACACATTCACTCTTACAACAGCAAAGTCAAACCAGCTCTGCTGTAGCCCACTCTAACATCAAATCACCTCCCCTCCACACCCAACTCTGACAATACCCTCACTCACAGGTGGACCGTGTACTCGTGCTGGATGCGACTGATGACCTCGTTCGTATCCTCCTTGGTCCACGACATGGGGTTGTCGAACGAGTTGCATAGCACCTGACAGGCCACGTCCTTCTTCATGTGCACCTCGTACGGCGTGTTCACGATCCGGTCTCCGCGCAGCACTTCACCTGCGCGGCGGTCGCGGGGACGGGGTGAGGGCCGAGGCAGTGGGGGAAACAGCAATGGCTGTCGTATTACAGCACACCGGATGGATGGAAGACAAATGCCACCTGTGAGGTGAGGATATACCTGGCATACCAGGCAAATATATTACGGTTTCTTAATTTCTTTTCTTGTCAAAACGGAGTTTCCCGACCATTCAATTACGAAAGAAAGCAAAGTGATCTCTCGTAATGATCCTCATGATTTCTTGGATCTAGCAGATACATAAGTCATTTGTTACCTATTTTACACTGATTGGACCATTTATGACCTAGGCATAATTGCCAAATGGGCTTTGTAGAAAAGTGACTGCCCACGTCTACATCACAGCAGGGCAACTCACCCAGGTTCTCGGACTTGTAGACGAGCGTGCCGTTCTTGGGCCGGCAGAGCGGCAGACTGTAGTAGTCATACGGCAACTGGGTGTGGGTGCTGGTCAGCTTGATGGCCTGCACCTTGATCGGGCTGCCGGCCTCGAACTCTACCGGAGCCACGCCCGGCACGTAGAAGGCGCCGGCTGGTGCGGACACTAGTAGAGCGACCAGCAGGGACAGCAGCCCGCGGAGCCGCCGCCGCTGCTCCATGGTCGCCACTCGGACCGGGGTGTGTGGCGGAGGGGCCCGGGCGCCGCTCCGCTGGGCTGCTGGGTGGAATATGGTCTATACAGGCACTGCTGCAGTGGCAGCCGTGGGCGGCACCCGGGACCAGAGGTACACAGCAGCCGCAATGGGAGATATCTGAGCAGAAAACCGCTCAGTGATACTGAAACACCCCTGAACTTTGACAATCAGGGCAACGATTTATACTTATCACCTCAACCCAGATTCCAGCTGAACCAATGGGAAACAGCTTGCTTCAGATTTTGCAATGTCAGGCGAGGACAGTTAAAAACCTGAAAATGGAACATACAGGTTATATATCAGAGCACAGAAATTATGTTTACAGATCAAGTCTATGGTCCAAAGCATAGGTATGCACTATGAATTGACTACAAAGCCCCGTTTAACAGCAGGCCACTACCATCTGCTACCAAGAGGGCTGTTCTGGTCCCTGCAGCATAGATCTGTGCTGTGTGCGTCATGCTTGGGTGACGTCAACCGCCTGGCTCTGCCTCTGCCCACTCTCAGCCGGCACACCGCGGACGACCGTCGCTGCAGCCTATTTCAAACGTGGCGAACCGTTGCGCAGGTGGACTGGTGATTGTCGCTCGAATAACAGTTAAATTGTGTTCAAATGTGGTTAAAAGCAATGTGTCACCAAAAAGAGTGATAATGATACCAAAAAAAAAACAGCATACAAACCACTTACACAATAAGAAATATTGGACGGTAAACTTTAACCACGCCACTTTCGCCTACTGCAGCACCAAATTTCCGGCTGCAGGAAAACGAAAAATGCTTCAGTAGGTGACGTCACACAGGCGGTGACGCAGTGGTGTGGGCGGGACTAACAGGCGATGTAGTCCTCACTGCGAGTGCGTGCTGCAGCACATTTCATTTTGGCTGCGCAGCCGAACAGCCCTAAGTATTGGGGCTCATTTTTCATAGAAACATAGTGACAATTCTTGGAAGCATTTGACAGAGGATTGCCCTAAAACAGGGCTGTTAAAGCATATGATAGTGGCTTGGGAGCGTTCCCATATTTGAGGACACAGGACACTTGACCATAGTTCCACCTACAGACCAAGGACAGGCGACAGCAGACAGAATGTAGGTAGGTACCAGAGGGGTGTTCACGGGCAGGGCACCACACGGCGCACACTGCTGCGTGCGGTGTGTGCGGCGCGTAGAGCAGGCGTGGGGGTCGGGGATGGGTAGGCGGTTCTGATGTCATGGCTGCGTGCGGTGGACGGTCCGCCTGTGGCCAGTCCCGACCGGCCACAGCGGTCGCTGTGTGCGGTGACGGAAGGCTGACGTAGGGACCCAGTGGGCGGAGCTTGGAGGCTGTGTGCTGTCCGACCGCACACAGGGCCTGTGAACAGCCCTCAGCATTAGAGCATGTCATGTATCATTATCAGACATGCATGCATCAAATGATGAATCATTATCAGAAAATTAAGATAGTTTCAAATCCAAATCAAAATGATGCCAGCCAACGAAACGTTATTTCTATGTGTATACACTGTGGTTGTTTCCATAAGTCTATCTTGATCTATCAAAGTGGCGGTGATCTTTAAGTATGGCAGGATAATTAATTACACACCACCGAACAACATTTACAATTTTACATGCATAAGTATAACGCATACAAATAAATTTGCTACGTGTTTTCGCCGATACACCTAACGCTAAAAACGCCAGCGCCGGATCCAGATATGCTTTTAGCAAACCTAGTGGTCATTTACCGAACTATCAGGAAATGACGAAATAATTGAAGATCATGAGTACAGTTTATGTTTTATTTTGAGAAATTTCAATTCAAATATACTCACTTCACATTTTGTTTGATGAATTTGTTCAATTTTTGAAGGGTTGAGGGAAATTTACAGTAATTAATCTCATGTGGTTCTCGGTTCAACGTCCCAGCGTGAAGAACTAGGGGGAGCTATCAAGAACTTTTAACTCATAAATTGACAACAAACCGCAGGAATAATACAAATATGAAGCGTTTGGGGCATTCCACGTCAAATCGAACAAAAATCGGCTGTTTTGCACCTTACCATCAGCGATTTCATTATAAATTTGTGAGCGAGTTCCTGTGTCGCCCCGGACATTACATTGATGTTTTTTGCACATTCTAACCACAGGTCTTCTAAATATAGGGCATCAAATTTTTACAAAATGTTGCATCTTTATATTTTTGAACGACCATAACTTTGGTTGTACTTGTTTGATTTGAATGAAATAAACCTTACTGTTTAGGTAATTTCTTAAGCATTTGTTTAGAATTGCATCGACTTAAATATATGACCTTGAAATTTGCTTAACTCTGTTCTTAAGCACAAAAATTGAAATAGCAAAAAACACGCCACCTTCGATTTGGCTCATTTTCATATATTTTATTGCCTACCATATTCTTAACAACCTGTGAAAAAATTAGAGTGGGCCATTCATAAGTTTTGAGGAAAATGGCACATATGCAAACGTATGTTAGCACGCGCAGTGGAGGGGGAAGAGTGAATTTCGCCCCATCCCTCCTGTTTTTCGCCAATATCTCATAATATTGATGCGAAATTACTTATGGCTACCTGTCCAGAATTGAATTGCACATCTCATCGTGCAAGCAATAAGAAAATCGGTTCACAACTGTTCTAGTAATAGCGGTGTAAAGTGAACATCCTGTCGCCGCGGCGACGCGGCGACTCGGCAGCCGGCGCCGACCGCTACGCGCCGCCTGAATTGTAGACTGTGCCGGGACGGAACGGAACGGTTCCGTCTTTACATCGCGCTCCTTACCGCTGATTACGTTCGATTCGCGACAAATTTTGTGAGAAGACTAAGAAATGTACAAGCAATCTTATGGTGAAAGAATTCTGAAAATAGTTTGGTAAACAATTGAAATATGAACGTGTAAACACAAAATTGTGACTGCTGCGTTTCCCGCGTCGGCCGATCCCGCCTCAGCCGGCGACATGTTACTCTTAGCAGGACTCTAACTGCCATATTTATTATCGGATTAACTAGAAATTCCCCATACATACTCAAAAATGTATGTTCTTTCGTATAGTGAAGATCAAAAGACGTGAAGATATCGTTGCGTGATAATGTTTTCGTTGAATTTATGTCATGATGCATTTCCACACGGCTCAAAATTCACCGCAAAATACCGTTTGCCTGAGACACTTTTACAATGGAACGTGAATGCTTGACTACGATGACTATGCATTTCCATTCTCGCAGAGTTTGGGATATCACTAATCAGCAATCATTCATTTCAGAAAGTGTACACAAGCAAGCATGTCTTGACTCTGTCTCTCAAGGTCACGCGCGGTTGCGTGATGTTGGGTGAGACTAAATGCTTACTTCGAAATCTAAGCTGCGTTGCGGCATTGGCGGTTATGTGCGGCGTGTATGCCGCATGATTAGTAAGCGGCGACCACTAAATTAAAAACTCATTAGCTATGACCTGTTTTCAATGGATAACACTGCATACCAAAAATGTCCATCGCTCTCGTCATAGGATATTTAGATTTAAATAACTAACTTATGTACATCATTGTTTTGAACCAAATTAATACTCAGCCGCGAACGTATAAGGTATAACCCCTTGCCGTTTCGCTCCTGATCAAGCTAGAGCTTCGCGGAAAAAAAACGAGCGTGTTGCCCGTGACGAGAGAAAGCCGATGATACCCAATTTTAAGGTCCTAGGTCATCGGTTGACCTTCCAGGTCAGGTCAATTTCCCAAAAGGCGGGAAAATTGGGACCTGTTAGAACGTCGTAGTGTGGCTGCTATGGGGTTTTTCGGGGTGCTGATCACGAATATCATGCTAGTTTTGATCACAGATGATGTCTTCATTCATTTAGGCCAGGTCGGGTTAGGTCAGGTCAGGTCAACCAGTAGAGGTTCTGCCAGGTATTTGTAGTAGGTGTCAACCGCCTCTGACAGCCTCGTAACATGTTACGAAGGCACCAAAACTACTTTGTAAACGTTCATGTGGCTGCTTAATTCGAATTCAGCTCGAAAAAAAACTGACCTAGAAACATGTCAAACTCGAAAAAGTGAACCGAGGTCACCAAAGGTCAATGACCTGACCTGACCTTCAGGTGACCTTGACACCCACCCTAATGCATGGGGGCAACATCATATCACATGTTTGAACGCTTGAAACCACGAAAAGACTGCAAACGCGCTGCTAATGCGAGCCGACATACGCTGAATCGCGGTTCCGGCCAAACATGGTCTCGAAAAGTAGGTCACAGGTCAAAGGTCATTTGGGTCAGGGTCATGAAATTTTCAGGATGGGTGTTAAATTAATCAATGCGAGGGTACTGAAAGTTTCGTCGCGATCAGCCGCTTTTTAAGCGAGTTATTCGCGAAAAACCTTAGGGGGGTTGCATCAACATGACCTCGCCCGCCTGTGCGGGCGAGGTCATGTTTTGATAGCAAGACTGAAACAGACTTTTTTGGGTAGCCAGGAAATCGCATGCCAGAGCCTATTCAAATTCTTTTATCGGCCTTTATATGCACCAGTCGCATACAGGTACGGGATTTAGCATACGATTTCCAGACAATCGAAAGACTGTTTGGAGACAACAAAGGAAAGGAAGGAATGAGTGAGTTAAGTTGAAAGTATTAATTTGGTTCAAAATGATGATGTAGGTAACCTAGTTATTTAAAGCTAAATATCTTATGACGAGAGCGGTTGGCATTTTTGGTATGCAGTGTTATTCATTGAGAACCGGTCGGAGCGTTTGAGTCTTTAATTTAGTGGTCGCCGCTTACTAATCATGCGGCATTCACGCCGCACATAACCGCCAATGCCGCAACGCAGCTTAGATTTCGAAGTAAGCATTTAGTCCCACCCGTGATGTTGATGCATGAAAACGGCGTTTGCCGCGAAAGTTATGAATGGCCCACTCCAATTTTTTCACAGATGGTTAGGAACATTATGACGGACATAATATGTAAAAATTACTCAAATCGAAGGTGGCGTGTTTTTTGCTATTAAAATTTTTCTGTTTTAATTCAAGGTCAAATGCATTTCAAGGTCACTTCAATTTAATTTTATAATTAAAAATCAAAGCCTTATCAAATGCCTACAAGACCCTGTTAATATCATTTTGATACCAGAAAAGGAACCAGAGTTATAAGCATTTAAAAAAATGATGTCTGGCATTTTTGGCTATATTCGATGACCTATATCTCGGCGATACGTTATCAAATTTCGAAAATATTATACGTAACTCAGTTTTGAACCATGCCCAATCTGCCTACAAATTTTCAGAAAAATCGAAGGGGATGACGGATTTCGGTGTTTGATTTGACGTGGAATGCCCCGTTTGTTACATATAAGGCATTTAGTTGATCATCGGCTTCCTGTATTGAGTTTTTGATTGGTCAATGTCCTCAAGAACTGCAGAATTTTAGCGAATCAGCGCCTGGTTGAGCGGAACCCAATAAGATTGTAAAAATTCATTGGTTGAATTTCTCTGATAAACTGACTGTCATGATGACTTATGAACAGATTATATATATATATTGCCCAAAAAGCAAAATCCAGGGTCTATAACGTCTATAACGAAATCATATAATCGTGATTCGTGAGTGTAATAAACGGTAAACATGAATAGCTATTGCAAAGTTTTCCAATAACTTTAACTGCGAATGCGATAGTTGAATTAATTACCATCTGTCCTTTCCTCTTTCCCCAGATTTGCCCCAGATCATCACGCACTGGACTCTGGAGCCAACATCCTCTGAGAATGGCTGACTCTCTGAATGTGCCAGAGCAAACAGAGGCAGAGCCTGCCAGTGAGATGCTCACATCCAGCTGCTATGGGTATGAGTGTTTCCAGAACTACACTGCACCGGAGGTGTTCATCCAAGGTCTGGCTGGCACGGTGAGCACGGAGGACACAGAGGCCATCATCCGTGCACAGAAAGTCATGTGAGTAACAGCAGTAGGTTGAGGTATTGAGGCACAAGGCCTTGGAGATCAAAGAATTGGGGATTTAATGTTTGTACTCATGAGTAGCTCAAGGTGCTATGGCTGATCTTTGATTTCTTTACTGTTCATTCCATATGCATTTGTCTGGTTTGTTTCTGGAATGTCTCTGTTCTGTATTGTAATGAATATTAATATGGAATATAACATTAGCTAACGTTTACTTTGCAAACAAAAGTGTGGCATTGATGAAGTTTTATGACAGTTACAGTAATTGACCATGCTATTCTTACCTAACCTTTCCCTCCATCAGGCTGCAGCGGTTCGAGAAGACAAACGCCATGCTCACCAATTGTAACGCCTTGTCAGCTCAGCGGCTTCAGAACACCACAGTTGACTTCAAGAGACATGTGCAGATGCTGACTGAAATGAAGAAAGATCTAAGCCAGGTGTTTGAACGAATCAGGAAGCTGAAAACCAAGCTTACCAATCAGTATCCAAAACAGTTTGCAGGTAAATAAAGGGCATTAACCTCACAACAATGATTTATTTTACATATTTATCTTGGAGTGTGTCAGAAAAGTTTACTTTACTGGGACACTACCTATTAATTGTAGCATCTGAGGACCTTTAACCCAACTAAGTGTTATGCCACCTTTGCTGGTTATTTCTCAACTTTTGTCATTGTGACCAGTTTCCGTACATTCACAAATTACATTCCTGTATGCAACTTAACATGTCTATTTCAAACAATTTTTGGTTATGGATGCCATTATTAACATTGTGCCATCAAGTTTCTAGCGAGATTCATGTACCTTTGGGTTCAGTCTGTCCCCGCTGATCGTAGTGGCCTGTCCGCAGAGGCGGCGAACCGGACCGCACTAGCGGAGGAGGAGGAGGAGCCCGCAGCGGCGGCGGCGGACGGAGGCGCGGACGGCGCCACGGGCGGTGTGCGGCGGAGGGAGCGGCCCGGCCGCCAGTCGCGCGCACAGCAGCAGCTGAAGCGTCACTCGTGCCACGCCTCTGTGGCTCAGAGCAGCAGCAGTGGCGGGGCCGGGGAGCGACCGGTGCAGGTGTCCGAGCCGCCGCCCCACAGCTCGTCGGATAGCGAGGCAGAGGAGGAAGCCAGTGTGTCATCGACAAACTCGTAACTCGGTAACGGAACCGGAGGGGCGGGCCATGTGCACAGAGTCGTCCTTGTGAAGGATTGGTTATGTGGGTAATGTATGTAATGTTGCTTGTAAGGATGGGTATTGAATAGCTTACGGTGTTTTTCACATAGCACTCGAGCAGATGTCATGTGGTCCTGAACTGCTTTCCGCGACTTGTTACGAACATATCACCTGTGTGGTCCCGAGTCAAAAGAGGGACATTTGCGACGTCTGTTGACAAGTACTTTGTTTTGCGAAAACTTGCGCTTTTTTCATGTTCGTGGTCAACTAACTAACGGCATAGTGCGTACTATGTAGTCCACCTTTCGTTATTAAATACCGTATTTTATGATTCACTGAACTTCTTGCTGTTGCATTCAATCAGCAAAGGGTCAGCAAAGGGCAAACCTAGTCCGCAAGTGCCAAGTGATTGTCCATATTCTCGACATGATTGAATGATATTTGAATGGATTGCTTATCTGTTTTCGCATTTGATGCTATTCTTATCCGTTCAACCCGTAACAACGATCAAAACGCAGATCGCAGCACCTCCAAAATGACTACTCGGTGGTTGTTACTCGTTATTCGTTTCGTATTTGAGCTGGCAAAATCGTGAGCACGACCCCTCACAGTGATGATTTGTTGTGACAGTGCGCACCAGCTTAGAGGCTATATCGCCCCCTTCACAAAATGTGTCTTTCCATACGTTGTAGCTTTTTGTGTTTCAAAGGTCAAAGGTGCTTTCGATCACTAAGCGAACTTACATGGGCTTAGCTACAAGATATGTTATATTAAGAAATGTGCGTGTTTGTGTGAGTATGCTGGTGTATTGTATCATTACCTTCATTTTGTGTGTGCATGTGCAATACTGTATCACTTTGTGTATAGCGGACATCCCGCTGCTTTGATTTCTCATGGTTTTTCGTGTTTACGCTCATCTGAAATACACCTGCTGCAGAATCCGCAGCCCAGATGTTTATCGTGTACAAAGTTCAATATTTAGTTCTGAATGAAAGCTTTTCATAAAAATCGGCAAAGGGCACCTAGTTCATAAGTGTCAAGTGATTGTCCATATTCTCGGTATGATTAAACGAGTGATTGACTCGCGGGTGAAAAGGCCCGCCTCCGACCAGGCGTCATCACGGAAGAGCCGGCACGCAGCAGATTCCACGCGCATTCCGTTCCGGCAGATTCCATTTCATTCCGTTCCAGCAGATTCCGTTCCGGTGGAGGGTACAGGATCAGCTGTTAGTGCACGTGTGGCTTCCACCGATTGTAAATGTTCGCCAATTTAAAAGCAGATTGATATTAATGTCTAGCGAGAATAAATATAAGTCAGTCAGACATCAAGCTGTTATTAGATTGACAGACATCGATCGTAATAATTCTACCCGGCTGGTGGCTCGTGGGTACGATGATGCTCAACAGTCTACATTGTAAAAATTCGGATGCAAGCTTAGTGAGTTTTAACCACAATAAAGCAGTACTAATGCAGGTGTGTATTTACAGAAATGGAGCCAAATGCGATCCAATTACCTCGTCTCATCTTTCTTACTACGTCATACACATCTGCTATAGCCTTGCATCTGCTGAGCCAAGCACCGCAGAGAAACCATGTATTTCCCTTCAGGCATGGATTCTCTCAGTCAACCCCGCGCGATGCCATGGCAGTGCACTAAAATTCCCCGATGGCTGCGACACAGCCTTCCCGGAACAAAACTCCAGGGTGTGCCTGCCGCCGACGCACGATATACGAATCCAAAAACAGCTCAAACAGCTTCACCCGAACTCAGTCAACCAGTTTCAGACACTTGGCGAAAGCACGTCAACCTACTGAAAATGGAATCAGTCCTCGTCCTCGGCTTCCTGCTTCGCCTTCTTCTTCTTTTTCTTTTTCTTCTCGCTGGTAGCCTCGGCAGCCTCCTGAGTGGTGTCCAGATCAGCCATCTCGGCGTCGGCCGACTCGCTCTTCGACTTCTTCTTCTTTTTCTTCTTGCCCTCAGCAGGCGTAGTCGGCTCGTCTTCCTCAGTTTTCACCATCGAGACATCGGCAGCCTCCGAATCACGCTTCTTCTTTTTCTTCTTCTTGGGCGCCTCTTCTTCGTCACTGTCCTCGGTTTTCACCTGAGTTTCGGACGATGTGGCCTCCTCAGCCTCCTGATGCTTCTTCTTCTTTTTCTTCTTCTTCTCACTAGAGGCCTCCACGAAGGAACCATCCATTCCTTCGGGCTCGGATTTGGGTTCCGAGATCTTGGCACGCTTGGGAAAGCCTTCCTCTCCGTCGGCCATTTTCCGTTTGACTGAGCTGGGGATGGTGGAGTCTGCCGCAGCCGGGTACTGCTTGATCTCACTGGGGGACAGGCAGATGCACAGGATGTCAGATGGAGGGACGAAAGACGTCAGATGGGGGACGGCTGACATCAGATAGGGGGGGAGGGCGGATGACGTCAGATGGGGCGCAGGACGAATCACGGACGGCGGGAGATACCGGCGGGAGATACCACGTAAATGAAAAAAATGAGCCAATTGCATGCTGTTGCGGCAGCCCGTGAACTACCTACAAGTCTGCTTATTGTATGTACTTAAGCATACCACCGTACTCAATCGCACTGAAATCGCGACAGTTAATCTGTACTGCGTCATGGTTCCTTATATTTTTAACGTGGAAAGCTTATATTACAGCAAAATAGTAAGTGAACGCGGTAGAGCCGAAAGGACATTTACAATTATCTAATAGCTAAATCCTCGCTTCCAAACACTTTCCGTGTACCCTTCCCGGCCTTCCCTTGCCTCACCTCTTGTTCTGGTACGAGTCGAACTTGGCCGACTTTTTGCCAGAGCCGGAGATTCTCATGCTGCCACCCTCCTCGAGCGCTCGTAGGCGGGCCTCGAGACGCGCGCGGTGCTCGACGCCGAGCTGTGCGCTGGCCTCCGCCTCCTCCCCGAGGGCGTCGACACGGCACGCCAGCGCCGCCTTGGTGGCCAGCATACGGGAAGCCTGGCGACGGGACGGTCACCGGTCAGAGCATGGAACAGACCGCTGGACGGGGACATCACCGGTAAACGAGATCAGACTCTGACATAACAGCTCGACCTTATGCGTTACCAACAAGACTCCGTCAAAGTAAACGTCAGCCAACCCTACCTGTCCACCAACGCTGTGAAGTGTGATATAGTTCCAAAACTTAACGCCACCTATCGGATCTTATCTGAGTAATTTCCAGCGACAAGCATGCCGCGTTTGTACTGACCTTGCCCTTGAGCTTGCTGCTGGCGTGCGTGACAAACTGCGCGTGGTAAATGAGTCCGTATTTGGGCGTGTCGTGCTTGGTCTTCAGCGCGCGGAACAGCGCCTTCTCGGCTCCCAGGATCTGCACCGTGGATGCCGGGTGTTTGGCCAGGTTCATCAGCGAGCCTGCCGGTGGCAAAGAGGTGAGTCTGTGAGCGGTGGGACATCTAATATACAATCATCTGTTCATTGAAAGTATCGAATTCCGCTGATTGACCGTATTCAGAGTTTGTAGCGTTCGTGCAGTTCACCCTGTTGCAATCAGCGTGCAATATAGTTGATATCAACATGTCAACAGAATCGTTAAAATCCTATCAACAGGCCAACTGCAGAACTTCACCCATTAACAGTTGCAAGCGCATCAAAGGCAAACCAGTATTTACAAAGATTTTTTTCTTTAGTCAGTGGGAGCGCCTCAGGGACCATCTATTCGGAGGTTTTCGAACCTGCGTGTGAGATGAGCCTGGCGCCGACGATGTCCCCGACCAGGACACTCAGGTTGGGCGCCACCGCTGCCATACGGTTCTTCAGGTACTCTGACAGCTGCGCTCGGTACTCGGTGATCTCCAGAATCTGGCGAAAAAAAAATAATACAACGTAAATAGAAGCATACGGGTCTTCACGACGGAAAAGTGAGCAATTTGATTTTTTTTTTTCAAGACCTTCCGATACCTGAACACTCGATTTACGCTCAATCACCTGTTCTCACAAAACCTTTGCTATGTTCCCGGTTCCCCACCTGTTCACACAGATGCTTGATGTTGTCGATGTCCGTGTCGGCGATCTCGGTTCCCATGGAGATCTCGGCGGCCTTCTTCACGGCTTCCTCCACGTCCTCCGGCAGGATGTCAGAGAAGTCCGTGTCCAGCGCGTTGGTCCGCACGCCTGGAGCGAGCGGAGGTCAGCAGAGGGCTCAGCGGTCATCCTAGCTTAGCTGTGTTCACCATACAGTTAATCAAATCATGCAACCAAGCACAATCAAACATAGATGACTTGGATTGTTTGCCATGATGTCTTCTCAAGAGGCATATCATAAAATGTCTCCTTATGAGACTTATCATGTCCTAGGAGGTTCTCCTACTTCACACGTTTTCAAGGAAGGCACATGAAAGTGGCCTTCCTTCTGTATCTCCCCGGCACTGACCCATTTTGTTGACGGTCTTGACGAAGGCGATGTTGTCAGTGATGATCTTAGTGAGCTCGGGGAAGTGCCAGCCGTACCACTCCCGGCAGCGCATCACGTAGTTGTTGAGCTCCTTGTCCAGCTCGTCCAGAAGGCAGACCGCCTGGACAATCATCGTGTCCACCTTGTCCGGCGAAAACTTGAGCTTGTAGCGCGACAGGCTGCGGAGGGCGGGATGGAAAGGTTACCAACACTAATAGAATAGGGCGCTCCAAACGGTTAGGGCCGTGAAAACACCACGGAATACAACGTTAACTTTCTGCTGATAGCGACTGAAAATGTATCTTGTACACAGCACGTAACCTGCGGTATTTTCAAAGAGCGATAAAGGCAACCAGCTTTTATGCAGCCAAACGCTCTATTTGTATCACAAACATAAATTTTAAAAAATAGCCAACTGAAGAGCGACAATCCAAACAACCATTACGACCCCGAGGCGACCCGCTTGAGCTTCACACCCTCTACACACACATCACTCAGATCCTAGCCTGGCCCCGCACGGGTCCCGTCACCCACCTGTGCGCCAGTCCGAGCCTCATGGCGGTCACATCCTTCGCCTCCAGCCCGGTCAGCAGGCTGTCCGACTGGGAACGGATGCAGCGGATCAGCTCGTTCACCGCCGTCGACGCCACACACTGTACGTCCAGCTTCTCTTTGATGATGTTGCCCAGCTTGGCGTCGGAGAGCGCCAGGGTCTCCTGGACGTCCACCTTCTTGAGGAGCTTCTTGAGCGGCTTGCTCATCTTGCCCTCAATGACGCCGGTGATGGCGGCAAGAGCCTCTGTGGTGTCGGCGAACTTTTGGAAGTGCTTCAGCTTCACACTGTTGAGGAAGAAGATGGAAAATTTTTATTAATGGCAATGCTTAGCTTGTTTTGTTCGTTCCATAAAGAGCATTAAACTCCCGGTAGCGAGAGCCCGAGTTCGACTCGGTTCAGTATCAGTATCCAATATACCAAACTCCTGATGGGAATGGGCTACGGTTAGTGGGAAAGCAGTACCGACCCGAAGTCTTAGATGTATTCAGCTTGACGATACGGATTGACTCATATGCATTATTACCATTTTCAGTCAGGTTATGACCTTGACCTGAGGTTAACCCGCGACCTGGTGGGGGGGGGGGGCTATTTTTTGCCCCCCCCCCCTCCAGACTTTTCGATATATCTCCAGAACCGCTGCACCAAAATTTTTTTCCAAAGGCTACGATAGGTTGGCCGGAAATGACGTCAGAGTGACGTCATGTTCTGCCGTTTTCGACCCAAAAAAGGGTTTCGCGGGAAGAGCTGTCAGGCCTATAGCTTTGCAAATACAGAAAAATGATAAGGACATAAAAGCTGTAGATTGGACAGGGCTACAAAACTGCTATCTCGGGTTTTTGAAATTTTTGGATTTTGACCCCCAAAAATCAAAAAATAGATTTTTTGGATATAATAATAGAAAAATCCAAAAAGTTTTTTGAATTTCGCAAAAACCGGAATATATGTGATATTCCTTACCGCCTTCCATCCACATACCAAATTTGAGATTGATATCTCTTTTTTTGGCGAAGTTATAGCGAAAAAACTGTTCAAAATTGATGACGTCAAATTTTCAAACTCAATTTTTAGCAATTCTAGACCCCTTAGCGCAAAACAAAGACCACCATTAGACTCCCCGTGACGAGCTGCATCGAATCAATACCCATTTTATCCAAAACTATCAACTTTAAAATTTGACCTTTTTTTGTGTATTGTGTATTGAAATATACCGTCCACAGGTGCACCCCATTTACAGACGGAGTCACAAGCATAAATATACGCCACATTTTCACACACCTACCTATGTCTAACTAACACATGTATAAATAAGGTTACAGACTCGATACGAATGCCTTCACCTGACTTCTAAACGCCGCCCGGGATCCGAACAGGTCAGCAGTGGGCCGTTTCTCACATAGACTGTTCACAGCTCGTGGCAAGCGACAGAACAAACCGTTTCTGATTGTGTCAACCCTTGCTGCAGGCACATACAGCACAGGCTTGGAACGAGTTCGCGATGGTACAGCGAGTAAAAACATCGCAAGAATGTCACCGGAGTCGATCCTGCCGGTGAACACGTTCTGCACGAAGTTCAAGTCATTCAGAACAAGCCGCTGGTCAATTCGCAAGACACCAAAATGACGAAGCAGATCAGTATAGTCAAGAGAAGCACATGGACTGTTTGAATGCCTGCCCAACCACATCAGGAACTTGTGTTGGATACGCTCCAATCTCGCAATATGAGTTTTTGCTGCTCCGCCCATATCACGCAACCGAATTCCATGATTGCACGAATGTGGGCATTGAAACCTGTCATTATAGGTCCTGGCGGTAGCCTACGACCGGCGGGAGCTCGATAACTCTGAAGCGATCTCAAGTACATGCCCAAGGCGCGGTTTACCTTTCTTACAAGTTCATCAATGTGGGGGCCGAATGTCAACTTTGAGTCAAGCAGAACACCAAGATCACGCATCTGGCTCACACGTTCCATTGCAGTACCGCCAATGTGGTAGGTTGTATCTAAAGGCTTTCCACGAAGTGTGAACGTGATACTTTTGCATTTAGATGGGTTCAGAGCTAACTTCCACGTACCTGACCAAAGACACAATTTATCTACGTCTGCTTGAAGAGCCAAAGAGTCACTAGCAGTTCGAATGCGACGGTACAATTTCAGATCATCTGCATACATCAGGCACCCAGAAGATATGTCGAGAGGGGCGTCGTTGCAAAATAAGACGAACAGGATTGGCCCACATATGCTGCCCTCCGGCACTCCTGACTTCACACGCACCCAGTCAGAACACTTGCCGTTCAACACTACACTCTGCTCTCTCCTACTCAGGTAAGAACGGAACCAATTGAGAGCGGCACCAGACAAATGGTATGACTTCTGTAGCTTATGTAAAAGCAGAGAGTGGTCAACACTAGTAAAAGCCGACGAATAGTCCGTATAAACTACGTCAGTCTGAGCCCCCTCGGCTATCGAACGCCACAGCTGATCGACAAGACAGGTAAGATTGGTCTCGCATGAACGTCCTGCTAAAAAACCGTGCTGTGCTGAGGATAAAACGGGCGACACGTGTTGAATCACTTGGTCACATATGATGCGCTCACATATTTTGGAACAAATCGGCAAGAGGGAAACCGGGCGATAGTTGCTGGGATTTTTGCGGTCACCCTTCTTGTGAACCGGGGTAACGTACGCGCGTTCCCAGACTCTAGGAAAGGTGCCCTGGCTCAGTGAAAGTCGAATGAGTTTTGTGATCGGCACAGTGAACTCTGCTGCACACTCCTTCAAAATTCTACCACTAAGACCGTCTGGTCCACAAGCCTTATGCACATCAAGGGTAAGTAGAATGTTTCTAACTTTGTCACTGCTCACAACAAACCTTGACAGACTATCTACGTCATAACTCGGTGCCACAGGTAAGTCATGAACGACAGCTGGGTCAGAAAATTTTGCAGCAAACGCACGACTCAGACATTCGGCTCTATCACGATCGTCAGATATAATTCTACCATCACATTTCAGAACAGAAACATTTTTTGAAGACTTTACGGATTTTAACAGAGACCAGAACCGTTTCGAGTTGTTCTTGAAGTCATCGACGATGTGCAACATGTATCTGCGGTACTTGGACAGGACTAAACTCTTAAACTGGGTCCTACAGGTTGCAAACCGTTTAATCCGTTCATCGGTAGGTGACTGTTTCTTGTGGCGGTGGGCAATCTCTTTTTGGCGCAACGCTCGCTTAACATCTGCATCGAACCATGGTGGGTAGCGAGCCTTCAGAGTCACCACCGGAATGTGATCTGATATTGCCGCTTCTGACATCTGACATCTGACACCTCCGCTTCTGCTGCGTTGTTCCAGACCAGAACATTTGTCATTTTCACAAAGAAGTGCTTATTTTTCATATTTTCTTGAGTCAATGCTGTTGATGGCTGGCCACTGCGGGGGTGACCTTTAATGATCTGTTGACCAAAATTGAACAGAGATGTCCGCTTTTTGACGCTACTGTAAGAAAGACAAAACTCAACATGTGTTGGCACTAGCTTTTCGTGAATAACGTTTGGTGCATTTTTCTGCAATACATGAACCAAATCACTGCTCCCTTCTGGGCGTCGCCCATTCTGACCGGGAATGGCTAACTGTGTTACGATTAATTAGCAGCCTGAACCAATCACAGGGCAGATTGGTTAATGGCTACGTAAGTGGACATCCCAATAACACATCATTGAACACACCGCGTTGCAGGCCGAAATTCCAACTCCTTCATGGTTGGGCCGAGAACTTTTTGAACGCCCCTCGTATAAGCCAATTGCAATGGGAGAAAATTGAAATGAGACTCTTTTGGACGAATGTCGTTCTAAACTCTCTCAAACAGCGGTTCATAGGTAAACATGACACAGTGAATCGGAAAATTGCAACTGTGGCCCCTCTGTGTGCCCCTGAGGTTGGTCATCTCACGCATAGACCCCTTCTCACGCCATGAAAGGTTTTCAACAGTTATTTGACAATAACTTTTGACAGAGAGGTGCTAGAGCGGTAAAAACACGTCAGATGTGTTCAGGTCGACGATAAGGATCGACTGATATGCAATATGGCCCTTTCCGGTCATGTCATGACCTTGACCTGAGGTCAAATTTTCAAAATGACCTTTCAAGGCCAAATTATAATTCATTCGACGCGTCTTGACGAGAGCAGAACGATGCTGGCAAAAGTAATGTCACGGCTCTCCTGAGTTGAAATTCATTGCCAAAAAACATTTTTCGTGAAAAGGGACCATTTTTAGGGGTTTTGCTCTCTGGAGGCTAAACCGTTGATCTGATGTCAAATCTGAGGACATGTCAGCGAAAGAGCGTTAAAAGTGCTATCGAATGCGCTTTTCCGCGGCTCTAATGGTTCCCGAGTTAGCCGTCGGGTGTTTCAAAATTGAAATAGACAAAATTTGACCTTTGAAGACCTCTGGTGACCTTAACCCTCGCCGGCACAGGGCGGGGGGTTGATGCAACCCCCCCCCCAAGGTTTTTCGCAAATAACTCGCGTAAAAAGCGGCCGATCGCGACGAAACTTTCAGTACCCTCGCATTGATCAATTTTACACCTACCCTGAAAATTTCATGACCCTGACCCAAATGACCTTTGACCTGTGACCTCTTTTCCGAGACCATGTTTGGCCGGAATCTCGATTCGGCGTATGTCGGCTCGCATTTATAGCCGAGCGTTTGCAAGCTTTTCGTGGTTTCAAACGCTGAAACATGTGATTTTATGTTGCTCCCATACATAAGGGTGGGTGTCAAGGTCACCTGAAGGTCAGGTCAGGTCATTGACCTTTGGTGACCTCGGGTGACTTTGGTTCACTTTTTCGAGTTTTACATGTTTCTAGGCTAGTTTTTGGAGCTGAATTCGAATTTAGCAACCATTTGAACATTTACGAAGTAGTTACGGTGCCTTCGTAACATGTTACGAAGCTGTCAGAGGCGGTTGACACGTATTACGAATACACGTCACAACCAGGGTTGGCAGGGGGTGGCAAAAACTCGTTTTTGCCAGTGGTTTTAACCGGTTTAAACCGGCTGGCAGAAACCCCGGTGGCAAAACTGGCAAAAACTGGATAAAACTCAGGTGGGCCAAGCCACAACTTTTCTAGTTAGGAATGGATCTGAAATGTACAAATGCATTTCTTGATGTTATAGAGATGCACCAAACATTCTGAAGTTTGCCTCATTACTTATCCCTGCTTAAAATGTCTATGCATGTCAGTAAGCATCCACCACAGAATGTATTTCCATGTAGGGGAGTGGGGCAAGGCTGCCACGGTAGGGTGCAGTGCGCATATCAGTGGCAGATACCCCTTCGCACTTCTGATTGTGCAGGACTCACTCTTGCACTGGCTCATTTGTCACCCCCAAAAGGCGCCTTATGGAAAGCCCATGAAAATGTTTTTGAGTTATAGAACACTTCAACGGTCAATGTCACTTCTGGTTGAAAGCATAAAGCTTTCACCGAATTCTCCTAAAAATGTTTCATCTTTAAATCCATGTCTAGGCATATCATTGTGCTGGTTTTTATTTTTTGCCAGTTTTTGCCACTTTTTGCCGGTTAAAACCGGTTTAAACCGGCAAATGGCATAAACTAGTTTTTGCCGGCAAAAATGCCAACCCTGGTCACAACCCCTACCGGTTGACCTGACCCGACCTGGTCTAAACGCTTTAAGACATCATCTCTGATCAAAACTAACACGATATTCGTGATCAGCACCCTGGAAAACCACATAGCAGCCACACTTTACGACTTTCTAACAGGTCCCGATTTTCCCAGTTTTCGGGTCATTGACTTGACCTGGAAGGTCACCCGATGACCTAGGACCTTAAAATTGGGTATCATCGGCTTCCTCTCGTGACGGGCAACACGCTCGTTTTTTCCGCGAAGCTCTAGCTCGATCAGGGGCCAAACGCGAGGGGGGGAGTCGTACCAACCCCCTCCCCCCCCCCCCCTTGTGCCGTTGAAGGACGCAAAATGACCTGTGCCGGCGAGGGTTAAAAATGAGTGGTGTTTTCTTCCTTATTGTTGACGCTCTTTCGATTACCGATTACCGCGTGTCGCCGGTAATCGGTACCGGCGGAGACCGGGGAGGGCGTGAAAACGCCCCCTTCCCAGCACTCGGCAGAAAGTTCAGGCCACCAGCACGCGGGTAACATTGGCAAAATTGATGGTGCCATTTTTTGCAAAGATACATGTTTCAGTTTTCTTGGTAAAATTGAAGATAAGATACAGTGGTTTATCAAGGATAAATATTGTTCCTTTTGATGTTTACTATGTTTTGAATATAAAAATGATGCTTATCAGTGCATCAAAAATGATAACAAACTGAGGCAGTATCACCTGACCCAGCCTAACCTGACATAACCCAGTCTTATCTGACCTTACAGCCAACCTTGTTAACTTAACCCAACCAAGAACCTACAATACACCTAACACCTACCTTTAGAAGGTGACAGGCACTCTAGTGAAACTCCATTGTCACACTCAATATTTTATTTGATCATCTATTCTATTACAAACATGAATAATTATCAAGAACAGAATTAGCATTTCCAAACATATAATGTTGTGTAGAATTAAGACTGCTGTTACTTTTTGGTCTCAGCCTCAGAAGGCAATACTGTTTCTTCTACACATGTAAAAATGGAATGAAATAAGTAGGTAGGCATCTTGTTTGTGACATTGTGCTTGTGTTGTTGAGAAAGCCTGCATTATTTGGTGAAATGAATGACAGGGCATCCTAGCATAAGAGCAAAAGAATACCAACCAATAGAAGCCTGGTGAGTTAATAGCTGTAAAACACATTTTTGCAACTACAGCAGTAAACACAGTAACAAAGTACTTACATCTGGCTGGCCTTTTCAGGTGTTTCAAAATCTTCAAAAAGATTTTCTGTTGATTTTAACTTCTTCTCATTCAACAGCTGAAAAAAAAAATTGGTATAAATGTCACAGGAATAAAAAGTGTAACATTTTCCCACATTGTCACATCTAAGCCATTGCACAGTCAGACAAAACAGCAATGTACCAAACAATAAGATTAAAAATTGCAATACATGCTGATGCTGGCACAACAAATAACAAGAGAACAAATCTAAGATCATTCATTTGAAGATAACTTTCACTCCACTTCCAATCTAAATTTGATCACCTTTGATTGATATGTAATGAATAAAATTGACATTATCTCCAATATCATAGATATGACATAGGTAATGAAAAATCATATTGAGGTATACTTATATAAAGCATGCTGGCTGGAACAGGAACATACAACAAATGACACAGTTCACTAAAGATTCACATTTTAATAACTGTAGTGCAAGATGTAAATATTTTGCACACCGCCTAGTGTCTTACCTCAGTTCAAAAATGCCAATTTCATGGCCGTCATAAGTTTGGAAACTATTATCACTCACTGAACATAGGTATGGTTGAGTGGTATAGCTTTAATCAATAGAAATCTTGAATTTGAAAAACTTCTGAAGCTTTGGAATTATATTCAAATTAATAAAAAAGATAGGTAGGTATTCCGTATTTGTGTCAAAAACCAACTAACTGAACTTACCTTAAACAGGGCAAAGCCTGCAGCTGTTTCAAAAAGTACCAGCATTGCTTGTTTCTTGATTTCAGGATCCTGGGTTCAGTGAAGAAGATATGAGATGAAAGGAAAAATTAAACGAGTGATTTTACAATCAATCGTCCCAGTGCTCTCATTTGTAAACGTCAAACCTGCGCACGCGCCCACCACGCGGCACGCGGCGTGTGATTGCGTCGCAGCTGCGTCATAAATGTTATCCACCTAGAGGTATACTTCATAAATGTATTCTATGCTGTCGTAAAAGCATTCAGGGCTTTTCTGACGCTTGAAAATGTTTTTCAATATTTAGATTTTATAAATTGAATCAAAACAATACACCAAACCTGGTCTATTACCAGGCATTATGGCTTTTTTCACAAAGCCAATCAATTTTATACAATTTGAAATCAAAACGTAGGTGACGCATCTGAAACAACATTCCGTTGTGTTCAAACGCAGCCATACGCAGTTCATGCTTTAAAAAGATCGGGAAGAGATGCTGTTTCTTGAAGCTTGAAAAAATTTAGTATTGAGGATAAGTGGAGCTTATCTTGAGAAAATTGTAAAAAATACTACCTTCTTTACTTTTTATGCAAAAAAGAAAGGATTTTATGCATTAAGATTACGAAATAAAATTATGTGCATATCCATAACCACTTTCCTTTTGCTGGCCATTGATTGGTCTGCAGCAGCTATCAAACGGTCTGGGAACATTGCAAATGTTTATTCTTCTAGCCTGGGTGGTTTGTCTGCTTGTTGGTTGGTGGCATTTTGGGTCGCAAAGCATTGGTGGCTGGAGAGTTGTGTATACGTGGCAGGGTTTGCCGGTAAATATTTTTTCCCCCAGTGCTTCCCTATGCTTGTATGTGTTCTAGTTAGACTGGATGTTAACCCTCTTAGAATAGAATATAGGATAGAATAGTGGTTACGGATTTTTAGGACGGTCAACAAAGGACCTGTAGGAAATCCGGTCATTTGCTTCTCCCTTACACCAACCATGTAGCTTTTAGCTCATCCTGGCACCACATGCTCAATCAGTTCGCAGGGTATACTTCCTGTTCACCCACAGCTTGTCGAGACGGTTCTTGAATGTGTTCAAGTTCGGTGCCGCGACGACGTCTGCAGGGAGACTGTTCCAGCTGTCCACTATGCGATGACAGAAAGAGGTCTGGCGAAGATGGGAGTTCACTCGTCTCTTCTTCAGTTTCAGATGGTGACCACGCGTTCGATCTGAGGTGTCGAGCTGCAGAAGGTCGGCTACTTTCACTCTCAGGCATCCTGTCAGAATCTGGTACGCCATTATCATATCTCCTCTCATCCTTCTATAGTACATGGAGGGGAGGTCCAAGGCTCGAAGTCGATCCTGGTACTGAAGGTGACGCAATGGACGAACCAGCTTAGTTGCTCTTCTTTGGACCCTCTCAATGGCATCCTGGTCCGATCTGAATGTAGGTCCCCACACCACATTTGCATACTCAAGGTGAGGACGCACCAGAGTCCGGTAGAGGAGAGGCAGAGAATGACTGTTTAGGGCTTTGAAAGCCCTCTTCACCAGTCCAAGAGCTCTGTTCGCTCGACCCACGGCAGCCGCCACCTGTTCATGGAACTTAAGGTCTTCATCAATGACGAGTCCAAGGTCCTTCTCCATATGCACCTGAGCTAGAGTGGAACCGTTCATCAGGTAGTTGAAGTGCTCGTTAGAGGACCCTAGGTGCATCAGCTTACACTTATCTTGGTTAAAGGGAAGCTGCCACCTGTCTGCCCAGCGTCCCAAGGCATCAATGTCCTGCTGCATGAGAGCCTTGTCCTGAAGGGTGGTCACTTCCTGGTAGAGCTTGGTGTCGTCTGCAAAAAGCATAGAACGGCTTCTGACAGCATCTGGGAGATCATTAATGAAGACTAGAAACAACAATGGTCCCAGTACTGAGCCCTGGGGAATGCCACTGCTGACCCACGTCCAGCTCGAGCAAACGCCCTCTACCACAACTCTCTGCCTCCGGTTTGCTAGGAAGGCAGATACCCAGCGGAGCAGGTTTCCTCCAATGCCATATGCTTCTAATTTCCTGAGAAGTCTCTGGTGGGGCACTCGATCAAATGCCTTCTGGAAGTCCAGATATACCACATCCACGGCACCTCTCCTGTCCAGGATGGTGAGCCACTCTTCAATCACCAACAGTAACTGTAGGGCACATGATCTTCCAGGCAGGAACCCAAACTGGTCATTGGTGAGTAGGTCGTTTTCAAGGAAATGCTCCAGTAGCCTATCTCGAACAAAAGATTCTAGCAGCTTACAAGCAATGGAGGTGAGGCTTACTGGTCTGTAGTTGCCAGGCAAACCTCTGTTTCCCTTCTTGAAAATCGGGACCACATTTCCCTCCTTCCACTTGGCTGGCAGGACTCCTGTATCAATAGAGTGCTGGAACATCATCTTGAAAACTGGACAGAGAGGGGTGGCCAACTCTTTCAGCACCCTCGGGTGGAGTCCATCGGGTCCTGGGGACTTGCTACAGTTCAGGGCTTCTAGTCTCCTTCTGATCTCATCCTCTTGTATCCTGATGCTGGTGAGTGGCTCTCCCGTGAACTTCAAATCAACTTCTGGGATGTTGCTGATGTCCTCATCTGTAAACACTTTGCTCAAGAAGGTATTCAATACCTCAGCCTTCTCTCCACTTGTGGTAGCACTGGTCCCATCACTTCTTAACAGCGTCTCAACTCTTGCTCTCACTTTTGTCTTTGAGCCAACATACTTCCAGAAGACCTTAGGGTTTTGCGTCACATGATTTGCTAGCTGGCTTTCGTAGTTTTGTCTCAGTCTTCTGGTCAAGTTTCTTAACATATTCTTTGCTCTCTTAAATTCAACCCTATCTTGCTCAGATGACGACCTTCTGTACAGCTTATACAGCCTGTCCTTATTTCTTTTTGCACGCAGAAGAGCACTGTTGGTGTATGGTTGACGCTTCCTCTTAAGTACTCTTCTTAAGGGAATGTGCCTTTTTTCTGCCTCATGCATCAATGCCAGAAGTTCCTCCCAGCCTGAATCAGCATCACAGAGCTGCAGTCTGCTAATAATATCAGAGTTTTGGATAGCCTGTGCCATCGATAGAAAATCTGTCTTCTTAAAGTCCTTTGTTTGAGTGTTGCCCTTGATCGATTCAGTCTTACATCTGATATTAAATACAAGACAATCATGATGACTATTTCCCAGAGGCGAGTAGTGCTTGAGATCTGCCACCATACCCTCCTCTGATGTGAAGATAAGATCAATGGTGCTAGGTGACTTGTTGGGCATAAAGTGGGTTGGTTCCTCTACATGTTGTGTGAGAAAGCAGTCTTCCACAGTATGAAGAAACTTGTGGGTGTAATGGCTATCAGGTGCTTCAGATCTTCCCAACTTCCAATTGATTTCACGATAGTTGAAGTCGCCAGTAATTACTATGCTACTTGGGTTACTTTGGCATACTGTTTTCATTAACTCACAGAGGGCATCTGTTGATGATGGTCCATCACAACTAGGGCTACGGTAGATGGCTCCCAGAATGAGGAGTTCACCCTTAACTGGTTCAATATGCATCCACATAGATTCTTCAAATAATCCAGGGAAGCAAATCTCTGATGCCATTATGCCTTCCTTCACCAGTATCACAATGCCCCGCTTACCTGATGCACCCAGTCCCGGCTGACTTGCATCAAAGTTTAAATAGGGCACATATTGATCTCCAACTGCAAAACATCCAAGTGAGAGTGGCCTGATCTGGGCTTTAGGGATAGCCTCTGTTAAAACAATCACATCTGGCCATGCACAGGTTTCAGCTAACAATGCCAATTCATCCAGCTTGTTTGGAAGACCATCTGCATTTGTGTACATTATTTTCAATTGAGTCACATTTTCCAGACAAATTGGTTCTTTCTTTGGTCGATCAGTATGCACAGTGTCCTGCTCCTGTGACAAGTTAGTTACATGCCCCTTTGCTTTTGAGAATTTACATGCATCACAGACACAGACATGCCCATGCTGAAGCCTCAAGCATGCATCATAAGCAGTTTTAGCACCCTCTGGATCTGGACATGCAAAATATCTGTAAGCTAGACCGCAGACTTCCTCAATGGGCTGACCACTTAGTCAGACTCTGCTTCTTTCCTTGTTGTGGTGGACGTTTGCTGCCCCTGCATCGTGCATCACCACCACTTTTCCCCTTTGGATGCGAACAACCTTACCCTCTTCCCTTAGTCTCTTTGCCTCAAGACGTAACTTCCTGTCCTTCTCCCTTTCTTCTGGAGTGCGATCTGGTGACAGGTACACATTACCATATGCATGATGACCCCTCAGTTGAGGTGCCTGCTTGAGTACATCCCATTTTTTCTCTTCATCCTCCAGTGTGACAATCAGGGGACGAGGCCTCTCAGGCTGGATCTTACCTGCCCTGAAAGCCTTGACAATGTTCACTTTGATGTGCAGCTCCTCTTCAATCATACTCTTAGTTTTATTGACATCGTCCTGTGCTCTCTCCTTTGAGTTTTGGGCAGAGCTTTCAGGAAGATTATGCACCACAATGTTGTTTCTTCTCTTCTCTTTATCAAAGAAGCTTCCGACTGTTTTTGCCAAACTTGCCTCCGGGTCATCACTGGTGGGTCTTGGTGTGTCAGACAGCGCTTCTATTTTCTTTTCCAGCTTCTTCACAGCTTCTGCATATGTCTTTCTTTGTTCTAGCTCTGTTGCTCTTGTGACTTCCACTTTTTCATCCTGCATTGTGACTTTTACCTCAATACGCTGCACAGTCTCTTCAATTAACTTGGCCTGCTCGGAACATGCTGTGTGGCATGCCTGGATCAAGTTTTCATGCTCCTCCAGTTGTCGCTTGAAATCAGTGTACGCTGCCTCTTGGACTTTGCATAAGTCCCTGCTGCTTGAAGCAACCCCTGCCACAGACTCACCCTGACCCAGTAGCACATCTTTGAACTCATCAAGTGCTCTGGTTACACATTCTTTCATCTTGGACTGGTTGAGCAGACTTGGCAGTGTTTGCTGGCAAAACGTGCAGACCCAGAAGAACCCGAACTTACGGATCGCCTCAAACTCTTCTACCGACCTCAACTGACATTCAGTGTGGAACCATGTCTCACAGACATCACAACAGATGCAGGTGTCCTCCTTGATATCCTTGCCACACTTACTCTTGGGACCACCCTTGCACAAATAAAGTCCCTCAGAGTTAGCATCTCCACCTACCTGATCCTCAAATGTTACCTTCTTAGACATATGTGACGCATCTCCCGTAGTTCCCATTCTGGATTTCAATGGCTGCTTGGGCCCTTGCTTAAGCTTGCCCCTTGGTTCAGTCATACTTTAGCAGCATGCAACAATACCAATCACTTGGTCATGCAATATAGCTCACTTTCCTTCAAAGCTTTTGACCCTTTCAACCAACACTGGGAGAAGCAACCGGTAACTCTGGTCAGGATGGCGCCAGGAAGGGGAATGAACGGTAATCCCGCATCAACGGTAATAACACCTTTAAAATGAAACAAAATGCTCCTCAGCTGGTGGAGAAGGGGTTGCCATTCATTTCATTCATTCGTTTTGTAACTCTGGAACAATACCTAAGTAATCATTCACAGAGAAGTTTTTATCCATAATCAATCATTTTATGCAACGTTTCTTTCAAGTTGTTATTCCTCTTTTGTTTTCAGAATAACTAACAATGGCAGAGGCAATGGCCAGTGAGAATCAGAGCTCTCGTCCTAATGTGGCGCTCATCTCGGGTATCACCGGTCAGGTAAGTTCGCCTACTGCGGACAGAGGCTGAAAGCTGATGCATGCTGAGAGCGGGACAGTCCCCATTGTCCATTGAGAAGAGCTGGAGTTGTAAATAATCAGACATGATTGAGTTTTATTCACGATCAATGGCAACACAAGTCAAATTCCTAAAACCATCAAAGTCAAATTGCCATCAATCGTGAATATAACTCAGAGCTGGAGTTGTTTATCCTTGCCATTGTAGTCCAGACTGGAAAAATACACGTTATGCTGAATATGTCCGGATGGTGGAAGAATTGTGCAGAAAATTTCAGCACACGTCCATTGTAACTTCGCTATGCTGAATTCAGCGCATGGCGGCAGCTGAATTTTTCGGAGCAGGGCGGCCGCAGAATCTTAAGACAAAAGACAGTCACCGAATTTAGTCGACACCCTGGTCAATCAGCGGAGGAGCGGCCGCCCAGGTGAGGACTGAGGCCTTAACCCTCGGCATAGAGATGAGGTATGGAATACCTTGTTGAACATCGCCGAGCGTCGTTAACTAATACTGCAGTGGGTTCTTGCCCACTGCGGTAGCGAGGGGAATGAGAGCGCGGACGACCTGGCGAAACAAGCGGCCGCCCTGCCCTCAAACGCCCGCTCGCTGACCAGGGAGGTTCATTGTGCGGCCTCGCGTCAATGGTGCGACAACTGGTCCGAGTCACTATTAAGCCACTCCTTGGGAGCATGCCGCCGCTCCCTGTCCCCGGAGAGGACCGAGAGAACGCCGTTTCGGTCCGCTCGCTCCAGTACGTGCACCGAATCGGCTGTCTCCACTCCGCGCAGTGCCCAGACAAGCGGTGCCCCGAGCACTCTGCGCCGTATGCCGAGAAGAGGCTGATGTGCCGGAACACGTGCTGCTCCGCTGCCCGGCCCTCGCTGTCCATTCGAACACACCAGCCTCGAACACACCGCTCCGCTGATTTTTTGTGGCCCCGGAACTTCCGGCTCCGGCCTTGTTTCACGGCACGACGACACAGTTCGCTAAGCGTATTGACTATTGAGGTATTGGGTTTCCGTGAAAAAAAACTTATTCGGACGCTTAAACATGGGAGAGCGTCCAAGGCCTTGGAACGCTCTGTCTGATTGATATAGCCCTGGTCGTAGATGTGCACATGTGCTTTCTGTAAACTTGGCTTAATTTTGGCACAAATAGGCACTCAATTTTTCACTCGAATCGTGCAGAAATTTCAGCGCAAAATAGTTTGCGACGAATTTCGTCGCAAGCGGGTCTCAGGGTGTCCGGCGTAGTGTATGGATGTTTTCCAGTCTGAATTGTAGCTGTGCCACATGCCAGTGCATCATGATGAGCCAGGATAGATTAGTTAGAAGTACTAGAGTCACCATGATTGATGTTCTTTATACACCTTTCTGCCACATTGATATTGTATTATTGATGCACCTGGATGTCTGTTATTGCTGCTGCCATTGTTTGCTCACAAGTAACTCTTACTGTCCTCTCACCCTGAGCTGATTGCTCTGATATTGGGCATGTGTTTGGTGCTTTCCAGGCAATGCACTTCCATGTTTCATGCTGGCTGCATGTGCTGGATGTATGTTCTAAAATCTACATGCATCTGTCGCAGGAACGGTCAGGGCGATTACATTTGAAGCTTCTATATTTGATCTATCTATACTCCCATCTGGGGGGCAGTAATCGCCACGCCATGTGTGGATCGCCCACAATCGTAAAAACAATACAATACAATACCCCATCATTTTGTGAACTCTGCTCCATAGGCCATAGCTCAATTGGCAGAGTGTAGCTCAATTGGTAGAGCCTGCTGGACTCCTGGTAACGAAAGTCCGGTGTGCTCCAACCCATATGGAGCGGTTGGTGGGGGCAGCTGCAGTCAGTTGAAGTTAGTGAGTGGGACAGGCGTGTCCCCGTGGCCAGCTTAATGGAAGGGCACACTTAACTTTGACATCTAAATTCTCCCTTGCCCGGATTTGCGTGATAGGGCATGGACGGTAGGGATCGGGGTCTACGCAACAAGCTCTGCTTACTGTAGGCTCCAGCGCTGTCAATCCGTCCATAAAAAACATTCGAGGTATTTTTTAACCATCCATCCGGCATCCATAAAAACATGTATATGTGTGACTGCGTTCTTCTATATGTCACCGCGCGTCATTCAGCCTCCCCTCCCGTCTGCCCCTCGGCGTGCAGGACGGCTCGTACCTGGCTGAGCTGCTGCTCTCCAAGGGGTACGAGGTGCACGGCATCATCCGCCGGTCCAGCTCCTTCAACACGTCCCGCATCAGGCATCTGTACGAGGACCCGCTGGCCTTCAAGCAGGGCAAGAGCTTCCAGCTGCACTACGGCGACCTCACCGACTCAACTTGTCTGGTGAAGCTCATCCATAAGATCAAGCCGAGCGAGATCTACAACTTGGGAGCGCAGAGCCACGTGAAGGTGAGTCAGGACACTGTCTAACGATACTGCGACGGCTGATGGCTATGAATTTCAACCGGTAACTCAATGAGTGAATGTGATCCTCCATCCCTTTCTTCACTCCCTCCATCTCTTTCTTCACTACATCCCTCTTTCCTTATCCCTCCCTCCCCTTCCTTCCCTTCCATGACTCCATCCCTTCCTCCATCCCCTCCTCCCTCATTACTCTACCTCTTTGTTTTTCCCCCACCCTCATTCCTCCTTTCTTCTTTCTTTTCCATTCCTCCTTCCCTTCCCCCTCAACTGATGTCCCCCCCCCCCCGGCGCGCTCAGGTATCGTTCGACCTCTCCGAGTACACGGCCGATGTGGACGCCGTCGGTGTGGTCCGCCTGCTGGATGCCGTGCGCACGTGCGGCATGGACAAGTCGGTGCGTCTGTACCAGGCGTCCACGTCCGAGCTGTACGGAAAGGTGGTGGAGACGCCGCAGACGGAGGCGACGCCGTTCTACCCGCAGTCGCCCTACGGTCAGTCCCGGGAGGGAAGGCGTTCGTTGGAGGGGAGGGTCTGCTGATGAGTCTCGGGAGGGGAGGTGCGTTGTGCTTAGGTACTGCACATGGCAGTAAAGGCTGAAACAGACTCTCCGCATTTAGGAAATCGCATGCGAAAGGCTATTCAAATATATTATTATTCTGCCCGCATCAGTCGCATGCGGGAGGTGCGTGCGATTCATGCGAGCGTGCTTCCATGCATTTGAATAGGCTCTCGCATGCGATTTCCTGACTGCGGGAAGAGTCTGTTTCAGGCTTAACATCTGTCATCCCAAGGAACTAAGTAAGAGATTATGACGGAACACAATTTAATGACAGGTCGACTACAATTAGCTTCGTTCTAACGTCATCTGCCACAGTATAGAGTCATGATGGTGATGGTGTCTAGTCTGGAGCTGGAACGTAGAAATGGAAATAGGATTGGCCATTTTCACATGTGCCAAACATTCACAGCTGTACTCATTACTAACCTGGATGTCTAGATAAAGTAAGACGATTTGGCAGTAATCGGTATTGCTCGTTATTCTTTGCGATTTATTTTCCACCGACGATACTTTATCGGATTGTTCCCCTGCTAAACTGCACAAGAGGCGGTCTTCATCGGTGATGATATACATAGTGTTGTTGATTCTTTGTATCGTTGACTTTGAGACAGAACCGCTAGTCGAAACACTCAAACACTTTCGGTGTAATCACTCCGGAAACGCAGGACGGACGGTACCAACCAGACACTTATAGCCCTTTTTCCTACTGTGTATAACGTTCCGACTCTCACGCCATTGTAGTAATTGATGAGGGTTTATGATGCGTGACGGCTCGTTCCATTACTCAGGAACCAGAATATTATTGTTTCTCTGAAACACAAGGAAGGTAACAATAAAAGCAAAGATATGTCGGAGCGTCTTTTATCGAATAGTGAGACCATCATCACGGTCACATCTGATGCTGTGATTCCCAGAACGCATTCCGTAAAGGTCATCTGATCATGTTTCGGTTTCTGGGGATCCGGTCTTGACAGTGATCTCAGGGACCCAGCCGAAGGTCGTCACTGGGCGAGCCGTTTCATGACCCATGGCCCTCGTGGAGCGCTGCTCCGATGGTCTCTGGTGGTCTGTGATTTTAGGGACGAACCCAGAACGCCCGTGGTCCTGGAAAATGATGGAACGGTTCGTGGTCCTTGACGGTCTGTGGGCCCAGTAATCATCGCTCAACTACTTCGTAGTACCCAGAGTGGACATGGTCTAAGGGAGGATCTTCTCACGGTCTCGGATCGCTTGGAGACGTTCTGACGACCTGTGGACACACAAAAGCTGCCCAGTCCGGCAGTGATTCCTGGGATGGCTGTGTTATCGAAGAGGGCAGCTCAGATTGCTAGTGTTTCCTAGAGAGGCTCCTGGGCCTCGTTTCATAAAAGGAATTACTTACGGCATTCCGTCAATTATGCCAGATTTGGCGTATTTGATGCCAATTCGGTTTCATAAAGCCGGAGACCGGAGTAATTCACGCCATCGAAAGTACGGAGCTTCATTTACGGCAAATGCTCGATTCCGGACCAATTGATGCCATTTGGGTTTCACAAAACGACGTAATTAACGCCAAATATTTTATCAAGCTCTTGATATCAGTGGTGTAAACTACGCACAAAAAAGTTGCGTGATTTTGAATGAATGTGAAGATTCGAAGCTAATTTTTAATATATTTTATCATCTTGAGCCCGGTGAGGAAGAAAGAACAGCCAAAATGAGAAAAAGAAACTGCAAATTTTCTGTACCAGTCGCTTTTTGTGGCCACTATCGGAATTTTGTTTATTCGCCGCGCCGCGCCACTTTCGTAGTTAGGCACTTCTGCTTAGCTGGCTTTCTGCTGTTTTTAATATATTGTTTCAATAAAGGATGGTCATCAATATCAATTTTGTTTTTTTCATAAATATTTTTTTAAGATTTAAATTCAACATAATTGCTTTATAATTTCTCGTAAAAAAAGTAAGTGTTGACATGAAATTGTAATTTGTAGGACGCTTGATAAATTACGGTAACTACGCAAATGTGCTTGGTTACGGAGGTGTAAACAATTCCAGTTGTGGCTTTGTGAAACGGCTTCATTTGCGCTCCGTAGTTTGAAAGGGTGTGAATTACGGAAAGGTGTAAGTTACGGCAGAGTTTTATGAAACGAGGCCCTGGTCGGTTCATGGCCCCCTCCCGTCTCCCGGTCCCGGAAGTCTCCGACTCTCAGTCGCCGTGCACGTTCACACACACACACAGGTGCGGCGTTTCGCCGGCATCGGGCAGCTGTAGGATCCGCACGCCCGTCTGGCTGCTGAGTGGTTCCCATTCAGACAAACAGGGCCTTTGTGGTGCCGACAGGCTGTCACTCTCTCTGCACACATGTCACAGCTGTCTTCCTGCTATATTCACGTTTTAGTTTAAGTAAAAGATGTGTACGCTGGTGTCTCTTTCCCTCTCTTCTCTCCCCTCCCTTTCAACCATCGGTCCTATGAATGTGCATGCCATTCAGTCGCTTTTTCAAATCGCACGGTCCTTTCAAAAGCCCGCCGTCCCTGTTCCATTGAATTCCCCATCTCCCCTCACACAAGCCGCCCTCTCTCCGTGTTCCAGCACCTCTACCCGTACATCTCCCCTTTGTTTTCCCTTCTCTTCGCCAGTCCCGTTCCTTGTCTATTCTTCACAGAATCGGGTGCACTGCACCTCCCCTCATTCGCCCCAATATCCCTCCGGCTCTGCATAATAGCGGGCATATCCAAGATTACTTTGGCATATCGTCCCTCCCCTCATTCACCCTAATTCCTCTCCAGTTACGTGCAGAAGTGGACGTGCCTTCCCTGTCATCTCTCCTCTCACATCTCTTCCCTCCCTCACTTTTCCATTCCTCTCTCTCTAGCTGCACAGTAGCGGGTGCACCGGTGCCGAACAGTGAGTGTACCGCAGCACAGTAGCTCGTGTGATCTGTCACCACCGGCTGCCACCCACCGCTCGCCGCTCCGTCACCGAGCTGCCGCTCGGCACCTGTCGTGGCCCGCCACCGGCCGCTGCTGCGTTGGCCATCGACCCTCGGTCGGGTGGGAACCGTTACCTCCCGTACAGACGCACCGGAGACGGCCCCGGAATTCGGTCGATAATGGTGGAGATGGATGCTAGCGCCCTGAGGGATGGTTGTAGAGGAGGGTGGTTGAGCTGTTTGCATGCCTGTTTGGTGGGTCGGGAGAGGGATATTTTGATTAGGTCTGTTGGGTGGGTGTAGGAGACGCTGAATGAGATTATGCTAATGAATCGGTGGTATTTGGAGTGGTTTCGAGGTAGGCGAGACAGGACCAGGCTGGGCGAGTATCGTTATTATGAAGCCGGGCCGAAGACAATATTTGATGCAAGTGGCACCTTGTTTAGTCAACACATTCCATGCAATGGGGTTTTATGTAGCGACTCGATGCTTCATTATGGACTGAGCTGTCGAGTGTCGGGAATGCTGGATTTTTATCGAGAATTAAGACACTTTTCTAAATTGTGCTTCAAGATTCATTTTTTATAAACTCTGAAGTAAAAGCACAAGTTTACCTTGCTTTTGTCATTTATTTCAGCTGGTAGCTCAAAACCCTTATTCGTACCGTAACAGCATCGGTGTTTGGCTTCCATCGTACCATTGACTTCTTACGCTCAGTTCCACGTTTTCTTTACGGCCACCCTGTTCCTGTACCTCCAGCGCTTTGAGCGCTGCAGCTGCTATTGTCGGACAGAGTAGAGTTGCACTGTCTGGCATTGTGGGCTCTCTGATCGGTCTCTGACGGCTGCCGTTGTGGAAAATGTTCGATCGGAACGGATCGGAATGCGCTGTGATGATTTATGGATGTGTCGTAGATTTGGGCATTTGTGGTTTTATGTCTGGAGACTCTTGACCCTGAAGTTTTTGAACATAACCAGAAATTGAACCTACACAAATTCACACTATTATTCAGTACTTCAACACCAAAACCGCTTCTTTCACCCTTACCGTCTTTCTGCGGCAGGCTGCGCCAAGCTGTACGCCTTCTGGATCTGCAAGGTGTACCGCGAGGCGTACAACATGCACATCTCGAACGGCATCCTCTTCAACCACGAGTCGCCGCGGCGAGGTGAGTAGGGCTGTCCCGGTCCAATCCTGGTCCCTCCGCCATCCCTCGTGGACTGCGGCTAGTGGACGAGTCCTTCTTGCAGAGGTCATTAATCTGTCCATAGAACCCTCAGTCGTATGGAGTATGAATAGTGGTCCGTGCCGTAGTGTCCTGATTTTCGTGAATTTGGGTGGAAACCCACACCCGAACAGACTCTCTTTGTGACGTCCCGCAAAGCCAAACGACGTCCCTGACAGATAAAAGTCGACAGGTATATCGAACACCAAAAGCAAACCAACAAAAAGGAATATCACATCTGTGGCCTAAAAACACGGCTATGCAAAATGACAATAAATATATCCCAAGGCCTCACAAACCCACTCTTATACTCATCTCCTCTTTCCTACACCGCTGGCCAACTGCCGCAACAGTAAACAACGCGGTTTTATTTTCGTTTTCTGTGCGTCAGATATGGATAGGTTTTTCCTTTACCATGTGAAGGTAATAGCTGCCATATGAAGGAGGAAAGATGTCGGAATAGAGGGATCTGAGGACGTCGTTTTCCACTTTTCAGTTTTAGTAACTGTGCAGTGTATAGATAGAAATTAATCATGCGAATATATTGCTTCGACATTTATCTATAAGCACACAACATACCTTTTGTATCAAATCACTGTAACATATTTAATTATTTTTCCCCTCAGAAGGTGACAGTAACGGGGTAACGCTGCCCCTTGAACATGCCCTTCAAAAGTAGTTAATTTTGCATATGTTGATAGTGGTTGGGGAAAAAGTTTGTGTTTATTTTGTTTGAATTAAAATAAAATTACCGAATTTCAACAGTTTTAATTAAAGTAGGTCGTCCTTGGCTTAAAAATACACGCAATGTTGGGGACGTCGATTGACCTTGTTATTCCCATTTAATCGACGTTGGTACAAAACTGAAAAGTGCACAATGATTTCACATTTTTTCCAGCCAAGAAAAATTCAGCGTCTACCTTGGAGTTTTCTTAATTGAATTTCATAACAGGAAGCTATGGGAATTAATTTTCCGAACTGTTTTCCATCTCTTTGTTTGGACGTCTGTTTTTTTACGTCACTCCTCTTGCTCGATATAATATCCCTCTTATGACGTCAATATTTAGTGATAGCCGCTGGCTCTTGGGCTGATTTTTGTTGAAGCATATTTGTTGACTGTTTTGTACGATCATGTGGACAAGAACTAAACTTCAAAGTGTTGTTTTGGTGTTTGTGGTGAACAATTGAATTTTGTATTGTACTAAGGGTAAACTGGCAAATTGCTTTGTGTCTATACCGGGTGGCCCAGAAAAAACGTTCCCAATTTTAAATCAATATTTCTCAGAAAGTGATAAAGATACAACATTGAAACTTCCAATAATCAATGCGGCATATATTTTTAGCAAATGGTATGATTTTTATGTTATTCGGTCGATTACTCTTTAAACGGTTCGTGTTTCTAGCATGTCATGTAAAAAAAAAAACTTTTTTGCTCAGATGTTTACTAAAAATGTGAGTGAACGGGCCACTTCCATCTCGGCACCACGGCCTGCAGCCATGACTGCTACTGGCAACTAGCCTCATTGATGGTTCAGGCCTAGGGGTGACACATTCCCTCTCGCTTTTTTCCTTTTTCGGTCGATTTACTATTTGATATTCTTGAAGGGAGGGCGATCAGCAGTAGCCCATGCACCGTGCCGCTCCTTCTCTTCGAAACAGGACTTGTGTTGAAACGAATGACATCCATTAAAGCAATTTTGGCTTAGCATTTGAATATTTGGCACATAAGTGGGACAAAAATATTTAAAATAACAGCACACGTGTTGGTATCATTCACGTGTTCTATTTTTCTATTTTTATTCTAACATGGTACCTACGTCTAAGCCAATCATTACTACCGTTCAACAACGGCAAAAAAAAAGAAGCAAAAACGTCTTACTTAATTCAACACAAGATTGCTGGCTTGAAAATGATGGTACAGTGTTATAATTTGGCATACCAATGCGCAAAGAAGTGACGCAAACTTGATGAAAATTTTGGCTCGTTATTTGCACTCGAATTTGAGATATAGGCCTCCAAAGTTCGGAACGTTTTTTTTTGGGCCACCCGGTATATGATCATTTGAGGTGCCTTGAGGTGCTATTAGTCAAAATTGCTAGTAAAAATCGCTAATTTTAATAGATTTAAGGGATCTTCAGTGGCCTAGGCTCCGCACCGATATCGACGTCCTTTTGAAATAGTGACGTCCTTGCGGCTTCAATCACACTCTCCGAAAAATCAATTTCAGGACACTGGTCCGTGGTCACTGGTCGTGCATAGAATAGCTTTAATGGGCGCCAAAGTTGACGTTTTAACACGCATGTAAATGAGTTTGGTACGTCTGCCTGCAGTATAAAGTGGCTCTCTGCTATGGGCAGGGCAGGCAGCTTGGCGCTGCCTTTCAAGCTGGTTTTCTCTGTCAATTCTCTCGCCTGGGATGGGGAATCGCTAAGCAAACTCGGAGCCAGATAAGGGCTACGTCGGCGATGTGTGTCAATCCACTTTCAGTTCGGAGAGTTATGTTGTAATAGCGGTCCTATGGAGGTGCCACGATAATGTGTGATTGACACGTCACTACTACGTCATAAGAATGACGTTGCACGTGAGATTGAGAACTTTAGATTGTGTTTACCGTCGTTGATATAATAAACTGGTAGTTAAAGAGATATGTGACTTGCGTCTCACGTCCTCACTTTATGTCGAGGTTCAGATGACCCCTTCGGTACCGGGCCAGGTCATTTTGAAGTCCACACATAATGAACTATGTCACAATAATGAATCTATGTTTTTTGACTGGGGTCTTGGAATAAAATGACAAACTTGCTAGTGCGATATGGCGATGAAATCGAATCTGACTTTCATTTCGGTTAGTGACTGATGTCACAATGATGAATTTATGTCTTTTGACTGGGGTCTTGGAATAAAATGACAAACTTGCTAGTGCGATATGGCGATGAAATCGAATCTTTGTGGCTTTCATTTCGGTTAGTGGCTGATGCATAATTATGACTCATTGCCAATCGGCCTCCAAGAGCCACCTACCAAAGCAGTTCTGCTGTCTCGCTAGACTCAACTCCTCCCTCTCCCTCCCTCTTTCCCTGTCTAACCCCCGCCCTACCCCTCCCAGGTGAGACGTTCGTCACCCGTAAGATCACCCGGTGTGTGGCCAAAATTCACCTGGACCAGATGGAGTCGTTTGAGCTCGGTAATCTGGACGCCAAGCGAGACTGGGGACACGCCAAGGACTACGTCGAGGTGAGGTAGCTGGAGACCGTGCCGTTGATGCTGTCCAGGAGTGGTGCGGGGTAGTGGGGTGGGGACAAAGCAATAAGCTTGCTGGAGGTCCGTTTGGGTCTCTGTTGTCACTTTGGTGTTACAATTTTGCGTGGTTTGACCATTGGCGAAGCTTTCTGGTTGTCGTAACTGATTGTGTCTGTGTTGATGGCGAATTATTTTTGTGGATGTTCTGTTCTGTCTTGTATGAGTCATGATGAGAAAGCTTTTTCTTTTCTTTTTTTGCGCCGGACTGGACTCGTAACTCGTTACAGTGCTTGCAGTCGAGCTGGGTGTTCACTTAATTTCTCCTTCGACTGTCCATCATATCGTGTTTGGGCTTTTGACACCGTTCTGACACTGACACCCTGTCTGAAACTGACACTGACACTGACGCTCTCCGACAGGCCATGTGGAAGATGATGCAGCTGGACGAGCCGCAGGACCTAGTCATCTCCACTGGGGAGGTTCACAGCGTCCGAGAGTTTGTCGAGGCCTCCTTCGCCGAGGTAAGTCTGGCGTATGGACTGGGTATGTCCATTGTCCGTGGTTCGCAGATTGCGGGATCCTTTTGATAAATCTTCGAGTAATCCGGGGAATTCATACACTTCAGAGTGGAAGGCTTGGCACTGTGGTTTAGTGCAGCTATGAGAAATATTCAAATATTGCAGATATCAATATAGGAATCAAATCACCCTTTCAGCATATTAGGCATAGGGCGGGTAAATATCATGGACAACAGATCTGTCGTGGGCAACGTAATCCAAGTGACAGTGACAATCAAGATGTAAAAAGTAGCTTTCACAAAATACTCGCGCATCACAGGCACAGATGTCGAAGGGTGAGCATCTCATGTAGGTATCGCTCGTTGTCCATGTATATGAACGTCTGGAGCGCTTCTGTCTAGCAGGGGCTGTAGCTCAAGTGGTAGAGCGCTCGCTTAGCATGTGAGAGGTACGGGGATCGATACCCCGCAGCTCCAAACTTTTCCGTTTCTCACTGTCGTCGAAACTGATGTTAGGTAACAATGACTGTGTTTGAACGACGTGTCATGCCAACACAACCATTTCCGTTAACTTATATTACGTCTGCTTTTCGGAAAAAATATCTAAAGATTATCTAAAGATAATAAGACACCATAGCACCAACTGTCCACACCGACGCTTATCCGCAGCCACACATCCGCGCCGTACTACTGCACGTGCAGTGTGCACGTCCTCAGTCCTCACTGGCCCGATCCGTGCGGCTCCTGCACACTGACTGACTGAACTGACTCCCATCCCATCTGCTGTGGCCAACCAGGCCACCGCGCCGCACATCGGATCCCGCCGCATCATATTGCTCGGCCGCCCGACACGCATCGCGGGTAATATGATCCAGGGTAATTTGGCATGCCGTCACAAAGTCTCGAGTGATATGATCCAGGGTAAACCTATAGCCTATTAGTCCGCCGTCATGACAGTGGGCGACGGCCGGAGGCCACCGCGGGGGTCGGGTGGAGAGGGGACTCCTGTGAGTCCTGCTACACACACAACTCAGTTCACAAGGCGTATTTCGCTACACGCAACAAACCTTCATATAACGCATAACAACCTTTTTTTCAGAAAACATATGTTAACCCACCGACCTCTGTAATATCTACAGAGAAGTCTGTGGCTGTATTGTGTTGATCCCGTTTGTTAGAAAGAAGCGCGTTATTATATCGAAAACAGGTCTTTGACTGCAGCGGTAAGCGACCTCTCGACATTAAGTTGTTATAGCTTGTGCAGTCGCAAAGTGCTCAAAATAAAGCATGCACCTGTATAAAGGGATGCTTGCTTGTTGTTTGCCTTCCCACCGCTTTGTTGATTGCCCTTTACCGCAGCTGGCACCTCAGTCCCGATTACAGTGGCACTGGCAGCGGTTCTTCATACTCACCTCTTCTGTCTCCAGATCGACCGTAAGATCGTCTGGGAGGGGTCTGCTGAGAGCGAGGTGGGCCGAGAGGCCGACACGGGCATTGTGCGCGTGCGGGTCAACCCGAAATTCTACCGGCCCGCCGAGGTCGAGTTCCTTCAGGGCGACTGCTCCAAGGCCAAGTCGCTCTTCGACTGGAAGCCCAAGTTTGACTTCAAGGTGAGGGTTTGGCTGTGCGGGGTTGTGAGAAAAAAGAATGAGTTGTGGAGATTTTTTTGCGGTGTGTAGCCCGATCTTCCCATTGGGCTTGATACACTTTTGTTATAAACGGTGCTTGCATAATTCCATTTTGGAATGAACGAAGCTGTAGAGATTACAATTACCCACTCGTCGTGGCTACGTCATATTCCTTGTGATTCGTTTCTGCACGCTTTTATAAAGAAGCCTCAACAGTATGTCGTGTTCGCCACATCACCTGTTCCCGTTTCATGACTTTATGTGCGTGTGTCTCCCTCAGAGTCTGGTGAAGGACATGGTGCAGTCGGATATCGAGCTGTTCCGCCACAACCCCAACGCCTAGTGACCGGCCTGTAACTGCTGGGGCGACCATGACCGGGTCTTCAGCGGTCAGCGGCCGCCGGTAGTTCACACACAGTCTGCGCCTCTTTGGTCGGTGGGCAGACGAACAGGGCAGCTCATCCGTCCCTGGGTCTTCACCAGTGCGCGGTGGTTTGTGTCTGATCGCACAGCTACCGTGAATTAGAAAATGTTGGACGGCACGTTAGCGGCCCGCGTATTTGGGGAGCAGCCCGCTCACCGGGGGACAAACGCCAGACCACGAGTGTTCGTGTGTTTTGTGTCACGTGTGCTCTGTGCGGTTGCCTTTTTGACTTAATATGTGTCCGATTTTTTTATGGACCACGTGAGCCACGCACAGGGTCGCCTTCGGCAGAAGTTATTCGTTTGTACGTTTTTTCCTCGTAATTATGGTGATGGGTTTATTTGATTGGGCTTGTGACGTCGTGCTCATCTGACGCTGGTGTCGGTGTTCTTTTTCAGTGGGTTTCGTGCTGATTTTATGCATGTAGCAGTTACGGCCAGTTAAGCGTTTTGGTACATCAGTCTTTGTTAAGTTTTTTTTTTTTAGAAGTTTCATTGTTGATTTCGTTGATTGTTGGAGTAGTCATATGTTAAAATGTTTATAGAATATCGGGAACCAATGAGCGTCGTACGTTTTTCGCGATATTAGTTTAGGCCAGTCTGTCATCTCTGTATGGCTACAATGTTATAAGGTATTAATTGATCGAATTTTGCGATGTGTAGCTGGTAACCGCTGTTTTTACACAAGTTTAATTGCGTTAAATTTTTTATACCATATCCCTGGTACAAGATATGACGCTTATCCTGTTTCCTCTATCTTGTCACAATATTTGCAATATACTTATATATGCTTATATATGCAACAAGCTTCGCTTAGCGGTGGCTCTGTCCTTGTGAATCCTTCCCATCAAAAGGTTCGGACTAAATTTATAAAAAAAAAAAAAAAAAAAAAATACTTACATAGTAACTGACGGTCTACTATTTGGCCCGTTGATCCATTGTTCTCGCTGATCAGCTTCTTGTTTAAGCGTCTGCTTGTTTCTGGTGGGATGTGCGTGCTATTTTTATTATTATTTGGTGCTTGGGGCATTAGTACTCGATTTGGTTTACTCCAGGTCCGACTATACATGCGAGGATTTGCTTCTGTGTTGTCAGTTTTCGAACTCTTGCACATCTTGCATACGAGTTCTAGTAGCGCGTTTCCGTGCCGCTGTTACAATGCCCAACGACGATAAATTAGGCATGAGCTGACGTAGATGAAATAATTCCTCTCAGATCTGGCGTTACATTCGCTGATGTATGTGCCTTGAAAGGAGCCAAATTGGAAATTGTATGGCCGGAGTGTCATGCCTTTTTGTGGTTGTGACTTGAACTTTGAAGTGTGTACAGTAAGATCCGCTTTGACAATATGGTTTCGACATCAACGCGCTCATTCGCTCAGTACATTCCAAGCTACTTCTCAATAAACTATCGTGACCACAGCATTGCTGGTTATTTTGCCTTACATATGCTGCATGTCTTCTTTGAGCCTTATTCATCAATTTGCCAAAAAAATATGTAACTTTTATCAGCTCCAGAGGCTGCCATTATCATTTGTGGGTGCGAGTGGCTAAGCCTGATGATCTGATCGTATCTTGCGATCATCGAGAGACGAGATAATGAACATGGTCGTGCCGCTGCCGCTGTGACATCGGCTAATGGCCGGTAATCAAAGGACAAATTTGAATGTACTTATTTACCCCCCACAAGTGGAATGGATCATCCGTCTAGCAAAATTTGTGCCGGTGTTCATGCGCTGGTCTTAGGAGCCCGGCCCGGCCAACTGGCACGCACGCAAAAGAGGGCGGAAAATAGTGGGTATGGGAGATCGCGTTGTACTTGTATGGAGAGATACACAATGCCCCGCAAATTCGTTATAGGCTAGCATCTAAATGGCCATTATATGGATAAATCGCAGGCATGTAAAATCACTGATAAATCATTGCCGATTTTGAGCAATGATCTATCTACTTCATGTTTGAGCTTTGAATGTTCAATGGTTTCCGTATGATATAAGTTCTATCATAAAAAGTGAATCGGGAATTAGATTAAGGCATCTATTTTCTCATTGTGGGAGTATTTAATAAGGATATCTTCGATCCTCGAACAAAAGTTTTAATGACGTCATTTAAGTAAGCTATGATCTCTGAGAAAGGCTTTTATTTGGAAAACCTTGCAATTAGTGACATTTATGGCGCATTGACGCTTGCGTTGCGTCATGGCGCTTTTGTTGTTGGCAGATTAGGGACCTTCGTATTTAATTTTGCATATTTTCTGGCTAGACAAGAATATTTCGAATTTGTTTCCCATCCTCTAAATTCCTGACGAAATTCGACTATATGTTGAAGTCAAGTTGAAGTGTCTTTTGAGGAATGTTTGCTGTAAGACAGCCTGAAACTAGGCACCCATCTCAATCTCAATCTGCATCAGACCAAGTGACCTACCACTTCAAGTTTGATTTCGTTCTTACAAAATTCAAGGTAAGTGAATGCTGAAACATGTTAACGATGCATGATATGATAAATATCAAGCATTTTTCTATCTCTTTATCAGTGCTTCAACCAATGATGTATGAAAATAACATAATATTAAAGTAAGGTTGTTTTGATGTTTCCGTGAGGTTTTGATAAAGGCATGTATTCTTAAGGCTAATAAGTTAGAGTTTCTTCAGAGACAGAATGACCTCATTATTGTGAAATATTGCCAAAAAATGTACGTACCTAGTGAGAAGTGTAAGAACTAACAGTGTCAATCCTGCCAAATTCTGCAATATGTATGCTTGGCTTGCATACAATCAAATTGAATAAAATAAGATATTGATATCTTACATGTTTAAAGCTGTTTGCTTTAAAAACCTTAATAAGTAGCCATGCTTCATGTATAGCTCATTTGATGGATGGATCATGTATTAGCTTCCCTCCTGCCTCCTGGTGAACAAAACAAATAGGTATAGAAAATGTAACTTTGTCAACAATGAAGAGTGTTATAGGTGCTACAATCTCCTCAACAATCCTGCATGGATATGAAAAATGGCACAAAATGAAAGAACCAGTCACACTCACACTCAGATTCACTTTGATCATGATGTTGACATTTCCTACTCCATGCTCCATAGATCTGTTTGTTTGTAAAAATTTGCTAATGGTTAATATTTATCCCACATTTTCTTCATGCTCAATCTGCAGCTAAAATAAAACAGTGAAGGTGTAGATTTAGCAAAGAGAAAAATGGTACATTTATTCATGAATGAGCTTTTAAACCAATTAAGGATGGAAAACAAGTGTGAAATGGGTGTAAGTTTCTACCAACCTTTCCCACTTCTCATACTTTTTCCTGCCATTCTTCGACTCTTCATGTTAAGTTATTCATATTTCTAACCAGCCTTGTGGTTCTGGTGTGAAATATACCTACCATATCCTGGCATTGCCTTGAATCTGGAATTGGATAATCCCAGACAATAGACCAAGCACAAAAAATTGATGGAGCTTCATCAAACACTAAAAGCCATAAGCTTACTACATGATGCAGTTGCCATTGATGAAGCTGCATGAAAATGGAATGATTCATTAGCTTACCTGATACTTAATGCCATTAGATGTCTGTTGGAACAAAGTAGACCAGCTGGAAGATATTAGGCTTCTTATTTACTCATTTCTGCATTAAAGCCTCTGAATGCATTAATAAATATCCATTCATTTTGCTCTAAGTTTAGTCGATAGAGGAGTGTTCATCATCTACTTCATTCATAGGGAAAATTCTCATTAGATTCAATCATTCAATGCTGCCAGCTGCTGATGCGTTTAGCCAGTTCCATTTAAAGCAATTTAAACTGAGTTTATATGTGCCAACTGCCAATATTTGCCCTTTTCACATCCTATTACAATCTAATTTGTGATCAAAACCTCTTTGAAACATTGTGTTAACCCACTATTTTCCATTCACCCCTCAATGCCTCTGGCTCGGACGGATGCAGCGATGACGTAGCTGTTCCGTGAGACGCGGTCATCCCAGTGCTGCCGCCGCCGCCGGGACGGTCTGTCGGCACCGCCAGGATGACGACCCCCGAGTTCCTGCCGCTTTGCGACGTGCTGTTCAACATCATCAGCCTGGCGTCCTATTTCTGCGACGTGGTGTTCGACGTGGTGACCATCTACACGCTGCTCGACCACCAGGAGCTGGTGTGGTTCGCGCTGGCGTTGATTGCCGTCACCGTGTCGCTCGTCTCGTGCCAGGTGAGCCGGCAGACCGCCGTCAGTGGGAGCGGTGCTACAACAATGGATTGGGGCGGCGCTGCTGTTATAGTTAACACTTTAGGTCGTCACAGACTGCAATGAGCATTGATAAACGATAGCCTATGAAGCGTCCCTACAGCAGCTAGTGTTGGCAGCAGCCGCCTTTTAGAGCTTCGTGTGTCGCAAAATGTATGGTTGAAGAAACTAGACTTTGTTCTGTGCTGGTTTAATCCCAGCATAGCAGAAGCACAGCTCGACCTTTCCTTGCTCTTAAATTCATTGACACCTTACATTCCTGCCCTCTACATGGTGCTTTGTGTATGGCACCATCTGACCTCTGGTCTACCCCCCCCCCCGCTGCAGGTATGCAGCATGAAGTGGTACATCCGCAGCGTGCGCTCCGGCGAGGTGACGCCCAGCTGCGCGCTGCCGGCCGTCGTGGCCGTGCACGCGCTCCAGTGCGGCGCGCTCTGGCGCTACTTCAAACTCTTCATACCCGTAGACCTGCGCTTTGTGAAGCAGGAAGTGCGAGACCTGTGCGTTCTGCGCATGATGCACGGTTTCTGCCAGGCGGCGCCGATGCTGTTGATCCAGCTGTTCCTCATCTGGAGGCTGCTGCCCACCCAGCAGGTGACGGACCTGAACGTGGTCTCCACGGTGCTGTCGCTCTTCAGCGTGTGTTGGGCGCTGGCGTCCTACAACAAGAACGTTCGACAGCACAACATGCACAAGCTGGTGCTGACGTGGCTGGGAGTGATATTCCAGCTGCTCTGGAGGCTGGGCACGGTCACATCGCGCGTGCTGGCGCTCACCGTGTACGCCACCCTGTTCAACTACTGGGTGTTTTTGGTGATTGGCCTGCACTGGCTCACCATGTTCTTGTGGCTGATCAGCCCGAAAAACGTCTTCCACGGTGAGAGCATCACCAAGGCCAAGAAGATCGTGTTCGCGGCGGCAATCGCGTACGTGTACACGTTCTGCTACATCAACTTCCAGGAGAGCAAGTCGCGACAGAAGATGATGATCTTCTACAGCGTGATGCTGCTGGAGAACACGCTACTCGTGTCGGTGTGGATGGCTGTGCTGCGGGAGGAGACGGTGTGGTATCACTACGTCATCCTCGTCACCGTGTTCGCCTCCTTCCTGGTCGGCATCCTCTTCATGATGTTGTACTACCAGTACTTCCACATCAACAAGCTCAACTACGCGCGGTCGGTGGTGGATAAGGCGTGTGCCCAGTGCCAGGGCGGCAGCTGCTCTGAGCACAAACCCAAGGAGAATCTGTACGCCAACCTCACCACTGAGCTTGGCGGTAGGAGGAGCGTGCCTCCCCCGGCGCACCAGCCGCCGCCCGACTACGCGCGCCTCAACGGGCAGCACAACCACGTCATCGGCGTGTTCAACTGCCGCTTCAACCCGGCCATGATGAAGCGCAAGAAGAAGAAGCCGACGACGTTCGTTCCGCCGCCGCCGGTGACGGTGCTGCCCTCGGTGGCGTTCTGGCGGCGTCCGCTGCCGCGGCCCGGCGTCGGCTCCGACCACGAGGGAAGCACCGTCAGCTCGCGGGTCAACATCCAGCAGAAGCTGCAGGAGAAGAAGCAGCAGCAGCTGGCCGAGCTGCGCGTCATCGAGGAGGAAATCAAACAGGGCAAGCTGGCGCGGCCGCGGCCGGCTGAGATCTACGACACGGGCGCGCTGCGGCAGCCCATCCCGCCGCAGAAGCGGCCGCCCTGGATCAGTCCTGTGCCGGCAGCGCGCAGCCGTACGCCGGAGGTGCTGCTGGCGCCGCACTTCCTCCACTCGCGCGTCTACCAGGAGCCGGACGGGTGGGCGGCGGCCGCCGCGCTCGAGCGCCGCCTCCCCGACGACGACGCCGATGCCGACGAGGTGACGGTCGACCCGACTGGCGGCGGCGGCGGCGGCGGCGGCCGACGGCGCGGGCGGCGCGCCGGCCGACTGCCCGACCGCGCCGCCGCCTACAAGAGCTACCGGGTGCCGTCGGATGTGGACAGCCAGATCAGCCTGCCGCGCTCGTACACACTGCCGCGCGAGTTCCGCTACTACCGGCAGAACCGCGCCAGGAAGCCGCTCAGGCCCGGCCAGTACGTGTCGTCAAACTCCAGCGACGGTGAGTAGCTCGACTGGGCGATTATTGAAAGTGAAAAGGAGGCTTTTCGGATGTAGCATTTGTGTGTGTGTGTGTGTTTTTTTTTTTTTTTTTGATAATAGTGTTGCATTGATTTCGTTTCTTGTCGTAGCTCTAAAAAGCTACACAAGATTTATTTTTCATGTTTGTAGACGTCGCTTCACCCTGCATTTACTGGGCTTAGTGAAACTCAAGTTATTGGTGGCCTGTTGAGTTGTATGCAATCCCAATTACCTACCAGATATAAACTCATCCCCAGAGATGATAAACTTTTTCGTGATAACAAAAAAAGACTCAAAGTTAGATGCCGATTTCAGGTATTTGGAGGCTGTAAGTGTTATTATGGAACACGTTCGTGCTCCATAATTATTATTGTGATAGACGAAGCGAATTGTTGATCTGCAAACAACCTGTCAGCCAGGCGCCAGCGCAGTAAGCCATAAGTTGTACGCAACTGTTTGAGAGCGATCCAAACGGTTCATGACAATCCACACTGCACCGTGTATGACCAGCTGCTTACCCCTCCCCTCCGCTTCACAGGCGACGTCGACTCGGAGAACGAGGCCGACAATGAGACGATGCTGCGGAACAGTATGTTACTGCACCAGCAGGCGACCCGGCCGCGACCCTACTTACCGCGCCGGCACGTTGGAGGCTACACCCAGCACGAGACTCAGCTCTGAGCGTCCGCTCCCGGCGCGGGATGAGCGACAGTGTGTGGCGGGCTGAGCCACCCAGCCGCCGAGCACGGGTCCAGGCGGCGCCCTGGTCTGTCTGTCGTCATGGTGAACCAGTGACGTCACGGGCCGGCGTGAGGCGGCAGCGGCGCCGCCGGCTCGGCGGGCTTTGTTACGGCCAGAGGTGCGAGTGTAGCGCGGTGCTTGTTGGATATTTTGGAGGCTGAGTTGAAACTGTTTTGCACATTCTCAGCAGTCGGCAGCTGGTGTATAGTGGCTTGCGCCATATGCGGCGTATGTGACGGCGCTTGGCGTAGACGTATATATTTATTATAGGTACTCATGATCTGGCGCACACGCGTACTGTGTTCGCATTTAGGTGGCATTTGACTCTATTTTTGCCTGTCTGCGTTGGATTGGACGTTGGTCAGCAATCGATGTTCTACGCAATTTAAATATGCATCATGTTGGTGTGTGAATGAGTGCGCGGGTGAGTGAGTTGAACATGACATCCATATCTATCTTTCGATGCGTCTTTCCCCGATACTCTTGCTCAGATCGGTCCGAAAGATGGTGCAGTATTTTCAATGCCGATGTTTTTTACGCGCCCTTTGCTCGTGCCACTGTGTATACTGGTCCACATGGGCTCAACGACGCATCCTGATGATGCTTGCTACCAAAACCAGTGCCTGTTTTTATTGCTCGTGTTGTGCGTAGTGTGTGTAATGTGCCAATCTTCTGCCGCAGTGCCAAGCGCCGATGCGGTTTTAGTGCCCATTCCTGCTCGGTGGCGACCGCTGGTGCGGCGCCGCGCGTGTTTACCGTCTCATTCCGTCCGATGCTCATGTTGCAGCCATCTCCGTCCGATATTTTCGGCAGTGTTTTCTGACCGGCCCGTGTGAGCGCTACCCAGTTCTTCCGTCCGTCAGTACCGGTATACTGAGCCGTGCGGTCCCCCGTGGCCCGTGCGGCGCGGAGCAGTCGAAACTGTACCACATCCGTCCATGGATAGATCTGAGTCACCGACAGACCGGGTCCCGGCGCTTCCGAAAATGACTCTGGATGAACACATGTCCATTTTGTATAATAAAGCAGCTGGATGATGGCCATTGAGTGGTTTGTGGCGAGAAAATTTTTTGAGAACAGTCATCGGGCCAAATGTCCTCGAAACGGCTATACGGCTAGGTGTCGTGGACGCCAATGATATCCTTACGTATTGTTTACTATTCGCTGTGCTTCAAATTGTAAACTTAGTGCTGCTAGTAAACTAAGTCTGCTAAACACTAAAAATCGCGTTCACTGCTCGTATTTAGCATACAGAAATCACAAAAAGATCATGACATTACACCATCCCACGAGAGCATTCTACACAAGTCACGTTGGTTCTCATCACAGACGTCCCAGGCTCGCAAACTCCATTCCAAGAACCATTCAAGCCTCGCAAAAGAAGCGTTCATGGTTCACACACGCACAAAACACGAGGCGGTACACCTAGCACATTCAATTTCACATAAAGTGACTGCCACATAACCACCCATGCTCCAGCTATCCCAAGATCACGCGGTATCCAGAGGTTTGTTCGCCTTGGCCTTGAGTCGACTGCCAGCTAGCTGCTGCCGCTGTCGCTCAGCGCTCGCCACCCGCTCGGCGTGCAGCCTCTCGGCCAGGTCAAGTTCTGAGGTCAGTTGCACCACCCGCTCCTGTAACACGGCACACGACAGGTCGAACACGGGTAGCTTGTGGTCATGCGAGCGAGGCAGTGCCTGGAATCACAGCTCTATCATGTAGTTGCCTACGCATGTAACGAGCCGCGCAGAGCCAACGAGACTAAAGCTGAGGTGATTGCCCTAACAAACTATTTAAAATTGAGGAACATTTCTAACGATACCGGTTCATTCCGTCAAAACGCTCAAAATCTAGCAGCGAAAACACATGCGAAACGATTCAAAAACATGGTAATCACGACACTAACCATATCATACTTATTTCACTGGTTATCAACCTGCGGGTTGTGATTTCACAGTAAACAATACTAGTGGATGGGCGAGATACGCCTCACCAGTCACCACGCACCCACAGCAAACTAATAAATCAAAACCTGCATACGATCGTTTACATGTGACTCTCTGAGCACACGTACCATGAGTCGCCTCTGTTTGTCAGCGCGGCGCACCTGGTTGACCAGGGCTGGGGCAGGCTGTCCGTCCGTGTAGCTGAAGTCGGGGCCGTCGGTCAGGACGCCTCGCCACGTGGGGTTCACTGGCATCTTCTGCCTGAAAGATACGAGCGTTCACTGATGATTCTCAGCGTAGTAGATGCTGGTACTATATAATACTGAACGAGGCCGGTGTAAATAAATTTTCAAGACCGAGGTCCTTACTGGATTTTTGAACGAGGCCGAAGGCCGAGTTCAAAAATCAGTAAGGACTGAGGTCTTGAAAATTTATCACCGGCCGAGTTTGGTATGTATTTTACTGTATGCCAACAATAAATTTATTTTCTGGATCGAAGCTCTTAGCCGACTTAGGAACGAGACCATCCCAAAATGTTGGCTTTAGCATAGCTTTAGTGCATTCTGGTAATGCATTTTTGACCGTGGTCAATTTGCTTACACCAGTTATTACCACACCCCTCTGGCTAATGTATTTGAATAGGCCAGGCATACAGTAAAATCCAAACCGATTGAGATTCAACTAGCCACGCGAATACCGAGGTTTCGTCGTACACCAGCACTTCACACTAAGCCATTGCCAAGGCTGTCATCGCCATTTAGCGAATCATTGTCACAGACCGTTAGCCCACACAGGTGGCTTAGAAGCTGTTACTTAACCCGCGCCCCACTGGGGTCTGCGTATAACACGCCCTACTGGGGGGGGGGGGCTATTCATAGCCCCCCCCCTCCTAACTCCGAAACTACTGGGCCGATCGTCAAAATTCAAACGGCGTCTGATAGCCCCGGAAAAATTGTCGAGTGAAACCTAATTTCATTGACCTCGAGGTCACTGATGACGTCACAGGTCAGGTCAAAATAAAAATTATTAGCATTTTGGCTTCTTCACGTTTTGGGCTCTGGCCGCCGTCTTACAAGTCAGATCAGGCTCATTTTTGGTTCACACACTCGTGAACAGATGCTCTAGATACTCTGAGGGTACCAAACTTGTACTTTGATTTTCAGGTCAAGGTCAGGTCATCACAGGTCACGAAAATAGTATATCATCCGTCGGTCACGTGACACATGTTTTATGGTCCATTTAGGCCAAACATTTCGAATTTGATGTCGTCTGTGTCATTCGAGGTCATTTTGAGTCAAATTTCGCTTAGGTCAGGTCACTTTCAGGTCAAAAAAGGTCAAATTTTGAAGTTAAAATTTTTCAACAAAAAAGGTGTCTATTGGATGCAGTTTGAGCTCCGGAACACGATGGTGCTATTTATATTGGCGTACGATGTCAAATTCGTGCTGAAAAGTTGATTTGAAAAATTAATAATTGATACTTTTTTGCAATAATGCGTATAACTTGGCCATTTTTGAAGATATTTAGCTAAAACTTGCTAAAATAAGTCATAATAATGCGTTCTATCACATATATTCCGGTTTTTTCGAAAAGTCAAAAAATTTTTGAAAAAATGTAAAAATATAAATTTTGAATTTTTTTATATCAATTTTTCGAAATTTTCAAAATTTCGAAAATCCGAGATAGCAGTTTGATAGCGCAGTCTATTCTGAGTCCTCTCATGCAAAGAAATTGGATCTAGCTTAAAAACTGAGCTCTTGGGAGCGATTGCCGTGGTTCAATGTTTTGCGTCGAAATCGGCCGAACATGACGTCACTCTGACGTCATTTCCGGCCGACCTATGGTAGGTACGAAGTTCAAATTTTGACACAAGGTGTCACATTGATGCAGCCGAAGGTACTGAAAGTTTGGCGTCGATACGTCAAGCGGTTTGGAAGTTATTGCAGAAAAACGGGAGGGGGGGCTATAAATAGCCCCCCCCCCCCAGTGGGGCGCGGGTTAACAAAACTAACAGGACACCACGAAAATCAATTAACAAAGCTGACCAGAGGGAGCCTGGGATACAACATAAATATAAGGCGATTTATTGGTTTAAAAAAACTTACTCTCGTCTCCAGTCCTGTAGTTTGGAGGGAAACGGTTTCGGTTTCGACGGCATTTTCTTATACGTTCTGCAACTTATAACAGAACAGCCTGAAACAGAAATAATGGGTCATATACGTAGGAAGGACTCATTTTGCAAGGAAATAGCACATTTGGGAGCTTATGGAAAGCTAACAGCCTCGCTAATTGAAGACGATAACCATCGCTCAAAACACTCATCTGGCAACAAAATTAGCATCATCGAACTTAACATGCTATGGTGCCAATTTCATCACTCTGCTACCTTTTTCTTGTCGAAGTTATTCACCTAAAACGGACCCTGGCCCCGAGGATTCTGAACTAAAGTGATCACCAATCAATAATAAACCTTTGCACTGTCGGTTTCTCACAAATACCTCGCATAAGGACGGCGGATTGTTAAATGTTATAATATCCTCGGGTTTATCTCATTTACATCATCCCTGTAGCTTTCATGACTTAGAATGCAATAAAAATAAAACGGATTTGTGGTTACGGATTTTTAGGACGGTCAACAAAGGACCTGTAGGAAATCCGGTCATTTGCTTCTCCCTTACACCAACCATGTAGCTTTTAGCTCATCCTGGCACCACATGCTTAATCAGTTCGCAGGGTATACTTCTTGTTCACCCACAGTTTGTCGAGACGGTTCTTGAATGTGTTCAAGATCGGTGCCGCGACGACATCTGCAGGGAGACTGTTCCAGCTGTCCACTATGCGATGACAAAAAGAGGTCTGGCAAAGCTGGGAGTTCACTCGTCTCTTCTTCAGTTTCAGATGGTGACCACGCGTTCGATCTGAGGTGTCAAGCTGCAGGAGGTCGGCTACTTTCACTCTCAGGCATCCTGTCAGCATATTCTGGTACGCCATTATCATATCTCCTCTCATCCTTCATATAGTACATGGAGGGGAGGTCCAAGGCTCGAAGTCGATCCTGGTACTGAAGGTTACGCAATGGACGAACCAGCTTATGTAGTAGCTCTTCTTTGGACCCTCTCAATGGCATCCTGGTCCGATCTGAATGTAGGTCCCCACACCACATTTGCATACTCAAGGTGAGGACGCACCAGAGTCCGGTAGAGGAGAGGCAAATAATGACTGTTTAGGGCTTTGAAAGCCCTCTTCACCAGTCCAAGAGCTCTGTTCGCACGACCCACGGCGGCCGCCACCTGTTCATGAAACTTAAGGTCTTCATCAATGACGAGTCCAAGGTCCTTCTCCATATGCACCTGAGCTAGTTAGAGTGGAACCGTTCATCAGGTAGCTGAAGTGCTCGTTAGAGGACCCTAGGTGCATCAGCTTACACTTATCTTGGTTAAAGGGGAGCTGCCACCTGTCTGTCAAGCATCCCAAGGCATCAATGTCCTGCTGCAGGAGAGCCTTGTCCTGAAGGGTGGACTTTGAGCAGCCTATCAAGCTTTGACCTGTGACGTCTTTCCCCAGACCATATCAGTCAAGAATGGCAATTAAATGCATGTAAGCGCACATAATCTATGCATCTCTAAACTTTTTGTGTTTAGAAACATACTCATATGTGATGTTTGTCCATGGCTTATGGTGGGTTTATTAGGGTAACAGAAAGGTCATGTCAAGCTCATTAATCTTAGGCGATCTCAGTGGACTTGAGCAGTTTTATATCTTTTGGGTTACCCAGTTTTTTAGCTATCCTCTTGTCCAGCAAAGGTTTAGGCATCTTCAATTGGCATATTATATTGTTGGCAATGGCAGAAATAAATGAACTACAGGCTTAATTCACAAATTATCAGCTAATTTACATATATTATGCTTACTATTAGGAGTTCTTGAGAATAATGGTGAAATAATTTGAGAGTGAGGGACCAGCACTCCGCTCCTCCTCAATGCAACTTCAAAGAACATTTTCTTCGGTTACGCAATCTGAAACAAACATGCAACAAATTGTTATGGCAAAGAACATAACTTGACCCCTCAAGACCTCAACCTAGCAAATCCTGGCATGACGTAATATTTTGATTCCAAACTCCACGACATTACTCCGACTGGATGTCAGTTTGTTGTCTTCATTATTGCTCCCATTATTACAGACATCAATAGGTGGGAGCAAGGCTATATAAACTGGTGGGAGCATGTTCACCACTGATTCCATGAAAAGCAAAGAATTACATTTCAATTTAAGGCAAGTGGTCAGGCATGACCAAGGCTATATAAACCGCATGACATTAATGATAAACTATGCGGCTGAATAATCACAATCCGGAACCAACATTTTTAAGTTACCTAAAAAAGGGCCGAGAAATATACGTAATGCACACTCCTAATGATAATTAAATGCGAGGAAAATAATTTTTCTCGTCCCATCTTATGCATGTTCATTTTCGACGATAACTCAGGATGTGCAGTAAGGCCTCAGAATTATCCAATCACATCATACCGTCAGAAAAATGACGTCATACAAACAGCTCGAAGCTGCTGAAAGCTGCTGCTAGCAGCTCATTAAAATATTTTTGGCGCATGAAAGACAAAATACGGCGCAGTGAGCCTGCCGTGCGGGCAACGCGTGTCCGGACGAAATTTCGTCTGACATTTTTTCGTCGGACAGTTTTTCGTCCGCAGATTTTCGTCCGACATTTTTTCGTCTCGCATTTTTTCGTCTGTACATTTTTTCGTCTGTGCATTTTTTCGTCTGTACATTTTTTCGTCTGTACATTTTTTCGTCCGGACATTTTTTCGTTCGTATATTTTTTCGTCTGTACATATTTTCGTCCGGACATTTTTTCGTTCAATAAATTTTACGTCTGTGCACCCAAGGTTGAGTGAAAACATACTACAATGCTATTCAACTGTGGAGCCAAATGACGTCATAATAATACTCGGGGCGAAGCAGTGCAGTGCCGAAGGCAATGCCTTAGGAGAGATTACAGGCAATGGTAAGTCAAATATTTTTAGGTTAAGTGGTTGTGTATCTGGCTTCAGGCCGAAGGCCTGAAGCCTGATGCATAACCACTTAACCTAAAAATATTTGACTTACCATTGCTTGCAATCTATTCATGCAAGTAACTTTTTCCTTATCCCCCGGTAGGCAAACATCAGTAGGTATAAGGTTAGGTTAGGTTAGGTTAGGTTAGGTTAGGTTAGGTTAGGTTAGGTTAGGTTAGGTTAGGTTAGGTTAGGTTAGGTTACGTTAAAATTGTAGACGAAAAATTGAAAAAATGTCCGGACGAAAAAATGTCCGGACGAAAAAACGCACAGACGAAAAAATATACGAACGAAAAAATGTCCGGACGAAAAAATGTACAGACGAAAAAATGTACAGACGAAAAAATGCACAGACGAAAAAATATACAGACGAAAAAATGCGAGACGAAAAAAAGTCGGACGAAAATCTGCGGACGAAAAATTGTCCGACGATGATGATGATGATGATGATGATGATGATGTGGTCGGGCTGTCACCGGTTGCATCGGTAGCCCTATAAACGCGCGTCGGGTGGTGGGAGGTTTCTGGGATATGGTTAGGATGTAACCTGGACAGAATTGGACAAGTCAGCTTCTGTCCGCTCCAGTCCTCTGCTCACCATCCGTCACGGTCACCAGTTTCCTCTTCCTCAGTCTCCAGAGCTTGTAGAGTCCCTCCTTGTTCTTCTCCATCTCTTCCGTGCTTTCATTGAAGAGGAATGTCTTCAGGACTTCTAGTTGGTCTTCTTGGTGTGGACGTTGGAGTGAAGTCATCTTGAGCCGTTCTTCTGCGAGTTTGGTGCACTCAAGCAGGAAGTGGTGCTGGTCTTCCTCCCCATCTCCACACAGGAGACACGTGGTTTCTTCGCCAGTGTGTCTCTTCCTAGTCTCCAGCGGGAGCGTGTTAGATCTGGCCTGGAAGAGTATGATTGACGATGTTGTGTTATCGTAGATCGGATCTTCTTTAATGGCTGTTTTGGCAGATCGGTATACCATTATACTGGACTTGGCCTCGAGCTCTTCTTTCCACTGTTTGTCATCCCACTCTTTCAGGCGTTTCTTCAAGGTAGACTTGTTCATCCTCTCCAGTTCTGCAGCATTTAATCCCACAGCTTCCAGGTACCGTTTCGTTGTCTTCGCCCATGTACTTTTCCGCACTTCTAGTTCTGCTCTGGCGATCCTTCTGATGAGGTCGTTGCTTCCTTGCATCGCGCCTCTCAGGAACTGCAAGTGCCCTTCCATGATCCTGGTCTTCATCAGGGAGGATCCCACCTCACCTCTGAGCGTACAGATCGGCGTGTATCTCGGTGCTCCCAGAATTTGTCTGAACACTCCATTCTCACATACTTGGAGCTTCTTGATGTCTGCGTCCGTAAGGCTCAGGATGCTCGCCCCATGAAGAAACGAAGGGAGCGACAGACATTTCCAATAGCACTTGCCAATCATCAGTTTGTTGCAGCATTTTTGCGTTATTCCGTAGGTCATGTTGGCCAGCTTTTGGGACTTCTGATGCATTACGTTGATGTGTTCCTTGAAGAGCCTTTTCTTGTTTGTGACACAAACTCCCAGGTACTTGATCTGTTGAACCACAGGGATGTCTGCGATGACCTTGGGTTGCTCCTGACAATTGTAGATGATGACCGCGCTCTTGTCTTTGTTTATCTTCAAACCGAACTTGCCACTGATGTCCGCCAGCGTTGTCACTAGGTGCTCTGTCTCCTGTAAAGTCTCAGTTAGGACGAGTCCGTCGTCAGCAAAGAATAACACTGGGATTCGGACAATATCATTTTTGAAGCCCAGTCCCGTATCTGTCAGAGCTTTGGCGATAAGGTATGTTACAATCTTGAAGCTTGTCGTTGACCCATTGCATCCTTGTCGTATTCCTGATGTGACGTCGATGACTGCTTCAGTCCTGTCATTGAGCTTGATTTTCGTTGAGTCTCCCTGGTAGATTTGCGTCGTAGCATCAATGATTTTGGAGTCGATCTTGTAGAACTTCAGGGCTTCTACCATTTCAGCTCTATTAACCGAATCGAAGGCCTTCGAATAGTCAATGGCTGTCACAAACAATGGCTTTTTCCTGCGAAAGCTGTCTTCAACGCAGTAACGCAATAGGAATAAATTGTCTTCAACCTTCCCCCCACTAGTGAAACCTGCTTGTATCTCTAGCATTTCATCATAATACTTTAAGTGACTCTCAATTTTATCCTTCAGAATACTCATGAACAGCTTGTATGATATGTTTGTCAACGCTATGGGACGCAAGTCTTTTGCAGTGGGTTTCTTGATCTTGGGGATCATTTTAGTCTTCGACGTCTTCCACGAATCTGGCTTCGAGTCGGCATCCAGTTGCTGTTGTAGACAGCTTGTTAGGGTATCTAGGCCTTCCTTCGTCATTACGAGTGCTTTGTATAGTTCCGGTTTGAGCAAGTCTGGTCCTGGTGCAGTTTTGTTCTTCAGTCCGGATACTGCTTTTTTCACATCTTCTACTTCAATCTGTGTGGGGTTCATCTGTGATATTTCCTGTCTCACAGGGAGAGCCATATCCATCAACTCTCTCATGTGTCTCGGGAAGTGGGGTCCCTCGTGCACAGTTCTCCTCATGCCTTCTTCATATTCCTTCTTCACATCACTGTTCCATATTTTACTGATCTCGTTTGAGTGCTGCTGGTACACAGTTTTCCAGAATTTCACCAACTCCTCTTCTTCCACTTCTGGTTCCAGTTTCTTGCCTTCATTGTCATACAGTTGGATGTCTTCTTGGTTTCTCTCCTTCTTCCTTAGTTTGTCAATGTTTTCAAACATTGACTTGCTCTTGTTAGCACTGTTCCTGATTTCTTCAGTTGTCTTCTTTTCTGATTTTGTCACAGCCTCTTTCACCATTTCCTGGACCTTCTTTTTCTGTATTTTATACTGTTCATTGAGCAGCTTCTCTTGATCTTTGTCTTTGGTGTTTCGTTTTTCCCGGTTTATGGCCCTGCGTTTCTTGATAGCTTCCCTGATTTTATCTGTGACCCATGGCTTTTCTTTCACCTGTTGCCCTATCAGGCTTTTCTTGCGGTATGTTGCTTTTAACTTGCTGTTGGCCACTTCTGTCATCAGGCCATTGAGCTCCTCTATGTTTGTTATGTTCTCATTTCGGAGCCTTCTCTGCATCTCTTCTCCGAAGAGTTCCAATGAGCCAGCATCTACCTTCCAGAATTCTCTGACACTTGTCGTTCCCTTATTAAAGCTTTGGTTTCTTGTGGGTATTTCCATTCTGACCGAGATCATATGGTGATCTGAGAGGTCAAAAAGCTCCCTCTCTTCATCAATTGTCATGCTCTCAATACGCTGATAGCACCTCCTATTTGCGAGGACATAATCGATTGCACTATTTTGGTCCTGCCTTGACCATGTATATGTACCTTGGCAAAATTCTTCTAGGTTTAGCAGTATCAGTGATGATTTATTTGTCCAGTCTAAGACAATTCTCCCATTTTCATCTTCTCTTTGATAGCCAAGCTGTCCAATGTGTCCGTTCATGTCTCCGAGCAACAATAGAGCCTCATCTTTTGCCATAATTGTTTCAATTATGTTATCAATTTCAGCTTTCATGTTTTTATTCCTCTCACAGTCTTCAGCAGATTTCCTTACAGACAGATATACAAGGATGATGTGCAACTTAAAACACCCTAATTCCATGACTGCATGCAAAATGTCTGTGCTACACGTTCTTTGTTTTGCAACACTTGTCCCTTGCTTAGTTTGGAACATTATCCGACGAAAATCTGCTGGACGAAAAACCATAGCCCTGATCGGCGGCCGGCTAGTACTCTTGCCCGCGCTCACATACGTGCACGTTACCCCGGCAACGGGCTATTGACCAATGAGAAGCGAGAAAAGTGTTACGTCACTGCGATTTTTCATATACCTGTGCCCCCCGGACGTGACGTAGTGTGCTCGCGCGCGTGCAGGGTCTCTGCGATCGAAAAAGAGCGCTAGCAGCGCGCCACTCGACGCCGCAATTGTCAAAAGCGGCGTGTAAGTATGCTTTATTATGAATGATGTGTGTAACAGTGAGTTTTTATGTTGTTTATTTGGAGGAAATGGTTGGAATAAATTAAGTAATTTTTATTTCTGTTGGTTGGAGTTTTTATTCAAAAGATTTTGGTCTATACCATTGATATTTACTGAAAATACCTTCGCTTGAATAAATCGCAGATATTTGGCAACTGAAGTGTTAGGTAAGCCTAAATGATATGTAAAAAGGTAAGAGACACCCTGATTATCTTTTGAGAAACGAAAATATATGAATTTTCCTTATAAGACTCGCTCAATATGCTACTCCGCGGTTTATGCCCCGAGGGTGTCCGAGGGTTCCCGTTAGTTTGTCGTTGGCGCTCGGGGCCCTGTTTCAGCGGTGATAGCAGCACGCCGCTATCAAATTGCGCGAGCTGACGTAATGTGATGACGTCATACTGCTGACGTAAGGGGCGATTCTGGCGCACGATTGCCGCAATATTGTTTTACGTCATCAACTAAATGTTCGAAGTTTACATCCAAATTTTCCTTCAACCCAACTTCTTTTATATACATCATCTTAAAAAAATATATATTGAAAATAAATATACTATCATGACTGCGTAAATTCTTACTTTTAGGCTCATACGTCACTTAATGCCGCGGCCAAGGTCGCGGGCATCGTGCGCCGGAACTGCCCATCACGTCAGCAGTATGGCGTCATGACATGACGTCAGCTCGCGAAACGTGATAGCAGCGTGCTGCTATCACCGGTGAAACAGGGCCCAGCTCGCGCGCGAGCCGACGTCACCGCCTGTGACGTCGGCTCGCGAAATACGTCATACCCTGCACACAAAATAGCCGGCTGCCGAACAGCGCTCGTCATGGGAATCGGGCAACGTGCGGGGCTGATACAACGTTTTGCATATTAAATTGCGTGTTGTTTTTAAGTCATTTTACGTGAATTAGAATCAACTAATGCATTCCACCTGACATGGATCAGGATGTGTCATTTGCCACTGTTGATGCCTGTGGGCAAAATCTATTGTCCTTGGTTTCAAGAGGGAATGCCATAGTTGCTGAGCTTTTGAGACTAGAAGACTACCTTCCTGATGTGTTCAGGTAAATTTTGAAACAATTTTATATGAAGCCTAAGGTACTAGTTAGTGACAAGTTGTTGTTCACCTATTTCTTTCAGCTTGTCCTAAACTCAAACTTGAACTGAGCTGATTCCGTTCTGTCCAAGCCCAATTTGAATTACAACGAAACCGTTCTTGCACAAATTGAATCCATGGCGTTGTTTCACGGGCTGCTGGTACCACGCTGCTATCAAATTGCGCGAGCTGACGTCACACTTGTGGTAGTGTTGGAGCAATGGGCCTTACCTTACCTTACCTTACCTTACGGTGTTCGGGCATAATAAAGGCCAACTCGGCCTGGAGGTCCCGTTCTAACCGAGCTCCTGTCCCTTTTGCCATTTGTTAATCCGTGTCTGGTATATGATACCAGTGATGGCCCCAGTGGGCATCGAGTCTCGCCTTGAACGAGTCCACGGTGGGGGCACTGACCACTTGAGCAGGTAGGCCGTTCCAGTCGTTCACGGCCCTGACTGCGAATGCAGCTCTCCTCAGTCTGCTGACCGCCTCTGGCTTGCGGAGCTTGTGTGGGTGACCTCGTGTAACGGCACCCGTGGCGGGGCAGAAGAGATCCGTGACTTCAACATCAACCCCTCCATGGAACATCTGGTAGGTGAATATCATGTCGCCCCGTTTGCGTCGGTAGTACAGCGATGGAAGTTTCAGAGCCCTGAGTCTCTCTTGGTAGGGCAGGTGGCGAAGGTTGGCCACCATGCGCGTAGCTCTGCGCTGTACCCTCTCCACCAGCTTCTGGTCCGCCCTGTTGAAAGGGCCCCACACGAGGTTGCCGTACTCGAGGTGAGGGCGCACCAGGGACTTGTAAAGCAGCGGCAGCGTGCACTCGTTTATCAGCACGAATGAGCGATGAATCACAGCGACGAATCACAGCGGCCTGTTGATGTCTCCATGGAAACCCAATTTGACAAGTCGTAAAATCGGCGTGCTGCTATCACCGGTGAAACAGGGCCCATAAATGCATTCTTTTATTTTCTATATGCTTCCTACAATCCATCAATTTTTGATCCTATTCATTTGAGGAAGTAGTCTTATTTTCACCATTCCCAAGGTGCAATAGTAGTTTTTCAGGTGAGGAGATAACCATGTATTCAGAGAGAGGCCTGATAATTGCTAATTATGATGAAGAAATGAAGCAGCTATGTTTAATTATTTACCTTCCAGACTACATAACACTACTGTGATACCTGCCTCCTCTACCACATTCCATTTAGGACATCTCATTCATCAAAAGACAAGAGCCCAATTAGATCAGAATCCTAACCCCACTGGGTAAATGGTGTATGATTTGTCCAGTGAGATAAGGTTGTTAATTTTCAGTGTCATTGAGAGTTCTCTGTGCATGTTCCCGAGAGGAGGGCCCACATTTTGGTATGAAGGGCTCACAGAGTCCATTTGATGGCTGGTTAGAAATGTACATGTCCTTTTGATTGGTACTTTTTGCATTTTGCATTTCCAATGTATTTTGGCTGGGAAAAAAGTATATTGTTGGAGGGTACACTGTCCTGAGGGGTATGTGTGAGTATTAAATTGCATGATGCCAAAATGGTAAGATTTAAGCAGGTGTAACAGAACACCTTTCAGATCTTGAGGGCTAACCTAGCACCAATCACCTTGTTTGCAGAAAAGAGAAGAAGGAAGAAGGGAAGAAATTTGCTCCTGTGATATTTGACTTCAGCTATTTCCAGACATCAGATGCAGTGGAAGCAAAGATTGAAGCTGATGATGTAAGTGGGATGGCAATCTTTTAAAACCATCATTCATTCTGCAACTCATACCTTCTCTACACTCGATTCTATTATCCTTTCTGCATCTCAGTTTGACATTCCAGTGATTTCTTACTACTAGCAATGTGTTATGAGAGATAGTGATACCAATCCGAGCAGTTAAGTACTTTATCTGCTTTGCTGTCTTTTCAGCTCGTATTATTTGTTCGATGAGCCGTATTTTAGACAATTTGTAAGATATATGCCCCATTCCACACTGCTTATTGGCGGGAAGACGCACTCAAGTCACTCATGTTTGCATTCCTAGTATTGACAATACCTTACTCGCGATCTCATCAGCTCGGAAATCGATCTGATGTTTCGTTTTTTTTCTCACAGCCTCATTTTCTCCTCAGAATCTGAAGAAACTGGACACCCAGTTCAAAGAGAGCTACTGCAATGTCATCTCACGTTTCTACATGGCTTATGAGAGCATCTTCAAGTATGCCATCGACCTTAATGGCTACCTCAGCGATCTCTCCGAAGGTGTCTACTTCCAGCACTCCCTGGACAACGTGTTTGCTGACGCAGATGGGAAACAGCTAATGGTAAACAGCTTACCTATGTTGCTCTATGGTCGTCTTTAGGTAGGATGCCTTTCGATTATTCGATCGTCATTACGAAATAGGGCCACGAATTATGTTCAGATTAAGGCTATGTAAACCGTCGTCAGAATGTGCTATTAGTTTCAGATGTGCTATTTTCTTGTATATGTAAGTATGTGATGGGCTAACGCCAATGACGCATTTTTTCATGCATTTTATACAAGGACTGAAGTAAAAAGAAATATGTATCTTAATTCTACTTTGTTAAATTATGTAAGCAGGGTCGTTGAAATCATCCGACTTCACAGTGACTTTCGTCTTTTCGTCATTGCCATGTCGGTATGTCGGTGCTCCGTCAGTGCCATATGCCACAAACCACCGTAGTCCGTACTGCGCACCCACTGTTCTCCGTTCGGCCCGCAGTGCGAGGCGCTGTACCTACTCGGTGTGCAGCTACTGACGGCCGAACACATTGACGGCGCCACGCGGGAGCGGCTGCTGGTGGCGCACCACCGGGCAGCGGTGCAGAGCGCCGCCGCCGCCTGTCATCTGGACGACGTCTGCAAGCTGCTGCGCTCCACCGGCCTGGGCGAGAGCGGCCGCCGACCGGCCAACTACCCCGAACACTACTTCAGGTGAGAGCTGGCCGGATGGGAGGTCGCTGGCGCTGCGAGACTGATTTCGGCGTGCGCGACTGGACGTGGAGGCCGGAGGGGGGGGGGGGGGTGACTTCCGACGCATATTCTGACGCCAGTCTATAATGCTCAGAGGGATGACTGTGTTCTCTCTCTCTCTCTCTCTCTCTCTCTCTCTCTCTCTCTCTCTCTCTCTCTCTCTCTCTCTCTCTCTCTCTCTCTCTCTCTCTCTCTCTCTCTCTCTCTCTCTCTCTCCCCTCCCTCTCTCGTTCCCTCCCTCCCTCCCCCTCCCTCTGACCCACGGTCCGCCGTGTTTCCAGCCGCGTTCCTGTACCTGCCGAGTACGTCTCCCACGTGGTGGACCGGCTGCGCTCTGACGACATCTACTGCCAGATCAGCACCTACCCGCTGCCCGAGCACCGCAGCGTGGCGCTGGCGCCCCAGGCCGCCATGCTGTACGTCTGCCTCTTCTTCAAGCCGACTGTGCTGGCGACGGAGACGGCCATGATGAGAGAGATTGTCGACAAGTTCTTCCCCGATAATTGGGTGAGTTGATCGGTGGGTTGCTGGGAAGCGAGTGGGGAGTTTCGCAAAGGTGATGTTTTGGGGACCAAGTGAAGGCATAGCGTCCGCAAAAGGGGTTTGGGTGGCCCTGCTGTTATAAATTGACCTGGGATAAGAAGTCTGTTTCCGCCCGGGATCGAACCGTGGGCCTTCCGCGTGTTAGGCGGATGTGATAACCACTACACCACGGAAACAGCTGATTGGATTTGAGGCGACTCTCGAACGGGCAGGCAGTCATGAAACCCTTTGTCAACCCCATGGTGCGCCGAGTAGTGTATAATGCATGCGGGAACAGAATGTGTGGGTCTACTTCCCTGGCCTGGTTGATCGATTGAAAGTCCCATGGGCGAACGCTCCCGCTTCTGTCAGTGCCCTCTAAAGTTCTGACAAAAGTGTGGGTACTGTACGTGGCGTGCATAGTAACTGGTGTGTGATGATCGTTGTCGGGTTTGACCTTTAAAATAAAACCTTTTTAAAACCTATTTATGATTTTGATATCTTCTATTCTTTCCCCATATCTCTGCCAGGCGGTATTTTGGGTTGACCGCGAGCGGCGCGTTTCCAGGTGATCAGCGTCTACATGGGCTCGACAGTGAACCTGCTGGAGGCGTGGGAGCCGTACAAGGCGGCGCGCACTGTGCTGCATGCCTCGCTGGACACCGCTGCCGTCAAACAGCTCACCGGCAAACACGCCACCAGGATGGAGGTTAGTGTGGGGGCCTTAATTGGCACGGGCTGGATGGGGAGAGGGAGGCAACGGGTGACAACAGGGCCCAGGGCCGACAGGACGCGTGGACCAGATGGTCTGCGTGGATGACGCCGTTTGGGAATATCCGTTCATAAGTTCACGGCCGTAGCTGAGTTTATAGAGTTATACGGCTTCAAAGTGGATCAATGTGAACGAACCCGCACTTAATCACATTATTCTGCTTTGTCGTTACCCATTACTTGTCACTCCTGTAAACAGTGGAGTTTCCAGATCAAATGATCACGCCTTTTATAATGGTTCTGGGGAAATTCTTATGTTCTTATTTATTGTTACAGCGTTATGGCTAATGGTATCTTTTGGACCAGACTATAGCGATGAACATCAATCAGTCATGTTACGACAATGTATACCAAAGTGGGTGGAGTGCACGTTTGTCTATTGACTTTGCCTTTTCTCAACAATATAAAGACCGCACATCACTCCCACCCATTACTAGTGTTCGTTAGTAAGAGCAGTGCAGAGAGAGGTGCTCGCTGCACATTGATTGCAGTCTAGCCATTAACTGCTTCCTTTACCACATCTTTTGCTTCAACATCACACTGATCATCATCATCGCACCGGTCATTGAGTGTGACCTCGATCGCCTTGAATCCGCAATGCTGTTGCGATCCGCTGCCCTGCTGTGTCTGGCGTCCCTGGCTGCAGCGCACTCCATTCCTCAGCCGTCAGCAGCTGCCCAGCAGCCGTCAGCTGCCGCCCAGCTGTCGCAGCTGCTGGGCCCGGTGGTGGAGGGCGCCGTGTCGCGCGCGCTGGCCGCTGAGCGCGCCGCCCAGCAGCAGTGTGCGGCCGACGCCGGCCAGCGGGCGCTGGTCCGGCTGGAGGAGCGACTGGACCAGCTGGGCCGGGAGGTGGCCGAGATGCAGGGCGCGCTGGCCGCCGGCCGGGCAGCCGGGACGGAGCGATCTGGGGAGGACGGCGGACAGCAGCCGCCGGAGACACCGCCGGAGGAGCGGCCCGAGTCGGGACCGGCCTGCGAGCGGCAGCCGCTGCCCCTCCCGGCCGACTCGTCACCTCACGAGCCGCCCGAGAGACGCGCCTGCGCCCGCTCCTGTCTGCAGCTGCGCGACCAGGGCGGACCACAGCATGACGGCGTCTACTGGTTCACCGGGATGCCGGTGCCGGTGCTGTGCGACTTCAGCCACGACGGCGGCGGCTGGACGCTGCTGCTCACCACCATTTCACAGCACGGCTGGGATCCATTCAGCGTGCGGGCACGCAACAAGAACTCCCCCTCGCTGACCGAAAACCACTCCATCCTGGAGTACGGCGACGTCATCCGCAACCTGACCGAGGGTGGCCGGTTCGCCTACCGGATCGAGGCGAAGGCAGAGCAGGGCCGCCAGCGCTGGGGCGGCATCTGGTTCGCCCCCAGACACTACAGCTTCGTGGACGAGACGGGCGCCCAGACGGATGTCAGTCTCGTTAGACGGTTTGACGACTGGAACTACAGTGATAATGGAATCGAACGGAGAATGCCATGGATAAACACTCGCGGCAATCACGCCATGTTTCCAGTTCTGACTACAACCACACCAGATTCCAAGGACTGGTGGGGAACGCTGGTCACACATGTGAGCCATGAGAATGAGCCGAGGCGCCCCTGGATATCCACAAATCCGCGCTCGTCTGGAACTGTGCTGTACTGGATGAAAGAGAATATTAGCAACGTGTAGCTGCCTTATTATCAAGTTATGGTTGTTTTGGAGATGTCTCGATCTTTTGTGATTTAGCTAACCGGATCTGTGGAAGCTACTCTGCCTTTTGTCAACACGTGTATCCAAGTATACATATACGGCCTTGCTTGGTACTACATCGTCGGCATGTATGCCATGACTTAGAACGGAGCATTATGAATTTGATGTTAAGGTCTATGGAGGATAACAGGTTGATAGTTGATAATGCAGATCGAATGTAATGACTTGCTCCCTATGTAATTTGTTATGATAATTTAGTGCCAATGTTTTGAAAATACTTATATTGTACGAGTAGGTCATGGTCTTTGAGTTGTGACCTTACAGTTGAAAGGTGCGTAAAATAAATCAATTTGAAACTGTGTATCATTGTGACTTGTGAAAGTCAGCATTAGCACTGAAGGCAGCACGAGTACCATTCAAATTTTGTTATTCTGCGCCGGAAAAGGGAATGGGAATTCGGCTGTTATTGGATAGGTGAAAAATTGACATGGGTTCTTCTGTCAATTGCATTTATTGCGCACAAACATCACGGTACACATCTCATAGGCATGCAGCAGGCCGTTTAACGGTTGAGCTATTTCGGCCTCAAGTAATATGCTGATGAACTCATGAACCCTAACGATTCGAGCAGCCTGAAGCTCATATACTGGCGCTGTTTTGTAGGGTTAGACCTGTTTCGGTCTGACGATACCTTCTAGAGCCGGAAAGATGCTTGGTATATGGAGGTGACATTGGTCTGGTCGGCCACCCTGGTGCGCCGCCGGGCCAGAGTCCGTCACAGTGGACAGGCCAACCAGTCCCGTAAACGGCCATCTCACTGCGAGTGAGCCTACTCTTTAGGAACTGCTGAGTTATTCACGTCGGATAAAGATGACCTCCAGCCCGTATCAGGGAGGCGCGGATGAGAAGAATTCGACGGTGCTGATGTTGAAAAATGACGGACCGGCATTCATATATTGGCTATGTCTTCTTTCATCCAGTAAAGAACAGTACCAGAAGAATCTCCCTCTGATTGGTATATCCAAGGACTCTCTGGTCGATGCGTATACTTAATGTGCGTGACCAGAGTCCCGAACCAGTTCCTTGAATCTGGCGTAGTTGTGGTTAACACCGGAAGCATTGCATGGTTACCTCGCGTGTTTATCCATGGCATTCTCCGTTCAATCCCATTATCCTTGTAGTCCCAGTCGTCAAACCGTCTAACGAGACTGACATCCGTCTGGGCGCCCGTCTCGTCCACGAAGCTGTAGTGTCTGGGGGCGAACCAGATGCCGCCCCAGCGCTGGCGGCCCTGATCTGCCTTCGCCTCGATCCGGTAGGCGAACCGGCCACCCTCGGTCAGGTTGCGGATGACGTCGCCGTATTCCAGGATGGAGTAGTTTTCGGTCAGCGAAGGGGAATTCTTGTTGCGTGCCCGCACGCTGAATGGATCCCAGCTGTGCTTTGAAATGGCAGTGAGCAGCAGCGTCCAGCCGCCGCCGTCGTGGCTGAAGTCGCACAGCACCGGCACCGGCATCCCGGTGAACCAGTAGACGCCGTCATGCTGTGGTCCGCCCTGGTCGCGCAGCTGCAGACAGGAGCGGGCGCAGGCACGTCTCTCGGGCGGCTCGTGAGGTGACGAGTCGGCCGCCAGAGGCAGCGGCTGCCGCTCGCAGGCCGGTCCCGACTCTGACTGCTCCTCCGGCGGTGTCTCCGGCTGCTGCTGTCCGCCGTCCTCCCCAGATCGCTCCGTCCCGGCTGCCCGGCCGGCGGCCAGCGCGCCCTGCACCTCGGCCATCTCCCGGCCCAGCTGGTCCAGTCGCTCCTCCAGCCGGACCAGCGCCCGCTGGCCGGCGTCGGCCGCACACTGCTGCTGGGCGGCGCGTTCAGCGGCCAGCGCGCGCGACACGGCGCCCTCCACCACCGGGCCCAGCAGCTGCGACAGCTGGTCGGCAGCTGACGGCTGCTGGGCAGCTGCTGACGGCTGAGGAATGGAGTGCGCCGCAGCCAGAGACGCCAGACATAGCAGGGCAGCGGACCGCAACAGCATTGTGGCTTCAAGGCGATCGGGGTCACACTATAGGACCAAAAAGTTGAAGTGCAAAAACGTGGTAAAAGTCTGAAACGACCGTGTGTATCGCAAGATGAATATGCACTAACTTCTTCACCCCGGGTATGACTGCACTGCCAATCGATTGGAACCGAGCCTCGTTTATATATCTTTTGGAACTATGATGATAAATACATCCTCCCTGGGTATGTACGACTAGTTCCAAGTAGGGCACTTAGCGGATATTTGGCGTAGGGGAGAGTGGGGTGGGTTGTATCAGTTTTTACTCCGAGACCCATAACCTCGTAACTATCCGTGATAAACTCATTATTTCCATACCATCCCCTTCCTTGATTCTTCTGCTTTTTTGTGCAAAGTAACTTTTCCGCTACCTCTACCAGTTTTTCTTCTACGGTCTCCCGAATAGAACAATGTTTTTGATACAACTTGCCCCATGGCTTGGGTGAGTTGTATCACATGGTGGGGTAATTTGTATCACTATTTCACGTTTCAGGGAGTGTGCTTGGCCTGCTTGCTACTGGTTTTGAACATAACAACAACATTAAATGGGGTTAATACAATGTATAGGTATGCTCAAAGGCTTCAGTTTATTAGACCAAACTTAGGTCAATGCAATCCGAACGAAACATCAACAGACTAGACGCAAAAGTGGCCCGTTAAGAGCAAAGAAGCCAACACATTGTGCCGAAATGGAACGAGCATTGACTAGCTACCTACAAACGCGAGCCAGGGCTTAGCTTTCGCGATCAAAAGCAACATACCCATACATACATACATACATACATGTTACAACATACCCCACCCGGCTCTGATACAACATGTACCTAGCCGCCATCTTGGAAAAAACATCCTCGTGCTAAAAAACAGCGGACAGCTGGAGAAATCCGTTTTCACTCACGCAGCCTTAGAACCTACCCTCACCACCGCTACGGAGATCTTTCAAATTCGTGCACATCTAAATGCCCAGAACACACATTTTCTTGCAACTTATTTTTTTAGAATGACATTAAAAAAACATAAAATCGGCTCTCACCTCGAGACGCGTCCACTCAGCCACAAGACAGAACAGGGAAAGATGGCGCCCGGAAAACCTCGTCGGCTGGTCGTGTCGCGAGCGCCATCCATTGGATAAGTTTGGCACAATTCGCCCTGATACAACTTGGACATGATACAACTCTCCCCGCTCTCCCCTATGTATTTGACGGATGTTTGAAAACGTCATTTTATTCAGACTCAGCGACGCTGTGTAGCTTAAACAAACTCACTGGGATGTCCGATTAACGATGGAAAATGTTTACAATATGTCTAGACGCCGTACTGTTTATGAGCAATCGTGTCTGACGTCGGCATAGATAAAGTGAAACTCTTGTGGAAAATCCATGGGGTTCCACCAGGCGTAGTAGACATTGCACAAAGTTTGAGAGATGGCTGCAGAACAGGCTCGCTACCTGCCGTTACGTGCCGATCTCTGCCGTTACAGGAGCTGACTGCCGAGTGTGAGCGGTGGCTGCAGGACACCTCTGACCTGTCGTTACATGCCGATCTCTGCCGTTACAGGAGCTGACTGCCGAGTGTGAGCGGTGGCTGCAGGAGGGTCTGCTCACAGCGGACCTGCTGCTCGGCTCGTGGGACAAACTGCTGGCTCTGATCAGACAGTGTAACGTCACCATGCGCTGGATGCTGCTGCACACATCGCAACTCAACTCAGGTGAGCTCACGGCAGCACCGCCGCGACTCGACTCAGTCGGGCATACGACTCCAGCATTGCAAATCAACTCAGGCTGATTGGCAAACTGAACAACTCTACTGTGTGCTTGTTCATATTGATTGGCAGTGCACGTTTCACTTTCCGCGCCTGCAGGTGGCACTACGTGGTGTTAGACGAACTGCTTCGTTGTTGCTGTTTCTCGTTGCGTTTTTCTATTTTGCTGTCATACCTTTTCCATGACTCCGTCGTTACCCATGATCTCGCCTTTGTTGAGCAATTGATGATTGATGTGCAATATCTTCACCAGCGCAATATTTTCACCAGGCGGCGAGCCGAAGCGTGCTCGTCAGTACCGGGAGCTGGTGGTGTCCGAGTCGCACTTTGAGGCCGACACGCTGTTCCGACTGCTGCTGAGTGCCTCGCAGCTGGAGCTGGCCTGTCGCCAGCTGCTCAAACAGGTACTGTGACCGTACAGCAGCTGGTCTGTCGGCAGCTGCTCAAACAGGTACTGTGACGGTATAGCAGCTCGCCTGTCGCCAGCTGCTCAAACAGGTACCGTGATAGTACAGCAGCTGGTCTGTCATCAGCTGCTCAAACAGGTACTGTGACGGTATAGCAGCTCGCCTGTCGCCAGCTGCTCAAACAGGTACCGTGATAGTACAGCAGCTGGTCTGTCATCAGCTGCTCAAACAGGTACTGTGACGGTACAGCAGCTGGTCTGTCGGCAGCTGCTCAAACAGGTACTGTGACGGTACAGCAGCTGGTCTGTCGGCAGCTGCACAGTAGCCTGTCGGCAGCGGTACTGTGATAGGACGACGGCGAGGTCGGCCGGTGATGTGTGTTTGGGGATGGCTTCTGTTTAGTAGCTATGGTAGAAGATGTGATGGTAGGTGTAGTGTGGGGGACTGGTTAGATATTCGGAATGGATTGTTTTTTGTGGGCTCTAAAAATAATTTTTGGTTTGTGTAACATTTGGATTAATTATTACTCAGCAGTCAGCGGCTTTATGTGCGACAGTTTGATGCTTAAACATATTCTCTGGCGGTATGACATGACGATGTCATATGGTATCAACGGAAATTCGATGAATTTATGATTTATGAAAGTGCTCCGACCGCCAACTGCGCATCGGATTGCCCAATGCCCACGAGCACAGTGCATGGCGAATTCATTGGTCGGTGCTTCCGACCTAACTGGAATGTGTACCGCTCGTGCTACCTTGTCAGATATATTCTGACGGCGTCAATATTTACGTTCAAACACGTGAGGGGCACGTACTAATCAACATTTCCAAGAGTTGAGCTGCGCTGTATTTAGTTTATATCGCTTTATATCATTACATCAGCTGACCTGACCTTCGTGCCATTTTACCTTTGCTGCCTTATCTGTGCCCTCCTGTCTCAGCTGATCTGACCTGACCTGACCTGTGTGCCGCCGTTTCAGCTGCTGACGGACAGGGAGAAGATCTGGCAGGAGGAGCAGGAGTCCGTGGTGGCCGGCCTCAAACAGATCGCCACAGTCTTCTCCGGCAACCAGGCGCTCACCAAACTGCCCAAAAATGGTGAGTTATAATCCCTCAGAGTCAGACGCTCGTCAAACTGCAAAAAAGAAGTGAGATATAGATAGATCCGTCAGGCGCTCACCAAACTGTCCCAAAACTATGAGATATTTAGGCGCTCACCAAATTGCCCAAAAAGGGTGAGCTATCCAGGCGCTGATCAAATTGTCCCAGATCGGCGAGATATTCAGGCGCTGACCAAACTATCCAGGAATAGTGAGCTATTGATCGATCAGACGTCGTCTAGGCTACCCAGAGACGGTGTTTCACGGTTACAGCTGGACATGCTACGCCAACACAATCATTTGTATGCCGAGGCAGTCTGGTAGCTACGTTGGGAGCTGAATACAGCTTCTGTACTCGTGATTGGTACTGTCATAAGCTGCCACTCACTGATTGCGCGACATCCACTTCTGTTTATAGTTTTACACGAGTTGATCTGTAGACTGTATGACAAGTGTCCTGTTGGCGATAAGATGAATAAATGCATGCATAAATTAGCTAAGCGTATTGGATGTGCCGCCAGAGCGTCTGGAGCAGTGGTTCGTGCGACTGGCTGACCAGGTGGCCACCATCTCCCTAACGACTGAGTCCCGCAAACTGCTGCAGGTCATGAAGGCTCTCAATGACGTCCAGGGTAAGTACGAGAATGTGAGGAGCTGGGGAGGTTGAGCAGGGACTCCGTGAGTTTGGGTAGAAGCAGGGTGAGCTTGGGTAGAGGCTGCGTGATTGGTAGGGATTGGGTAGGGATTGATAATCGGGACACGTACTGGTACAGTCGAATCGGGGACTGGTAGAGTATGAATAAGGGCTTTGCGAGTGTGGATGGTAGCTGTCTGAGTGACTGTGGACACTGGGCAGGAATTGGTAGTCGGAACAGGGACTGGGTGAGTGAAAAGGGAGTGCTGGATTCTGGAAAGGTTCTAGGACGTGAGTACGGTTGGACGCGGGACGCTGGGTAAGCTCAGGCAGGGACGGGGGGGGGGGGGAGGAAGGGTCTGGTCTCTGGAGAGGAGCTCTGCTATTCTGAGGTCTGATAGTTTCTGTACCTCAGCGTTCCCCCGCTATCTGACTGGGGTTTTTCCCGTCTCGGCAGCGTTCCACCGTTTGGAGAGTGACGCAGCCGTCAGCCAGCACCTGGGACAGCTGCGCCAGAGCCTGCGCCGCATGGCGTTGGTGGCCGCGCTGCGGGACGACATGCTGGCCACGCTGGCGGGCGTCACCGACTTCAGCTACGCCTGGCTGCTGGTGGACCGTCTGACGGCCTCCATGCAGCGCAGCATCCGACAGCAGCCGGCGCTGGTCGCCAAACTGCGCGCCACTTTCCTCAAGGTGGGTCGAGCGGGGACGAGGGCCCAGAGCACAGAGCACAGAGCGCAGAGCACAGAGCGCAGAGCTCAGAGCACAGAGCACAGAGCACAGAGCACAGAGCACAGAGCACCGAGCCGAGCCGAGCCGAGCGCTGAATCGGCCGGATATTTATGCTCTAAATATCCGGCTCTAAATATCCTTGATTCGGGAAGCATGATTCCATTCTACCAATTATTTTCGCGAAATGCCAGGATACTGCATTGTATAATGCGTATGATGGTAATTGGTCGCTCGACGCTCATTGAACTTGACAAGATTGAAAACTCGGTGGAAAAAGATGATTTGGAGCTGCGGGGTATCGATCCCCGTACCTCTCACATGCTAAGCGAGCGCTCTACCACTTGAGCTACAGCCCCTGATGGTGTGATGGAAGACGATGATTTCACCGCCTGTCAAGTGACGTCTGACGTCAAATTGTACACTGAAAGTGATCTGCTTTTTGTAGTTAGATGATCATCATTTTCGCACCGCATTACAATCGCATCGCCGCTTTCCGTTCCCTTTTCTGCCTTTTATTTTGCCTGCGGGCTCTTCAATCGCCAGATATCTCCACTCCAAGCGTCAGCTGATTGCGTTGTTAGTTTGCTGCATGCAGGGCTGACAAGTGGCTCAGTGCCATAGGATCTAAAAACGAACTGACTAGGGATGCATGTTTGTAATGAATAAACTGATGCTGTAACATCAAGAAGTCTGTTTCCGCCCGGGATCGAACCGGGGGCCTTCCGCGTGTTAGGCGGATGTGATAACCACTACACCACGGAAACAGCTGTCGGATTTTGGGACGGCGAGCGCGGCGGCCAGCGGGTGAGATGTTGTCGAAGAAGTGAAGGCTGTGGCACTTAGTCACCCCTCCGAAAAGGCAGGAACCTTGTAATGATACTAGAGCTGTAGCTCATATAGAAGAGCGCTCGCTTAGCTCGTAAGGGGTGGCGTTTCTCCGTGCCTCTGAAGGACGTTTTGACCTTTGCCCCCCCCCCCCGCATGCCTAATGTATTTCCACAAGCTGCTCCTTTTGCTTGTTTTTACATTGACAAATAGAGCTCTGTACACCGGAGGTCTGCGTTTCATCCGTCCTCTGCACTAACTTCATCATTCGGATCGGGACCTTTCCTCTGCCCACCCGATGCTCCATTTGTTGTGATGTGACAACTGCTCTTACAAGACTCGATCTTGTCTTTTCACTCGTTGAATCGCCCTCGCCTATTCTGCCGGCACATCTAGCACACAGCACGCGCCTACCCCCCCCCCCCCCCTCATTTCAGCTGTGTTCGGCACTGGACCTGCCGCTGCTGAGGATCAACCAGGCCCAGTCACAGGACCTGGCCTCCGTGTCGCAACACTACTCGGCCGAACTAGTCAGCTACCTGAGGAAAGTCATCCAGATCATCCCAGAGACCATGTTCGGGTATGGTTGGATGACTGGATGACTGAATGAGTTAGGACTGGATGACTGGATGGATGACTGCATGACTATGTATGTATTGTACCTATGTATGTATTACCATCATGGACAATCCACACGGGGCGTGGCGATTACAGTCCACATCACTGAGTGACTGTGTGACTGAATGACTGTATGTCTGCCTGTGTGCCTGCGTGACTGACTGACTGACTGACTGACTGACTGACTGACTACTGACTGGCTGGCTGGCTGGCTGGCTGGCTGGCTGACTGACTGACTGACTGACTGACTGACTGACTGAATGGATGAATGAATGAATGAATGAATGAATGAATGAACGAACGATCACCAACCGGTATCTCGTGATTGCTCCACTCCGAATGTGCTGACGTTGTAACAGTTGCTCTTTAAGACTCTAACAGATGCATTAGATCCAGGAGCATTTGGCAATTAGGTATGGAGCGAAAACGGACTTTTTATCAGTTTATCAGTATTGCACATGGCATATTTCGACGGTAACTCCGTAACTTGTACTGTCGGTGTACTCAGCTCGTGTTTGTGGGATGATTTTCGCGCTCACCAGAGGAAAGAGGCCGGAGCAGGGTGTCAGCAGTAGGCTGAAACTGGGAGTGAGAGCCCTTATTGGACGGCGTGAAATTCGATCAGCTCTGCCCGTCATTAGGCGTAGGTAGTATTTACTTCTATGCATAAGGTAGTTTTCCGCTGCTACAGCATGGGTTTCCCAATTTATTTGTTTGTTTGTTTGTTTGTTTTGTTGGGTTAGGCCCTTTCGGTCCAATGAGACCATTTCAGAGCTGGGAGGATGATAGGATAAAGGGGGAGACATTGGTCTGGGCAGGCACCCTAGTGAGTCGCCGGGGCTGAGCCCGTCCAGAGGACGGGCCACCCAGCCCCAAGGCACTCACTGCACCCGGCTACGGGGTGCGCTCCCTCGGGAGCAGCGGTGCCGCTCCAAGGGAGCAGCCCGCATGAGATAAAGTTGCCTGTCCAGCCCGGAGGGGGGTTGTGGCGTGGAGGAGAAGGATTTCTGTTTCCTGAGGATAGAAGCACGGAACGGTGATTTCCCAATTTAGATGACTCCGTGTGGTAGGCATTTCACTGTTCGTTGGTGTATTGCGACTTTCTGCTCACATTAATATTATGCCTGTCATGTCCCGATTCAACGATAAATACTAACTTCTTACCCTTTGTTCTGCTCGGCCCAACTTAACCTGACCCTGGGTGCCCCTCCGTTCCGCCTGACTCATGAACATTTTGTCCCGCCCCTGACCGGACCTCTCTCGTTCTACTCGCCAGTCTTCTGGACCAGATCATCACCATACAGACGGACCAGTTACAGCAGACGCCGACCCGGCTGGACAAGGACAAACTGAAGGAGTACGCCCAGCTCGACCAGCGACTGGAGGTAGGCAGTCGGTAGGAGAGAGTCGGGGGTGCGGAGAGGAGAGAGGGTGGTAGGTAGGGGAGAGAGTGGGTGTGATAGGGAGGGAGAGAGTGGATGGAAGGGAGGGAGAGTGGGCGCGTTTGGGAGGGAGACGGGGACGGAGTAGGAAGGAAAGAGAACGGGCGGGAATGTGTACCTACTTGTAGTTCGCTTGCATTTCCGATGGGCTTGCGAGGTGTATGTCTCATCCTGAATCACTTTTATCATTATGTCACCGAGTTTCGATTGGCGCTTCGTAGCTTGTCTATTATGGTTACGAATTTTTATGATGTATCTAACCTCTTGAATGACTGAAATATGCGGATACAGTTACCCACTTTCAAATGAATATGCGATCATTTTTATTGCAATCTACGATACTTCACGTTCACTGGTATCACGAAAGAAGCAGGGTTGCTCATGTCAACACAATGTTGTCCCGGTGGGGCTCTGCTACGGATCTGCATAGGCTGCAGTGGAAACAAATGTTTATTGTCTCGCAATAATTATTAATAATTGAATATGCAGCTCACAATTCTTGTAGTTTTGACCAGATCCACAACTGGTTCTTATGCTACCCACATTGTTTCGGACCGACAGATGTTCATTTGCCAACGTTACACTGGAATGTGAATTCTTTAAAGGCTCTCTTAGCTTACTTAGACCCACTTCTCGTGGGTTAACGGTGACGCCGTTGATTTTACGTACTGGAGCAGCGGGCAACCAGATGACGCTGGAAGTGGGCAGGAGTAAGCTAAGTCTAAGTAAGCTAAGAGAGCCTTTTTTAATGCGTTTTGGTCACTGGAAAAGGATGGGCGCATGCATTACTACGGATCTAGTTTGCAAACGAACTTAAAATGAGCACCGCAAGTGTTATCATCCCACTGCAGAAAATATCCTGTTGCTATTCTAGCACAGTCCTGCCCACTTCCATGATCGTCTGGTTGCCCGCTCATCCAATATGTGAAATCAACCGCGTCACCGTTAACCCACGAGAAGTAGCCTTCGTCCGTGATATCGTTCAGTCCGATCCATATGCTGGTGTTCGTTGCCATGCTAGTAAAGTGACTGGCGAGGAAGTCTTGCTCTCCCATGCTGTGAACGGACGTCAGGTATGCCCGCTCGTGCATCTGGGGACAGGTAGTGCGCGCCGCGTCCCAGGTAGTTGCGTCGGCCCCCAGTTTGTACAAGTTGTATCCGTACGGTATCCAGTCGTCGGCCAGTAGATGTTCCAGCTCGGTGGCGCTCAGGCTGCAGCCGACTGCCGGGAGGAGTCGGTAGCAGTCAGCTCTGGGACTGGGTCAGATGGCACCGCGGTTGAATTGAACGCGGTGGAATGAATCCGGCTCTGAAATGGTCTCGTCAGACCGAAAGGGCCTAACCCAACAAAACAAACAAATGTCGCTAGTTAGCAGCTTTTTTTTTTGCTTTTTACTTGGGCTCGTGCATTGCGTCTACGTAATTTCGACTCTGGCATACTTCCTACATACATAGCAGATAGCACATATAAAGAATTATCATTATAAGCACCACATCTTTTGGAACATCTCTTTGGAACATAGAACGACAACACCGCCCCCTCCCTTTCATTGGTATCCCCAGCCCTTTACCGCCTTTAAGCGTAGTTATCCGTCAATGGGTACTCACCGGACCCCACCAGGGCCAGTAGGGTGGCTTTCCAAACCACGGCGCTGTTCATGGCTGGTAACGCCCGCCAGCCACCGTCCGCCCTTCGAGGAGCCGTCGGAGTAGAGTGGTTCCCTCCGCCTCAACACGGCTACTTATACCTAAACCACCTGTCTATCGTGGCTACGTGACGGCGTTCTCCCTGAGATCTGGCCTCTCGGGGGAGAGGGGAGGGGAGGAGAGCTCGAGTGCAACAGACTGGCTGTGCCCTCGTCTGGGAACGTTGGCAGCCGGCGTTGTTCAGACGTCCTGGTGCGTCGTAGAAATTCGTTATCTTAAGGGGGGGGGGGGGGTTCGGCCTCCTTGTCCCCATGTATGTTTTCTCCGAGTTTTATTTTCTCTTCTATTTGTTTGTCTTTTTGTGTCGGTGTTTGTCTTTGTTGTCGTTCATGGTTAAAACATCGTTTTTATGTGAGTTCTGAAAAATTTCCGTGTTGGTGGAATCATATCCATGATTCTCCTGCGATAACCCGGTCACCTCTATAACCTGTGTGCTGATATTGCTGGATGACGCCGTCCCCTCTGATGACGCTGTTGGATGACGCCGCTCCCGCTCGATGACGCTGTTTGATGACGCCGCTCTCGCCCGATGACGCTGTTGGATGACGCCGTGCCCTCTGATGACGGCCGGCAGATGGCGCGGCTGACGCACGCCGTCTCTGTGCTGACGGACGGCATCCTGGCGATGAAGACCACCCTGGTGGGCGTCATTCGACTGGACCCGGCGCGTCTTCTTGAGGACGGCATCCGTAAACAGCTGGTCCACCAGATGGCCGACACGCTGCACCGCACGCTCACATTCAGCGCCAAACACAAGGTAAGACCGGTTAGAGGTATAACTCCGCACCCCAGGAGTCCAACCGCCAGCACGATACAGAAGAGTCGTGTGGTTGGTGTTTGGGTGGTAGACTAGACTATTTGCCTAATGTGGCTAAGCATTTTAACTTTGACATTCCGATAGCAATTTGAGTGATCTTGGTAGGTGCTTGTGTTGTGTTACGTTTGGGATTCCAGATGTTTACCGCTACAAATTATTTGGGAGCTGTGAAGTAGTTGATCCGTCAGACTCAAAACGCCGTGTTGTGCCAACAAAATGTTCCCATGCTAAATATACATTCTTCATACTGCTGTCCGTTTCAGGAAAACCAGAAGTGGCACGCATGTTAGTTTCTAGCTCAGGTCTGAGGGTAGTTGGTTACCCACTTCCCCCTACCCCCCCCCCCCCCAACCACAGAGCGGTGAGCTGCCCACAAAGCTGCGTGAGCTCCGCCGTCGGATGGACGGCTTCCGACGCTCGTTTGAGTACATCCAGGACTACCTGCACCTCAACGGACTGCGAGTCTGGCAGGAGGAGTTCACGCGTGTCGTCAACCTCAATGTGGAACAGGTGAGAGGCGTGGTGCAGTTACCAGCAACGTAACGGGCAATTACAGTAGTGTAGTAGTGTGTAGTGTAGTAGTGTAGTGTAGTTTGACCAATCACTAACATCTAACTACGGCAATACCAACCTAAACTGATAAATCCTAACTGGACAAATCCTGGCAACGCATTTCCTTGTCCCATGGATCGCTTAGTTCCATTCCCTGGCCATGACAAGAAGGAAGAGAAGATGTGAAGACAACTTCTGGACGCTCTGAGCCCAAGAGGCTATGCGCCCTACACCAAAACAACAACAACAACGTAACGGGCAACAGGTCAGGTGTGGCGCAGACATCAATGACGAAACGCGAAGGGTGAGGCTAGCGTGGCCTTCAAAGTCGAAGCCGATTTATGTAAATTGAGATTGAATGGTTTTATGGAAATAGGTAGAAATTATGTCATGATCGTTTGTCGTGCGACTGCTCAAAGCAAGTTAGACTGGTGGTCCTTCGGTTCGGTAACTGTGACAGGTAGTGAAAATTAAGACGACTGAACCGTTTTGCACTCGCTAGCTTCTCACTTAGGCTGCACACAGTTGCACGTATTGCAGCTGCTTGTAGCTATCTAATATTGCAGCTGTTTTTACATTTACATTTCGTAAAAACCGATGTTCGTAATTGACCCTGGTGCCAAAATTATGTTGCGTGTTCGTTTCAGAATCCCTGACGTCAAGCCAGTTTCACGTGTAAATACCCCTACGGCGTACCATTTTAGCCTGTGTCTGTGTGTAAATATACCACCCTGCCGTGCCAACCGGGCCGTAGTCGAGTCTTCAAACACGGCCATCTGTGTTAATGTTTCAACGCCACGTGTCGCTGGGACTATTTCGGGTTTCCGCTACTCGTATAAAACGAAACGCACGCTGGGCGGTTGGGGACGGCTAAAAATCGATTAATGTTTCATATGTATGCATAATAACTGTTTTCGTTGCATATTGGTCTTTAATGTAATTGAACTTTCAAGTAGGGGAGAGTGGGGCAAAGCGGCCACCCGGGGCAAAGCGGCCATCCATCGTTTTAGCCCTCCACAGCTGGCGTCAGTTCCAATTTATGATTTCCAATTATACTTCTCTTTGCGGTCGTTCGAATGAGCCAGACCGGGGTTTCAGACCCATCGCCATTGTTCTGTGAAACACGGAAAAGCATTTCTTGCCAGGTTACCAATTATGTTTACAATTTTTTAATGTTATTTTAATCCATAACCGTTTGGAATTTTTATAAGCGTTTTTGTCCATGCATTGCGTGGTTATCGTACATGCCTTCTACCAATTTTAATGCTTTTTACCCCACTAATAGCTGAGCTGGAATATTTTTGTCTCGGACGGTATGCGCGGGGCAAAGTGGCCGGGGCAAAGTGGCCAGCCCCCAATTGGTCATAAGTTGTTTCCATCTGGATAAAAACATTATTTATATTCAAATGTGTCGTCATGCATTCATCTTGGCCACTTTTCGGTTACATGAGTTACCAAATTATGCAATTAAATGTTTTTCCAACAAAATTATTTCTTTGTTTAGCAATAGGTGGGAAGATAACAAAGTAAACATCCATCTTCCCTTAAACATTGTCACCATCAAATACCCTAGTCGTGCATGAGGCAACTATTCTGTTTCTCATATCGGGACTTGAGAAGTCGCCAGTGGCCGCTTTGCCTCAGGGATGGGGCAAAGTGGCCAATATGCTATAGGTTTAAAGTTTTGTCAATATCTCCCATATGTGAACGCCTTTGGAAATGAAACGCAGTTGGAATAAAAGACAATTTAATAGGGATCACATTGGTATAGAAAGAATCTTTCCAAGTTTAAAAATCAAGCGTCGGCATCGTTAGAAACGTTAGGGTGGCCGCTTTGCCCCACTCTCCCCTATATGGTTGCTTGCACGGGACGTATGCAACCAGTGCCCATGATGTGTGTCTTTTCAGTCGATAGGACACTATGATGATCGGCTGCGGTTCTGACGGTGGTCTCTCTCTCTCTCTCTCTCTCTCTCTCTCTCTCTCTCTCTCTCTCTCTCTCTCTCTCTCTCTCTCTCTCTCTCTCTCTCTCTCTCTCTCTCTCTCTCTCTCTCTCTCTCCCTCTCCCAGGAGTGTAACAGCTTCCTGCAGAGCCAGGTCCACGAGCGGGACAGCGCGTACCAGTCCCGCACGGTACCCATCCCGCTGTACCCACCGACCGATAAGAGTCGGACCTTCGTCGGCCGGCTGGCCAACCAGCTTCTGCTGCTCACCGACCCCAGGTCAGTCAGGTCACAGAGTTCACAGGGTCAGACGGTTACATTGGCTGCCCGCTGACCCCAGGCCGGTGAGGTCGTAGGGGTCACAGGGTTAGATGGGTTGATCAGGGGACTAAAAGGTCAGAGGTTACGCGGGTCGTAGGGTTAGATGGGTATTGGGTATGTGGGTTGATCAGGGGGACTACACAGTACACAGTCAGAAATCACTGGGTCAGGCAGGTATACGGACCGGTTAGGGGTCTACAAGGGTCAGGCAGCTCACGCGGGTGAGACGATTATATCGGTCTGTCGGGGCTACTGCACGGCCAGAGGTCACGTCGGTTAGAGATCGCACTGGTTCAATTGAGTTTGTCCTTAGCTGTTTTTTGTGAACGTATGGCAAAGCCGTTTTCTAAGCTGGCCTCTTGCTCGAGGAGGACCACTACAGTGCTGAGACGGATGAGATACACGGAACCCAGGTGTCGGCCGTCTCAGCCTACAGGGGGTGCGATCCCCCTCCCTCCCAGCCCCTGTCGCCCGCTGTAGCTGTTCACATGCACCTAGTGCCGAGTGTCTCCCTTGTTCCTGGGTTGGGTCCGCCAGCGGTACCGTTCACAGGCGGTGCGGTATCAGACCAATGCAAGGTACGGGGGTTCCCCGTGGAAGGTAGCGGGGACCGCCTTGTGACAGTTCGCCCGGGAAACAGATGAAGCCCGCAGTATGTGCCTTGACCGGATGTATACTGCATATACACTTATAACGGTTTAGCTATATAACTTTGGTTCGAGTGACCACTGACCATTGCCAGCAGTGGTTTGCATGAAAGATGGCACCTGGCAGGTTGAACAACTGTGCTGGGGAGACGGCGGCGCTGACTTACGTACCACGACATGCTCTGGGTGGCTCGTGTATGTTATCTTCAATCGTAATACGGATATATTTTAATATCAACATTGACGTAGCCACAGACACAGCCAAGTGATGTGGCTATGAAAGATCCTTAACAGCTTATGTAGAGTTTTTAAGGCCCTTGCGTGCAGTTCCTCTGGTAGCTCAGTTGGTAGAGCGGTGGACTGTAGCGGTTACGTCAGACATCCATAGGTCGCTGGTTCAAATCCGGCCCGGAGGACTTTTCGCTTTCTTGTGTTCGGCTCTGAAAAAGTCATGCTCACGAACGATCTGATCTTGCAACGTCAGTTTTCAACACTATCCTGTCGAAACCTTCATTAGCCAGATTTATAGTGAACTCATTTAACACACTTTTGATCAGACCATACGCGTAGGCTAACAGTAACCGACTATCACTACGGTTTGAACTCGTTTGCTCTATACGATGTCAAATCCCACTCACCTCACTAAATTCGCCCTCATCTCTGTCTGACTGTCGCCCGCGCCTCCTCTCGTGCACAGGTCGACGGTGTACCTCGCGCCGCTCTCGGCCTGGTACTGCCTGCGCTCGCACGAACAGGTGGCCGATGGTCGGCTGCCGGGCCTGCTGGCCGGTGGACTGGGCGTGGCGGGGCTGGCCGGGCTCGACAGACTGCTGGCGTTCATGGCCGTCACCACTATACAGGTGGGGACGGAGCGATGATGGTAGGGTCGGATTTGTGATGTTGGGTGGTATATGTGTTGGTGTCGATGATGATTGGATATGCAACTTAATTCTTGAATATCGTCGATTAATCGTATGGGATGTGTAGAAACTTCTTAAAACAATATTCAAACGGTGGTATGCACTTTTTATGAGGTAGTGGTGGAATGATGAGGTGCAAAAGCGCAGTATTGGAACACTCAAGCTATGAGCTTGTTTGTTTGTTTGTTTGTTTTGTTGGGTTAGGCCCTTTCGGTCTGACAAGACCATTGCAGAGCCGGAAGGATGATAGGAATTAGGGGGAGACATTGGTCTGGGCAGGCACCCTAGTGAGTCGCCGGGGCTGAGCCCGTCCAGAGGACAGGCCACCCAGCCCCAAGGCACTCACTGCACCCGGCTACGGGGTGCGCTCCCTCGGGAGCAGCGGTGCCGCTCCAAGGGAGCAGCCCGCATGAGATAAAGTTGCCTGTCCAGTCCGGAGGGGGGTTGTGGCGTGGAGGAGAAGGATTTCAGTATCCTGAGGATAGAAGCACGGATAGGTGAGCTATGAGCTTCCCCATTTCTGCTGGATCTTCTTTCCCATGACCCATACTGTTGATGTTATTACCCCGTGGCTCGCTCATTGTGCTTTGACGTTGTCGCCCCTTTCCTTCTCCCATCAGTCGATCCTGACCACCATCAGCACGGACATCTGCAAGGACCGCGCCTGTCTGGAGGCTCTCACCTCTTTGGAGTCATCTCTGCCCCCGGCTGACGGTCTCGTGGCCAACCCGAGCCGAGCCTACACCCCGGCGGCCGGCCGACTGCAGCGACCTCTATATTCGCTGCTCGATCAGCTGAGCCGGCTCGGTCAGCTGACGCTGCTCCGGGAGGCGATCGCAGCGCACCTAGCGGCGGAGGCGGCGTTCGAGTCGCGCCAGCTGGCCGCTGCCGTGGAGGCGCTAAATGCGTGAGTGGGAGGCAGGGGGAGGGGGCGGGGGGGAGACAGCTGTTGATCGGAGACCGGTCGCTAATGGACGGGCACACAGTGCACCGAGCGTTATAGGGCGGGGGCGGGGGGGATATCGGCCCCGGATAGCGCCCGGCGTCCAACCCGTTAAATGGCCTCCTTGTTAGCTATTCGTGCCGCACAAACACGGCATAGTGCATTAATGCACTAGCATCAAAGGTAGCATTCCATCAAAGATGACAAGACAACACGCGAGGGCTCCGCGCTGTGTTCGTTCGACCCTTCGCCATGGGGTCCATTGTCCCTGGGCTGACATGGTCTGACTTTTGAGTGTTATGATGCTGACTGCCGACTTGTGACCTGCTGACCCTCCCGTGTCTAGTCTGCTGACGAAGAATAGTCTCATCTACGACCTTTTCTGGCGTCTTTAGGGCGGTGCTGACAGAGCCTAACCTATAACTTGTTGGCAGTGCTGGCTGAGGCTGACCTGACCTGACCTGAGACCTGACCTCCCCAGGGCGGTGCTGACCGAGCCGGACCTGACCTCCGACCGTCTGAGCCCGCTGCTGGGCCTGCTCACCCCCTACTTGGACTGGACAGGCCTGTCCGACCCGGCCGCCCGCGTGTACCTGAGCGCCCGGCCGCCGGAGCACGCAGACACGGTGCTTCTGCTGCTGCTGATCTCAAACGCGCCAAAACTCACCTACGTCAAGTCGCTGGGTGAGTGCACCGATCGTTCGGCCTGGTGTACTAAGGTGGATAGGTCTGTTCAGTTGTTTTCCATATCGTTTTCTTTTTGGTTTAGTGTTGTTGGTTCAGCAACCTTTTTTATAGCATGGATATTTATTTATCTTTGTGCCGTTGCTCAAAAGGTAAATGCGTTCATCGTTCTTTTTATCGTAGCATTTTTCGGTGCCTCTTTGAGGATCCTTGAATAATAGGTTTATTGCGGATGACTGCCTCACCATCTCTGACCTCCCTCCCCCTCCCGGTGCTGCTGCAGGCGGTCTGAGCTGTCTGAAGGTCTCCGAGCCGGTGGACGCCGCCGCGCTGACCGCCGGCCTGGCCGTTCTGCTGGGACAGCTGCCCGACTCGGTCACAGACCGGCTGCTGGCGCGGGCCGGTCAGGCGGCGCGCTCCCAGGCGGCCGGCGCGCCGCCGCTGCCGGCGGAATGCTGTGTACTGCTGGCGCTGCTGGAACTGCTGGTCGAGCGGCGACGGCTGCCCGAGGGCCGGCTCACAGAACATGTGCCGCTGCCGCTGCTGCAGCTCTACCGGTCCGTGTGGAATGGTGACTAGGGGTGAGTGAAACCAGCGGCTCTATCGCTCCGTGTGGAATGGTGATTAGGGGTGAGTAAAACCTGCGGCTCTATCGCCCCATCTGGAACTGCGACTCGTGCTGCGACGACGGCTGCGACAGACTACAGTGTCAAACCTGCAGCTCTACCGATCCGCCTTGGATGGTGACCAGAGCTGTGGCAGACGGACGGGAAGAATGATTAAAACCTGCAATGAAATGGAGTCTGCTCCGGGAATATTGAGCCCATTGGTGACACGGTTTGATAATTGTTCCAAAAGTGATTGGCTACTAAAGCCGGTCGAGAACATTCCAGCGTTGTTTTTCGCAGATCATTAACACGTTTACTGGCCGTGTTCACAGTATTCGGGGTGTGACAATTCAGCGACAAACCTTGCTGTTGTGGACAACCGCCAGCGGTCAAGACTCAAGATCATATGTGCTGTAGTTTGAAGTAAGGCCAGGTCGGCTGTGATAAAAACGCCATGTGTGTGTTACTGTATGGGTGCATTAATGTTGAAATATGGACGTGGTTTGTTCATAAACCATACCATCGTTGATCGGCATGAATATGGAAGTGAACAAACGTATTATCAAAGGAGTCGTACTATATCAGCGTATCACTGCGCGTAAGTGCCTCGGATGATGGCTTTAGGAAGAAAGTTATCGATGAATATTCCTTAGATAAGGGTAAAATGCTGTAGTTGTTACATCGGTGTACCATTTTGCTTCAGTCTTGTTTGTATCTTTATCCGACGTGGGAACTTTGGATAATTAATTTGTTATATTCAGTATATCGATGTTAGGTTGGTAAAATAGCGAGGTTGAATAATTATGATACGGTAATTGGGATACGTTTCCGATGTTGAATGATGTTTTATGTATCGTTTACATAACCAGCTCGGTATGATTATGCATTAATAAACATTCCTTGTACGAAATTTGTATTTGTTACAATTAGCATTATGTTTTATGAAATATTCAAACAACCAAACATTGTATTTGTTCTTCGCCTTACGATGATTCATGCATGTGCATCAAGTAATATTGGCTCAGTCAATTGCAGAGCTACACCAGTCTCATTGATTCAGCTATCATTGACGCTCGCTTGGATGAAAGCAACTCGCTTGGTCGATAATAAATGACCCGCATTCAGCTAGGACGCAACAAGCATGCTTTTATAATTCAACACCAATGGCCTTACGATCACCGAAAGTAAAATCAGGTCTAGTGTTTCGGGTCGATCAGCAATGAATTCAGAACCTGACTGAGCCAAAAGTAAAATGTGAACGCAAAGCCATCCCTCTTCGTTTGACATTTGGGACGGGCTGCGAGTGACAGCCATAGACGAGAATTGAGACCGAGAGTGCGACACGAGACGATAGTTTGATGAGTTTTCACCTGTGCCAACCCATTTCTGCAGCTGACATGATGAATGTCCTGCTATTGACAGCGACAGAATAACGACGGCGATCAAACAGACTGAGGTCCTCGGTTATAGGTATATTGTTGAATGGCGGCTGTTTCGACAGCACTTTCATTGCTGTAAACGGAAAGTGTTTGAGAACAGTACCTACCGAGTACGACTTTTATTGATCAGCGAATGAGTTGTATTCCTAACTAAATCTGTTTACAATTTGGCTAAAAGATGGTTTAAAATTGTTCCACACTCAGATTTGCCAACACTTGCTCTGTGTTTTAAACAAATAGTCACAGACTCTGAGACTAGTTATTGAGTATTAACTGTTTGAAGCATCAATGCACACCCTACATGCAGAGTGAGAGGACGGACACTGGGCCCATAATTTGAAATGCCATTTCCAATATCCCCAGTGTCATTCGCCATTCAGCGGCCTGTGTCGTGAAGAACGTCCCACCAAACAGACCAGCTACTGCACGGGTAGGCTGCGCCGCAATGCACTCATGCGTTGCGGCACAGCATACCCGCAGCCGCTTGTCTCCTAGCCGGTCGCCTGCGCTGCATTTCTCCGGACTTCGAGGGATGGGTGCTAATTGCTAATCAGTTATCAGATTATCTTGTCATATAATACTTTCGGCGACTTATCTCGTCTGTGTGACATCCAACTGAGACGCACCGGGACCACGTCTTTCCGACGGATATGTGCACACTCCGGGCCGTTTCAAAGTCAAATACCTCTGACTGGTCGGTGAGAGCGGACCGACGATGGCCAGCGGCCAGGCCGCCGTGTGCGCTGCGTCGGAGAGCGGAGGTAAAACATTTGGCAAGCGGCGGGAGCAGGAATAAAGTGGTCAGCTGGATGGCAGCCACCGCCAGCCGCCCGCGGCCCGGGGCGCAGGGTGTAGCCAAAAACTAAAGCGGCTCCGTGACGACGGCAAACCCGAACTGTAAGTCGGCATTTTATACCTATGATATGAAGAGATGTTAAATATAAAAACATGCGTATTAATATCCAATAATTATCCGGAGTTGTTCCTTTATCGGTGCAGCATTATCCTAAATCGTCTTATGTCGTTTATCAAACTATGACCGCCTGTCGTCAGTTGAGTTCAGGACCCGCGGCCACGTCATAGCATGACAGCAGGTCACCAGTTATCCCTGCGCCGTAAATAAGCGCAGCAGGCTACCCGATAGGTGCCACTAAATCACAGGCCTCGGCCCTGCCCTAAGTGTCCCGGCGTCGGCGTCCCGGCTGTTTACGAGCCGTGGCTCGATTGACCAGACTGTTAGCGCGGGGACGGCGCCGGTACCTGTTTAACTCTTCCACCGTTCATTTTCATCGGCCACGTGAACAGGTGTAAGCGATGTCGAAGACTCCAGCGCTGCGACAAATCGTTCTGCGCAATCTTGATCAGCTCAACTCAGGTGGATGCTTTTAGCTCGACCCGACCCCGCTCGAGTTGAGTCGCTGAAGATGAAGAGGCACTTTTTACAGATCGGGCTGTTTTATTTTGATTTGATTTGAAGACATTTGGCTTTACCCTTCCTCCCAGTGGTATCATCTTACTGAGCTCAAAACTGAAATAGAGAATGTGGATGGCTGCTCAGTTGCTATAATAGCCGTAGTCGTTATACCCGGTAAATGGAGTCGTAATTGATAGCATTGTGTTTAGCCATGTTGCAGCAGTGTTGAATCATGTCACCGTCGTTCTAGCAAGCTGCTGATGATAGTGTTCATGACAAACGGCGAAACCACGGCTCATAACACAGCATTCCAAGAGCTTTTCATTCGGGTATACGGATATACAAGTCTAAACTGGAACACGAATGGAAGGAGCAAGCAGACCACCCCGGAGCTCAAATTATCAGTCGATGAGTATGGGTCAGATATAAGAAAGCGTCAACTGGGCGGCAAAATATATCGAACCCTACATATAACTAGCCAAGGACAATTTGATCCGGACTGCTTCATTTCCCTCTCCACTGCCTGTCCTGTCGCGGAAAACGCCTCGCAAGTCTCAGCGCTCGGCACAGCGCTTCGCGACGACTCACACAGCATCGCGAGTCTCGAACGCTTGGCACAGCGCTTCGCGACGCATCTCACACCGCCTCGCGAGTTCCAAACGCTCAGCACAGCGCTTCGCGACGCCGCACGGCGCACACATCATTTCGCAAATGTTCGAGCGCTCAACATGGCTTACTCAGTTATGCACTCGGAAGTTAGTAACATTGCGCAGTCTGGCATCCTCCTTGCCAAAGATTTTTGTTAGCGTGCGCTTCACCTTGCGGCTCGCACGCACGATGCCCTTGTTGCGCGTCCAATTGTGCTCCTTCTGCGGCTCGTAGGAGTCGCGCTTCAGGCGTAGCTGGTGCAGGATTCCCACCAGCAGCTCGTCGCAGTTGTGGTTCATGCCCACGGAAATTTCGATAAACTTGGCGTTGTAGGAGCACGCCAGCTCCATACCGTCTGGAACGGAAAGTCGGGTCAGCGGCACGCCTGACGAAACAGAACCGAAATACCTCTCGTCTTCTATGTAGAAACGCCTGACACATTTTTATCAGAATATTTTTTACGTTGTAATCCAAAGAAAAAATATCGTTTAACAAACGCTCGCATAAACGATAACACGCGCGAACGTTCGTATCAATGCCTTTAAATACTTGACGTCTCATTTTAAGACCTCTGTAAAACAGCAAGCACACAGGTGTGCGAGGTCTATGGAGTACACATGTTTCAGTGCAGACTCGTTGTAAGCGTCACCCCACTCTAATTCCTCCCCCCCCCCCTTCCCTATCACGACCCCCGTGAGTCAGCCGACTGCGGTCGACCAGCAGCGAACTCTGCAGTCGGCCGTCCACCATGAGAATTTACGCCTCATTAGTAACACGCGAGCCACTCGCCGGCCCTCGGAGACCCATTTATAGTTACGATGTCTGCAACGACCCCAAATGGGAGCCAATTGTCAGTGAATCAGACAGAACGAACAAATTTTACTTAAATAAAACACTGCATAACCTAAGAACATTTATCACGCGATCATGATCAGCATAACGAGATCTACGGGATTATCTGATTACTGATAAGCATACCCAGCTGCATATTCCTGCCACGAATAAGCATAAAGCGATAAGCATAAAGCATAAAGCTGGCAATAAGCATAAAGCGATACAGAATGATATATGGTCGCAAATCAGCTGTCCTGTTTCATCTACGATTTTTCACGTCTTTTAGTGCCAGGTATCGAGCAGTCGTGGCAGGGTGGTCGCAAAGTCAGCCCCGGTCCCAGCTGCTGAGCATCGCCTTGCGCATCTCTGCGCCAACCGGTCGCTCGTCCGCGCTAGACACGCCGTTGTTAGTCCGCTAAATCTGTCGGCTGTTTACGAGCCGTGTCAGAGGCAGCGTTCAGGAGCCGACCCGCACCGCCGCGGGGCCCGCACCGGCCCTATTCAGGTCACGTGGCTGCGTGTCATGCTATTGGCACACCGCGTCACGCCACCAACTGATGCTTTGTGCCGTGTTTGTGTTGCTACGGAGCCGCTAGCAGTCAGGGAGTGGTCGTGCCATGCATTCAGTTGACTTTGCGTGTCATTATGATACGATGGGCTATATGGGTCGTGTGTTGCTTCTTTCATTACCGCTGTCCGCTGATGATAAGGTGTTATTTTACTGAAATTAATCCTATCTCAACATGTTATTGGTAAGTTGAGTTATGAGACGTTTGCATATGCGTTGCCTTGCAAGTCCACGCCATCCTGCTTATATCTAAACGGAAGAAAACTCTGACACGAACGTGGAATTCGATTTCCCAGATGAACAAAATAATAATTCAACTTTGGTTGTCACTAAACTTGCCTATCCTTCCTACTTGAAATTTAAGTCTATAAAGACGTCAGATCGCCTCATTACTCACTGTCATAACATTTTTGATTGGCGCATTTCCCGTCTATCTTAAACTATCTATCATCATCAGTGCCCATGTACTGCTGTTTTTTTTAAATCCAATCAAATAAGTTCAGCGGTAGCCACTAAGCAGTGAAAATAGTTATTCGTGAATCCATCCACTAATATTCCCCGCGGTTCAGACTGCACTCCCATTATGAGATCCAGCTGATGTTGCGAATTTCTGCGTCTCCGTCTGATCCCCACCGCTGTTGGCCTGGTCAGCGCTCGTCAGCCCGTCCGACAAACAAGTCATTCCCTCATACTGACATCCGGATCCGTCTATCCCGGAACCGAGCCTCCTCAACAGGCAATCTGGTCCCTGCAGCCGAGGGCTCTTGTCAAAAATTCAACTGCTGATTGAGTGAATCATTGAGTGGAGTATCATTAGCCGTCACTGAAGCGAAGCGGGTTTACAAGCTCGCTAGTCGAGAGGCTCTCAGAGGTTTCGTCGTCCTGATCAGTGATCACTCCATTCGATGATTTGCATACTCTGTGCCCTGCGGAAGCTGATCTAACCCCAACAACGTGTATCACTCCCAATTTACTCAGCGTTGGGCAACGCGCTTTCGCAACACTATCAGAGGCACCTTGCACTTCTGGCACGATCCCGTGTGGCCCACATCTGACCCCGGTTGACCTCAGCACAACTCCCTCGGGTAGAAACTCACCTAACTCATCAACGGCACGGCTGCGGACCACGTCAATCTTGTTGCCGACCAGCACGAGGCAGCGGTTTCTGAGCAGGTCGAGCGCTTGCAGTCGGGAGAGCTCATCCTCGGCTCGCTCAAAGCTCGACTTGTCAATTACCGAGTATACGACAGCTAGGGCGTCCGGTGGATGCGAGTTGGTGATCTCCGACTGTGGAAGGGTCGCAGAGGTCAAGGGTCATTAGTGGTCACCACTACTAAAGACACAGGTCAGCAGAGGTCATGACCTATCATGACGATCGCATGGTGAAATGGGTTACGGCAGACGTGAGTGCAGAGGTCAGGAGTTACCCTAAGGCCCATGGCTGGTTGCTAGCGCTGTGAAGTGACGCACAACAGGCTCGGCAGTCGAGTTGATGCGCTAAGTGCTGATGGCGGAAGGTGTTCTCCGCAGACCAACCTGGCCTGTTGCCGGGCTTTCAAACAAATTGGCATCGAGAGGCTGTGCCTGGGATGTGTAATCCACTGAAATATGCATGTGATATGTGTAATGCCTATGGGATATAAAACTGAATGCACTCCTAATATTTGGGTGTTCAATAACTGGTTTTGATAGTTGCACGTGGGCTATGTCGAACTCGACTTGAATTAAATGTAAAACGTCATAACTTATCGATCAAAATAACCAGCAAATATCATTTCACAGTTTACATTAGGGATGTGACCCCAGCCCAATATTTTACCAATAATTCCCAATCATGATTTCTCAAATCATGAACAAAGAGTCCGTATTCTAAGCTCCCAGGCCAGCTTTGCGCCCCGAAGCAGTTACTGTGACGTTTGCGTGACCTCAGGTCTCCGAGAAGGCACGGTTCACGTCACGACACGGCCGGACGACACGGTTACCTCGTTAGAGGCTCGGTCACAGCTCGATTAGCGATCCGCCATCAAACGATGTAGAGATAACATGCGACAGTTGCGGGATGGGGTTTGTGCAGGTCATGAGATTAAACGGTTGGAACTGCTTGAAATGACATTGAAAAGTGAGTGTTTTTAGAGGTTTATCCAGCTGATATACACAGTAATATACCTGGCTGTGGGAGTTAGGAAACATGGCAGTAGTGAAGACTTTTAAGGCACTGTGATAACTGCCGTAATACCGTTATTTATTGGTGTACGTATAGACTTTTGTATACCGAGGACCATAGATCTCGGCATACAGAGGTCTATAACGTGCGTAATTATTATAGGCAAACACCTTACTTTGTTTAACTTTGTTATATAAGAAGGACGGAGACTAAACTTAGAAAAACTTGGAACGTTTCTGGCTTTATTTGGCGTTACCACACGCCTTTTAATTTGATATGTGCCAGACCAGACGAAAGTCAACGATGACAGTCTTGTCCAGTTTCATTTGTGCAGGCTGGCTAATTCTACAAATACCCATATAAAGTAAAAGAAAGCGATCACAAACGGACTGAGGCCGGCCTCATCCACGACTCCGCGGGTGACGTGTGTTACGTGGCAGCAGATCAAGGGCTTTGGGAACGGCACACGCCCAATTATCTCTCCGGCGAACCGTAACTCGCGGCGCCAACTCACAGATGTCAGAAACAACTCACGGATGCCAGAGACGGCTTACGGATGTCAGAAACGGCTCTCGGATGTCGAAAGATGTCAGAAAATCTGGCAGATGTCAGGGGGTCCGCATCAATGGCCATGTAAAGTTTATGTGCATCAGAAACAGTTTATTGTTTGTGTTCACGTTTCAAGTATAAAAATTAGCGTTGATGTCGAAAGGTCAGAAGGTGAATTAGAGCGCTACAGTTGGCGTCGAAGGAGGGAATTACATCATCGACGAGAAACACTAGCGATACAAGAAGGACATTGTGTGAGAACTGAGAGCAAATCAACGTAGGTAGGTGTTACAGTGAAGTTGAGAAATCAGTAAGTTTGCATACTGTTATCGTATAGTTTGCATTCATGATCAACCAGGGAGTATGAAAATACAGGAACCATATGGGACCATCCCGAATATTCCTTTGTGACCTTTCCATTGTGGGACGTGATGTGACGCATGGGATGGTGGAAAAGTTTTACTTTGAACTGAATTCTTAGATAGACCGAGTTGCTTACATGAATAATGAATAAATAGACGCATTATTAGAAGCCAATGATCAATATTTGCATCCTACCCCATGCCGTTTATTCTATCGTAGCCTGTTGACCAGCACGTAGGCGCATGATATCAGACATAACACCGCCTGACGTCACATGTTGAGCCAGCAGGTGACGCCGGCTGGTCGCCGGAAGTATAACACGGCCTCAGGCGGGACAGCTGACGTCAGCTGTGATTTATCAGTCCGCGTCAGTGATGATTTATCAGTCCGCCACAGATCAGGGTGAGTGATGGCTCCAAACAGGCGGCTGTAGCCAAGCCGTGACCGTGACCGCGAGTCTATAAGAATCCTGGTCGTGACCGCACCCGTGACACTCACCTTTGGGTTCGTGATGTTGAGGAAGCGCAGCTCTGACTCCTCGCCATCCAACTCAATACAGACTGTCTGCTCGTCCGAGCCGCCATCTGTCGGCAAAATGACGTCACTGGTAACAACATGACGTCATCGATAACAAAATCACGCATTGATAGCAGAATGACGTCACAGTTAGCGTGCGTTTGATGTCTGTTCCACCGGCGGCAGAGTAAACGTTTGACGGCATTACTGCCGTCCATCGTCCGCCTTGACTGCGTCTGTCACATGGGTGGCCGATGAGAAAATAAACGGTCCAATTCACGACCGCCTCTCGTCCATGTTACGACGTCGGAAGAGCTGTTATCGGCCGCCAAACAACGGCGCCCGTTTGTATCCAGAGCTGGGCCGAAACACAGGGTGTGACACGAATGAGCAGAGAGATAAATTGGCGCCCCGTTCAGAATGGCTCGGCCAATCTGGCACTATGTCCGCAGGGAAATGATATAACTGGGAGACGAGAGGATATGCGGAAGAGAAAGAATGTGTTGTTTTCCTGGTATTACATTCGCAGCGTTGCAAGTTTGTACCTTTGAGAGAAACAGGCAGAAAGTTTTGCAGGGAGGCTGCGATAGGAATGGGGAAAGGAAGGTAATGCAGCTAATAGGGTAATGTGAAGCGGAACAAATGCATCTGGCACTGCCGCAGGACTGAGTTTAAGACACAATGTCGAAAGGAGAAGTTACCCTGTGGGTCGGTGCTTTTCTGTCTGTCATGAATAGTGACTTATCAGAGCTCGGTCGACTCGATAATATATGGGTTCAAGTTATCTATGAATACGGTGATGTCATGAGAGTAATAATATATCATTTAGAGGAGCTAGCTTATGGCAGGTCTGGGACGCATTAAACAGACCAACGGTCAAAGACAACATATAAATCGCATGTTTTGCAGGCAGCAACAAAAAGCACTAAATTCAAACGCAGAGATGAGTTTCCCACTTCGCCAGCTGCGGCGGGCGGCCGGTAAGGTCATTTGGTGTCGACCTGAGCTGGCCGGATGCCACCTGTCCGGCAGCAGCACCGGCGGCGGGCCGCGGGCCAAGGGCACGAGCGGCCGACCTGAATCCAACGCCTCCACCGCCATTCCTCGCGAGGTCGCGGACGAGCGGCGCAGCACGCGGCGACACAGCGGTGCACCTGTTCGAGGGCACGGAGCGAGGAAGCGGGACACCACGACATGAGGGAAACAGGAGCCACGACGGGACACCGCGACATGCGGCCTGCGGGGAACAGGAGCCGCAACGAGAAACCGTGACTTGTCGAGAAACTGGAGTCGCAACTGGAGGGACAGTGCGGCCCGTGTATGAGAGCTACGGCCGGCCGAAGTACCGAGGATGACGGGAGTTTCGACTGTAATTTGAACAGGCTCACACTGAGGAGCCGACCTCAATTAAGAGATGGCAACTTCTGGGCAGGAAACTAGTAACTTTAAGCTAACTGGTAGCTCATCAAAAGAGTAAAAGATTGGTTCGTTTATCAAGCATAACAAACTTTCTATCCGACATTGAAGTTCTTCTGGCAAAACGACGAAGTCGCGCAATAAATAGGTTAATTGTTTTCAGTTAGGTATATCTAATCATACCCATAAGCCAGCCACGTTTCTGAGATCTAGTTGCCCGGTTAACTGTCTTTGTTTTTAGAATCCATCGTGTACCTATACCAGTCGACGCCATCGATTCGTGCACGCCCTGACAGAGTTGATGGATGTTTATTGCACTGCCGTGAAACAGCGGAACCGTACAGCGCTGAGCGAGCGGAAGGACTCCTGTCCAGGAACCATCTGACCTTACAGTCAGCTCGACTTGGGAAATTGAACGAGGCTCAATAAAGCAAAACAGCAAACAACCTTTAGAAGTCACAAATACCGTTCTATAAAATTTAATTTCACAGGGCAATGACCGACAACTAAAAAAGGTTGCCCTGCATTTTTTTTTCAAGTTGTGACTCAAGTGAAAGCAAAGGCATGCGCAATGCGCATAATGGGCTAAAAAGCATATAACTGGACCGATTCTCTTTACATGACATGCACTATGGCTGTTCCATTTTCATGTTTGTTTGTTTCATGTTTGTCCTGCCCCACCAACTTGCTTGGAGAAGCTCCACCATGATGGACCCATGTACGCTCTTCATAAGATAGGTATGACGCACTTCAAAGGCTCTCCAACAAAACCATTCAACGTCAGTGATAGCAAATAGCACTGGCTACATGCAAGTGCCATATTGGCATGGGGGGGGGGGTATCCCCCAGATCTCCCCGGGGTCGGGCGGTGAATGCCGGGGGTTAATCACCGCCCGGCCGGGCCAGGTGGGCTGCATAATTTTAATAATGTTTTTAGTCATGTTGATGTTATGTTTTTTTAATTAAGGGTATACTATGTATGATGTGTACGTGTGTACATGTGTGTAGTGTGTGGTGTGGTGCAACGTGTGCACAATTCCGCTACGGACACACAGCTATGTAATGTTGAAATAAAAATATATATATAAAAAAGTGCCATATTGGCAAAATGTTTTATCGACGAAACCGTAGGTAGACTTTTAGGGAGTAGGCAGTAGTGACTGAAGCCAAAGCTTCCAGTGCGGCCCGGGGAGGGTACAAGATACGAGGCGCTGCTTCGGCACATCCAGCCGCGAACAAAGACGATTCACACTCACCTGCCGCGCGGATCACAGATGCCGCCGCGCGGATCACAGGTGCACGGTTACCGTGAGAAATTAATTTCAAACACAAAAAATATGATGTCTTCGTGCGGTGCACACCCGCATACACGCTGACAAAGACTGAGACATCTGCTCATCCCCTGCTCCGTGACCGCGCGGGATTCGCCAAGTTGGCGAGCGCTTAAGTTAGCGCTCTCCGTTCGGGCCCGTTTTTGCGGTCGCTTATGACGACCGATAAATGCGTTTATGAGCCGCTGTACATAAACTGTCATTTCTCACGCATTCCAACTTCCAAGTCATCCAACAACTTCAATGCATCAGTTGAAACAGCATATCGCCATCTTTGAATGGATACATACATCCTAGCTTCCTGTCTTCGATGCCACTACGGACTTCAATAGAATTCCGCTGGACTGTCGGTGACCATGTGAAGACTCCAAAGCTAGCTGTAATAGCCTTCATTTTGCTACTAAGGTAGGTCCGGTGGCCTGCCGCAACCAAAGGACGTATGCCCAGTGCTTCATTTCATTGTAACGCAAATTGCCTTTGCTTCGTCTACAGTGAAGTCCCGAATGCCGAATGCATGGGCACGCTCCACACGATTGCAATGTAAGTTCATGAGGAATGCAACTAGCATTATTACCATGCTCGAAATTGCATGTCATTGATGTCTTCCAGATGGCGTTGGTAAAGGTCACGATGCAGTCATAAGGTGTCAATAATAATAATCATATTTTATAACAGACGGCAGGAGAAGTTCGATCCCTATCGAGCGCGTTGTGCAATCCGCCACAAAACAGCTCATCCAGCGAACGGCACCGTCAAATGGGAGCACGGGAGCGGGGATCAGGCGGTGTCGTATTCTGGATGATACGCCGGATAGTGTGTCCATTACGACCGCCTCGGAGCCACTAACACTGCCGTCACGAGCCGCCCCGGCGACCACGTCCCGCCCCTCCCCCGGCAGAGCAGACCGGCGCCCTTTAGCGGCGTCCCAATTAACCGCTGGATCCTTCTCAAGCCGTCCAATAATCCCTGCGAAGCCCGTCATAGCATCCGTGGTGTTTTTCGGCGCGGCAAAATAAACTCAGTGGCAGAAGCTGCAGAAACGTTCGCGACTCTCGCTGGCTTTCTCGTGTGCCCCATGTGTGCTCAATACGGCTCAATAGTTATTGGGGTTCGTTGAATAAACGATCTCGTGTATGTGAGCACGTTACATCTCAAGCGTGCATCTTCCTGAATCACTGATTGCTACGTCTCTTTCTTACGGCCCCGGCTTTTCTGCGTCGCCACTTCCTTCTTCCGCGTTGATGTGGTATTCGATCATCGATCTCGCCTCTGACGCGCACGTACTGCACCCCCCCCCCCCCCCGGCCCTTCATTGCCGCACCTGCGCTCTGGCGCTAGGGGAGTTCGTGGCGCGATATTGCCACGATATCGACACAGAAACGCGACAGATTGGCTATCGTCTGACTAGCCGCCGCCGCCCCCAGCGGAAAGCAGCCCTCAGCCGGCTAGTTAGGGTGCTGTTGGATGAGAATATCTCTAATCAACCGTGCGTTTCGCGCTTGAAAATGCCGTGCGTTGGACGAAGTAATGGATGAATGAAAGAATAGTCGAGCTTAAGAACTTTGCGAATGATTTGCGCAAATAATGAGTGCGATGACTAGATATAGCGGCAGTATCTTTTCAGAAATAGTTGCTTCAGCAGGCATCTGCCTCAGCCAGTACACTGCAGTGTCGAACATCACCCATCAGGCGTCAACAATGAACGTCATCTAGGGACACCATTTCGACCTCGGACGCCGGCAGTGTCAGAGCCGCCTTCAATGGCGGCTGTCAGCGGGTCCTTTAGGAGCCGATTGGCTGCCTGAACAGTCACCACCGGTTGGACGGGAATACCGAGAGGCTTTTAACACGTCACCGCAGCCCGTCTAGCGACGACGAGCGCAAGACAACTGAATATCGAATCAGCTGCACTTGATTCAGCTACATCGGGCGAGATATGAATTAATACCCGAGTCCTGACCGTTTTCCGACTCAATAAGCACTTCATCATACACATGCAAGTCATGGTGACATGATGCCTCCATAAAATGCTTAATTTAAGGAACAACGCTTCTCATTTTCATGCAATTTGATTAAAATAAATTAAATGACATAAAGATTTATTGAACTAAGGGTGGTCTTAGTTACCTTTTCTGTACGGTAATGTTTAAATATCTGATAAATGAATACCTATCTAAATATCTGCTCAGACAATAACTATATGATGTTCACAAAACATTCGAGTCCAATTTCAACATTGTCTGAATGGAATATAATGCAATAATGGTCGACTTGGTTAGCCTGCTTTCTTGCTAAAATTCGTCATTAATACGGGCTTTGCCGCAAACGGTTTGGTAAATAAAACAAACATGAAACAACAATAGTTTGTGAAAGAAGTTGATATGCAGCTAAAGAATAATAATCAATTAAGCCTAACCTTCCACATCAAAACATCTAGCGTACTTATTAAAACAGGATTTCAACATTCTACAGACATTGTCTCGTGACAAATATTGGCGTCACTATAAATAACCACGGTGACTATAAATACGGTGATCTCATCTGGATTTGGTCACGTGATCATTTTCGAGCGCAGCGCACGTGCAGTTGTGGCGAGGGCACTTCCAGAAATTCTGGATCCATGCGATTTTGGAGCCAATGTAAAGTCTATGGGGAAATGGTTCATTTTTATTTGTTTTTCTTATCACACCTAAACTTTCAAGTTTTTCTCAAAGATACACCCTGATTCATGTGTAGAATTGATTGGTCTTTCATATGGTATCAATTTTAGATTTTTATCGGATAATTTCAAAAACTACTTACCATTTAAACTACAAAAGGAGGTGATTGCGGCTAAGCATTGCGACAGCCATGTCATGTCATTGGGAAATTACGATTTCTTGTGCATCTTCATTTTAACTGTTCTCGAAGCCAGTACCTATCTGGATGATCCATGCGTAGAATTTGTTGAACTTTTGTCTTTTGTCACTGTTAATGCCTTTATGAAATAATTCATCAAATCATTTCACCCCGGCCGACATGAACGCCGCTGTGAGCCGGTTTTGGCGTCGGGGAGAGAGAGAGAGAGAGAGAGAGAGAGAGAGAGAGAGAGAGAGAGAGAGAGAGAGAGAGAGAGAGAGAGAGAGAGAGAGAGAAAGAGAGAAAGAGAGAGAGAGAGAGGGAGAGAGAGAGAGAGAGAGAGAGAGAGAGAGAGAGAGAGAGAGAGAGAGAGAGAGAGAGAGAGAGAGAGAGAGAGAGAGAGGGGGACGGAGACGGAGACGGAGACGGAGACGGAGACGGAGACGGAGACGGAGACGGAGACGGAGACGGAGACGGAGACGGAGACGGAGACGGAGACGGAGACGGAGACGGAGACGGAGACGGAGACGGAGACGGAGACGGAGACGGAGACGGAGACGGAGACGGAGACGGAGAGAGAGAGAGAGAGAGAGAGAGAGAGAGAGAGAGAGAGAGAGAGAGAGAGAGAGAGAGAGAGAGAGAGAGAGAGAGAGAGAGAGAGAGAGAGAGAGAGAGAGAGAGAAGACCAGGGGTCATCGGTGAGGCGGCGTACCCGCGCGGGAGCTCCACGCCAGGTACTGGGAGCGGGCTCGCCTTTTCCTCGTAGTGACCCATCAAGGCTGGGCGGCGGCGGTACTAGTTTCGCAAGGGACAGACATGGAGCGACTCGGGACTCGTCTCAGTCCGGCCGCTACCCAGCCGCCCGCCGCGCCTGGCCGGGCTGCTGCTTCGCCGGCCGGGTGGCGCAGGCGGCCCTCCCGGCTCCCGCCCGTCTGGGATGCGCTCCCCAACCGCAGGGCGTCGGCGGCGCCCAAGAGGCACAAGAATAATGGCGGTGCTGCGGGCGGCTTGTGGGGTGACGGTGCCGCGCTCCTTCCCCGGCCCCTCGCCGTCCGTCCCCTCTCCCCGATGCCGTTTTCTTCCAGGGGAGGCGCCCCGGCCGCCGTGCCGGGGCGTAGCGCAGTCTGTGCTTTAAGTACAGCAAGATATTCACCCAGGCTAGATTAAGGTCACAACAACCTAGGATTAAGGGTGGCTACAGACTTCAGATTTAATGCAGACTTAACATGAAGGTATTATATATGCAACTAAATGACACACATGGTATTTGTTCTAACCTTCTCAACAGAAAGTGAACATGTCAGGACAGCACCCCTCGGTGACCATTATACTCAAGGGGTGTAGGCACTGATTCCCCAGGGGTGAAGTGATAAGAGCACAAACATGAGTCACTAGTTGGCTCTGTGTCTTTCCTCCTGCAGGAAAAAATATATGTGTGATGCCCAATGTGAGGTAACTGCATATTATAAAGCTGGAAATATTGTACAAAGTTATGACAACACAAGCAAACTATGCATGTTACTGTTCTTGTTATTGCTATATTCATATGAGACCTCACAAGACACAAAAATATGCATGGTGAAAAAGGGAGCAACAATACATTTCAAATGTAGCTTGTCATTAAAATGATCATGAATTTCACTACATTAAAAGTGAATGAAATTAAGTGATAATCAAAGACTGGAAAAGAAGATCAGCATAACTACATAATATGTCTTGTTTCCAAAGCTAAAGTATGATCCTCAATGTTGCAAAAGTTGGTTGACTTTAACAATAACTTTGAATACAAAAAATAACATATGGTAAACAGTCACACTTCAAGGAAATCGCAAGATCCATCCAACCTTTGACATGCCCTGTTTGGAATGCTGTTAACATGCTATGATCTTCACAGAATAGGTAAAATCAACTCAAAATATTACATTCTTTTATTACAAATCATATCTTCCCATGACCTTCATTATTGTGACTGCAGAGCTCATTCAGTCAATCAGAGACTGTGCAGAGACTTCATCATTCAAACAATCAGAGAATCAATGTGCAGAGGCTAACACTTTAAAATCTAGTGACATTTCACAAACATCGTTTAGGCTACAAGCTTATGCTTACCAAACACTTTTTCATGACTCAAATATGGTGGTGTTTATTTTAAGTGAAAACATTCATCCAGCACTAAGCAGATTATTTCTCAGCTCCACGAAGTCCCAATTTCTGTTATATTTCGCTTGGAGTCACTTCATAGTTTGAACTCAAAGTGCCTTGTGGATTTACCTCAGTTATGTAGGTAAATCCACAAGGATTGATGGGCTTTACCTCAGTTATGTAGCTGCTCCCTCAATTTAAGTTTCTCGTTAAATTTCATTGAGGCGTTGCAAGGTGGGCTGTAGCCAAATTCACTTCCCTGTTTGGCTGATGTTCATAATACCTGAACATTTTTAATTCCAATTTTTGTAGCTGTTAACAATTGATGAAGGCCCAAGTACCTAGACAACAATGACGTTACAGAGGAAACCCCTGGCTGTGTTTCACGGGCGCGCTGGCGCTGCCAGCGCATTCTGTGAGCTAGCGTCAACCTCTGGTAGTGTTGGAGGTATAGGCTTGTTGATGTCTCTATGGAAATCAAAAGTGGCTGGCAAGTGTCGCGAGGCACCACCCTTATTTTTGCACAATAATGGTGTGATAACTGTTGCTGCAAGAAAATATAAGGTGAAGTGAAGACGTGAAGTAAAATCAGGTCAGACATTAATATATACCCAAAAATAGCAGTGTATGGAGTACCTATATTCACATTACCAATAATATGATGCACAACAGGCCATAGAAAAACAGGTGAATGTGGAATTGTAACCCAATTTCAATATCAACATGGCACTTGGCATTAACAGTAAAAAACAAAGTTTTTGATGTTAAATCAACAGAGAAAACTCCTGAGCATAAACAAAATGATCAGAATGTATAATAAGGATAATAGTAAAAATAAAAATCGACGAATCAGCCTATCATCGCCCTTACACATTCACCACTCCCCATTCCACGCACAGATTGTTTACCCCTTGGCTTACCCCGTGTTCGCAGTCTCCCGGACGACGAAGATTCTAAACGCCGTCCGACCAATCACGTTCAAGATCAGCGGGGCTTGGCCGCGGTTCTCGAACGTCATTGGCCAGATTACGCAGAATCTTCGTCGTCAGCAAAACTTTGAACACGGGGTAATATTTTTCGCTATGGTAACAAAAGCGCCAGAATTGACTACCAGAATTGGATCCGAAGGTCAAATGGGTCACGTGACTGTCAAGTTCAGATGGACAACACCTGTAAATAACCACCCTAAATTCGTCCAGAACAATAACATGGCTAGCGAGCTCAAGAGCGGCGTGACAAACGTGACCGGAAAACTTCCGAGGCGATATTAGCGAGCTTCCCCTCTCGATATCGTCCAGAATCGGCCCTGACTCAGAGTGAGCCACTGTTGTCGGTGTCGCCATGTCATCAGTAGGTATGACAAAACAGAGCGGAGTGATGGAAAAGCTCGGTCACATAGCCGCCGAGACATCCATGGAATATTTGTTTGAGCCGTAATGAGCGGATTGGATAAGGGAAAGGTTACGTGACAAGTAGCCTTACATCGCAAATTTTTATTTGCGTCACGATTCACTTAACGCGCTGAGTGAATACCTATATAGGATTTGGATCCCTTAATTTCTGTTGGTAAATTAATAAAAAAATCTGCGAAGTTGTTTCACGACGTGAAATGTCATTGCAAAAAACATCACATTCCTACATTCCATGAACATCATCGTGAACGTGGCTGGTGAACAGACTACTTCAGCAGTCGTGCAGGTTACCATAAAAACCCGGAGCACTCAGCACTCACCTCTGTCTCGGTCGTAGGCGTTGGTGCACTCAGAGCTCATGAACTGGTCGATGAGTGCCGTCTTTCCGACGCCGGTGGCCCCTAGCAGAGCGACAGAGAACGAGCTGACGGGCTGCGGCGGCGGCGAGGGTGGCGCAGCAGCGGCCGGCGCCGGCACGGGAGACGTGCTGGGCATGGCCGACCCACTCTGCACGCTCGAGCGGCGCACGCGGAACGAGTCGCCACGGTTGACAATCCCTGCCGGCACGTGCGAGACACACAGATCCGTCAGTTTGAAGTCTGGCTAGAGACACAGACGCACCATTGCAGAGACAGGCAGTAGGCACCATCAGGGGCGTAGGCGCTAGTGGTGTCAATTTCAGAAAGTGTACGTCCAATGTCCGTCCAATGTCCAATACTTACGTAGACTGTCCGTCCAAAAATGTCCAAGCCAGCCATTTGTCCAAAGATGTCCGACATCTACGCAATAGTTTACACTCAACACCGTTATTTAATTTGCTTTTAATGTATCGTTACCAGCTCAAAAGTGTTAATCATATCGAAAGCTGAGCTTTCTAATAGCCAAGCAATGTTAAACACGATTACTTTATAAAAATGTTGAGGTGTAGCAAGCTATTGTCCAAAGCTGTCCAAAGCCTGCTGTCATTGTCCAACCGAATTCCGAATTGGACATTGGACAAAATCGGAATTCCGAAGATTCAAGTTCCGATTGACACCACTAGTAGGCGCCAAGGGTTCGAGGGGTCCGAAATCGATTTCTTAACTTTTACTGTTTTTTGGAGCAATTGACAAATAAAGGCAGACTTTGTGTCACTATGTCTCCAACAATTATGATTTCATACTACTGCTTTTATTACAACCACCGCACAATCAAATTGGTTTGCCTGTTCTGCAATTAGCAGCTGATATTATTATCCCGATCACCATCTCACTATTCACGGCCTCCGGCAGCTCTTGTGAATTATACACCGGAGTTGATGACTCGTGATTATCGCCGATTATGCGTCTGAGTCGATAAGGGCCGACCTCATTAGTTGCGAGCAGCGCCTGTTTGGGCGGGAGTTGAGCTGCAGACTCGCTAATGCTTGATATACGCGACTCAGCACTACCGGGTCACAATTGGAGCAGCACACGGGTGACAAACAACATCTGACTGAGAGGGCAACAGCGAAATGCCAGCGAGTTCACCGTTGTGATTTAGATGGATGCTGACGGTATTGATCGCAGATATGATATCAAAGATTTAGCCCACTAAACCATATCTAAGATGGAAGAAGCTCTTCAAAATTCAAGACAAAGGTATATGTTAACAACAAAATTAAAATGTTCAGTTTAAGTGTGTTCTAAATTGAGTTGTAGTTCTACTCTAGTCCCTACTTTGTTCCAGTCGTTCAGAATTGCTCCATGAAAAGCACGCACAAAACTATCAATGCATGACGTGTGCGCGCTGGCCAAGAATGTTTACCTGTATGTTTTCGGGAAAAATATAACTTACATGACGGCCAGGAGAGCAGACATTTTAAGCCGGACTTTGTAGTGCAAAGAAGCTATAAATATATAGTTTTTAATCATCAAATGAATATGCTCGATGCTCATAATTATATTATCGTATTCAAAGAAGTCTTCCGTCTACAGTGCACACAAGTTCCTGGCTCAAGTCGGCCAGATTTGCAAAGCAACTCTTGTGAACTCAAACACTGATATGGCTCGGCCAGGAAATTTCAATAAAGTAATGGTGGCTTCAGCTTGCTGTGAACACGAACGCTTAATTCCGTTTTAGTCTCCGTTTTAGACTTAGTCTCTGTTATTATAGTTTTGCTATCCTCGCGTTGTGTTTTGTAATCTTAAATCTTAAATAAATGTGATACTTAATAAATAAACCAGCTTAAATTGCTAAGTACTTAATAACGGTTTAAACACTCTTAACACTTCATGTTGACTCCCGTATTTTAAGTAATTTTTTTTTTCATTTCTCGAGCAGCTCACGCTCGAGCCTCATTGATATAAAATCCTCCCAAACATCTTCCCCTCACTTTGGATTGTTCCCAATCCAACAACTACACCAGCAGGCCGCTGACATCCAGTCGGACCATCTTTGTGACTGGTCTTGTGACGATCTTGTCTCGCATCCTCACAGACGCCACTCTGACGTGACCATCGTCACCTCTCATCACTTGGTCTATGCGTCCCATCGGCCACTTTCCTCGTGGAGAAGACGGGTCGACCACCAACACCACGTCACCAGGTGCTATGTCGGGTTTCGGATCAAGCCACTTCTGTCTCCGCTGTAGCGACGGTAGATATTCTCTGAGCCATCGCCTCCAGTACTCTGTTGACAGCTGTTGTATACGTTTCCAGCACTGCCTTACCCCCGCCTCATTGGAATCTGATGATACTGTCATCTCGATTGCTGTGTGACCCACGAGGAAGTTGGCTGGCGTGAGCGGCTGGTCATCAGTTGGGTCGTTGGATAACACCGTCAGTGGCCTTGTGTTCATCAGCGCCTCTACTTTACAGAACGCTGTCTGCAGCTCTTCATCAGAGAGGTCAGCATGCTCGAGAGTCTTCATCAACGCTCTCTTCGCGATCTTAACCATTGCTTCACACGCTCCATTGAAGTGTGGAGCACCAGGAGGAATGAACGTCCACTTCGTGCGTGACTTCAGAAGTTCACGCTGGATCTGACTGTTGTCCAATCCGTGAAAGGACTGCTGCAGTTCCTTTGAAGCCCGTGTGAAGTTTCTTCCGTTGTCAGATATGATCTCTGAGGGCTCGCCTTTTCTGGAAATGAATCTCATCAGAGCCCGAATGAAACTGGATGTATCTAGCCCGTACGTCATCTCCAGATGAACGGCTCTGACCTGGAGGCAGGTGAAGATACACAGGTACCGTTTTTGCCTGACCTTTCCACGACCTTGTTTTGTCAGGAATGGTCCTGCAAAGTCAACTGCCGTCTTGTCAAAGGCGCGGAAGCGCGTTCTCACTTGGTTGCTTTGCTTGGGCGCCATCACTTGTGTCTCGGCTGACTTTCGGAGCTTCTGACACTTTACGCACCGGTGAATGCATTTCTTGATCATCTCCCGCGCAGCAGGCACCCAGAAGCGCGTTCGTAAGCTGGCCAAGGTGTGCTCTACACCTAAGCCATGTTCAGTGTCCTCGTGCAGCTGACGAATTATCAGTCTGCTGATTGGGTGTCCCTTTGGAAGCAGAACAGGATGCTTGGCGCTGTAGCTCAAGTCGGAGCGCTGTAGCCTGCCTCCAACTCTGAGTAAGCCGTCCTCGTCCATGAATGGACACAGCTTCTTCACTGAGCTTTGACGACATCTTTTGACACCGGATCCTTCACTTGTCTTCAGCTGCTTCGTTTCTTCAGAGAACGACTCTTCCTGAGCTCGTTTTATCCAGAACTGTTCCGCTTCATCGACTTCAGTTGGACCTAGCTCCTCTGGTTGAGTACCTCTGAGTGGGCGTTTTCTCGGTTTTACTTTCAGTGCTTTGATGAATCGCATCACCCAGGCTGTGATTCGAATGAACCTAGTCCAGCTAGAGAATTTTTCCGGGAGGAGTCGTAACTCCGCGCTTGAGGCTGGAGCTCTTATGGCGAACGTGTTTCTTTGCTCTCGTCTGGCCAGTTCGGTTCTGTCAAAATCTTCATCACTGAAGTGTCTTTTTGTCGGCCATGTACGGTCTTCATCCACCAGGAACTCCGGCCCATGCCACCACAGCCTGTGACCTCGAAGCGCCTCGAGACTCAGTCCTCTTGTCGGCGCGTCGGCTGGGTTTTCCTTGCCTGGTACGTGCTGCCATTGCTCCGGCACCGTACACTCACGGATTTCTGACACTCGGTGGGCCACAAATGCTTGAAACCTAGAAACTTCGTTTCTGATCCAGCAGAGGACATCCATTGAGTCTGACCAGAAATGGACCTCACATAGCTCCTTCCCAAGAGCGCTGCACACTTTCTTGACTAGACGCAGTCCCAAGAGCGCCCCCATGAGCTCCAGTCTGGCGATCGTCTTCTTCTTTGCTCTCGGTGCCACTCTGGCACGTGCCAGGACGAGATTGGAGCACCTCTCACCCATGCTTTCGGATACGACATATACAGCAGCGGCATATGCCTGCTCAGAGGCATCACTGAAGACATGGAGCTCTTGGTCAGGTTCACCCTTGAAGCGGTGAATACATCTTGGCACAGCTATGGTCTCCAGTTCTGCGAGTTCGGAGAACCACGCGTTCCACTGTTTCTGCTGATCCTCAGGTAGGATGTCGTCCCAGTTGATCGTGCAGTCCCAGGTTTGCTGAAATAACATCTTGGCACGGAGTGTGAATGGTGCGAATAGGCACAACGGGTCGAAGATGGCAGCCATCTCCTTCAGGACAGCTCTCTTGGTCCATCTTCCTGTCACCAGCGGTCGCTTGGACACATCCAGTGATAGAATGTCGTCTTCTGTCGACCACACCACGCCGAGAGCTTTGGTTGATTCTGATCCTTTGTCTTCAATGAAATGTTTTGAGGTGACGGCTCTGTCTTCTTCTGGTACTGTTTCCATCACTTCTTGACTGTTTGATTTCCACTTCGTCATCTTCATGCCAGCATCTTCCAGCAGCTCACTAACTTGCCTCCTTGCTCCGATGGCGGATTCCGCATCCTTAAATGATGCGATCTCGTCGTCCATGTAAACGTGCTTGCTGATTACTTCAGACGCAACAGGGTACTTCTCTGCGTTGAGTCGCGCATGCTCCTTCAGAACAAACTGCGCGACGAACGGTGCTGCAGCGTTTCCGAAGATCCATCTCTTGGCTTCAAAAACTGTTGGTTCTTCATCTTGCTTCATGTTGCGCCATAGAACGCGGTGGAGCTTCTGATCTTTTGGCGCCAGCTCGACCTGAAGGAACATCTCCTTTACATCTCCGACTAAGGCGATAGGATGTTTTCTGAATCCGACTAGCGTTTCGATCAGGTCGCTGTAAAGCGATGGTCCCGGAAGGAGCTGTGAGTTGAGACTGATTCCCTCACTTTTGGCCGCTGCGTCGTACACGATTCGGATCTTGGATGACGCCTTGTCCTCTCGAATGACGGGAAAGTGTGGAAGGAACCACTCATCCTCTCCACTGTTTGATCTCTGCGCCGTGGGAGTTTTGGTCATATAACCTTTCTTCACGTACTCTTCAAGAATGTCGTTATACTTTGCAGCAAGATGAGCTCCCCGACGATGAAGAGAATTCTCCAGCTTCAC